TTCCCTCTCTCCCTCCCTCTTACACTCTTCCCCCCTGTGATAAATGAGGCTGTCTGTTTGGGTGCAGTTCATATTTACTGAGCAGGAGAGCGCTCACTGTCAGTCTCCTTCTCCCTCGATATCTCTATCCCCTGCGCTAAACAGACATCCAAAGCCAAAGGTTAGGCCAGAGGCCAGAGGAGGGAGATGAGGAAGAGAAGACAAGAAGCCACACAGACTGATGACCAGAGTAAAGACTGTGGCTGCAGCTGGCAGCCACCTTTAAAAATAAAAGGTGTCAAAAAGGGTTCCTTGGAGCAATGCCATGGAAGAACCTCCTTTGGTTCACTAAAGAGCCTTTTAGTGGATGGTTCTTTAAAGAAACATTTTTGTAAAAATGTGAAAGCTTTTTATAGAGGTGTATCAGCCAAGCAAAGAACCATTAGAAACATTTGTTTTTAAGAGTGCAGGGTGGGAAGTTGAAGCATTTTAGTATGAAGGCTATGACTGGTAGGGCTTAAGAGATGTACTGCAGATGAAAGGGAGCTGACAACAACTGTCGACACAGTGAAGCTAATGGAATATGAGAAGCTCCTCATTTTTGAGTTTGACAGAGCCGACCCCACTCACTTATAGCGCTAAGCAGCCTCCCTGAGGCTCTTCCCAGCAAAAACACACCACATCTCTCGTCTTTTTCACTTGTCTGTGCTTTTAGGCATTTTAAAAGCCCATATGTGCCAAAAAACAGCTAACACAAGCCCAAAAACACCACCCAACTAAAAATACTCAGTTTCATCTACGCCTACACAAACCCTCAACTCACACACATGGCGTGGGTTATCCGGGGGAGCAGAAAAGCGGTGATTTGACCCACGTTCTGACCCCTTCATGAATGAGAGAAGTGGATCTGGGCTTGGCTGAGCCCAAAGGGACACGGACGAAGACGCCCCAAAGACCCCCAAAGACCCAGAGAGCTGCCGGCTCTTCCCACACACTGACCTCCGGGGCCAACAAGCAGCAAAATCACAGCACCGTGACGACACTGTGACACCAGCACACCGAAGCCAACAATGTGTTCCTCCTCTAAATTGACAAACGTATAGACAGTAAATACGGTCAAAATTGGACTGCTTGAATTACACTGAAGGAAAAAAATAGAAAAAAATGTACAAGTGGACTTTTATTGGATCCAACATGAGTCTAATTTAATTTTAAGACAATATCTAAAGGCCCTAGGGTGACGGTTCAGAAAATGGCCTCCCAATACACAAGTATAGCTTAGAGGATTTATATGGTGAAGTGCATGTATTTTAGGATGTGGGATTGTTTTTTTTTTTGTTTTTTGTTTTTTTTTCTACTTGTGATTAAAAGAATATTGGAGAATATACAACATGTTATATATGTCAAGAGGGCTATTAAAAGCAGCTTTAGGTCTGATCTAAACAATCACTAGATCAAACTAAACAACCACATAAGACTTGAGAAGACAAATTCTTCAGTACTTTCATGTTTGCAATTACCAATATGCCTGTTTATGTCTTCAGAAACAAGAGGACATGCCAACAAACACGGTCGGTATTGTAATGGTAGCTACATTTCCACTGAATTATGCACAGAAGATTCCCTCACTTAGGGAATTGTGAGGGGCTTAAGGTGTACATAGATGCTTCTCAACTAGAATTCCCAAAGCACCCATTGACAGCTATCTGTTTCCCCCTGGTGCCTCAAAAGAGGAACTGCTCCAACATTAGCATCCATACATGGTAAACTAGCTTTATTAACAAAGCCACTATTTGTCATTGACATTCCAGCCAAATAAGTAGTAGAAAAATTTTCCTAAGGTTATACCTTTACTGTATTTGTGGGAAAAAGCTCAGCCTTTGATACAGTGTGAGTGTTTCTTACAGGATGCGTCCAGTCTAGACATTGGCTGTCTGTGTTTTTTCCTGTACAGAAAAAAAGTCTTCCACATCTTTTTTCAATTTTCAAACTATTACCTTTTTTTCCTAACATTCCCCTACATTTAGTCTTTAAATGCTTAAGTTTGTCCCTACAATTATTACTACTATGGCAAAAAGAATGAAAATACTCCCGCCTCCATTCATCTCCATGCTCCTCCCCTAACAGACAAGCCGCTTGCCAAATGAAAAATGGACATGCTTTAAGAAGTATTGATTCCAGCTTTAAACAAAGGTACACTCAATATTATTTAGCCCTAAATACATCTTTGTTATCTGTGTCGGTGCACCAGTTACGCTGCTGTCCTAGTAATCGTAGACATAAAAATAATAGGGCAATTCCCCCAGCATTGACTGAAGCAGACCTGTTTTGGGCCTTTAACCAACCAAGTGATCCATCTATTGGCTCTAAGTGTCTGTTCAGATCTAATGCTTGTAACTACACCTACTAGATCTTTGTGAAAGGACGAGTGGCGTTAAACAACGGCCAGCAATCAAAATCTATAAAGCAAACGTAAATTAAGAAAAATCAGCCAATTTTGATCTTACATTTATCATTATTTTATTTAGGAAACACACCAGGATAAGCAACACAAAGCAGGACTTCCACAATTTAAGCCATTATCTGTGAGGTTCAGCTGAATCATAGCTTCCCACTTTGCACATGTAATTTAAAAAATATATTTTTAAAGTATTCAAGACACCAACCAGCACCTAAAATACATGATATAAAACATACTATACATCAGTAATGGGAGTCATTACATCCAATTCAGCCAAACTTTCATCATAAAGGCACCCCAATAACTCCAAGGCTAAAAGATTAGAATATGATTAATCACATAAAAATATGTTATGTTAGGTAGATACTAAGAAAGTGATGGCACAGCAAATTAGTTTCAGTTTAGTGTTTTCAAGGGTTGGTTAAGAAAGACAGCAAATTAGAGTGATTTTCAAGGACAGTAATGTTAGTTCTACAAATCAAACTTAGGATAAAATCCACACTGAACTACTACTAAATAATTTACCATATTCTTACGGTGGTTCTTTTGCTTTTTACCTCACACAAAAGGAACAAGAAGATTAGTCATCACTTATGGAGCAAAAATATGAAGTGCTCCACATCAAAATTTAGAAGGCATTGGAAAAAGGGCGAATAGGTCTGCAAAGATAAATCAAAGGATATAAAGAAAGGGACAGAGCAAGTGGATTTAGAGCTACATCCATGAAAGTAAGACCCAGTGTCGTTAAAACAGTGCAGTTACAGTAAGTTAGCTAAGTTAGCTAGCTAGTTAATATTATGTTTACTGACAACTAACGTGCATAATGGTACAAAAATTGACAGGTGTTTGTCTTTTTTCTACATTTTTAAGAATTACACCCAGCGATACGACCCAGCAGTTACGTTTAACGTTTAAGTGGCCACTGTGGGGAAAAAGGCTAACGCAACTGCAGAAACAGCAGGAGCCACTATTTCCATAATCTACAGTGGTTAAATGATTACAGAAATAAATGGATTATTTAAATGCATTTACATTTGTCATTTCAAATTAGAAATCCATTCATAAACTGTTTTCTACACTGTTGTGGCATATGTACAGTAAAAAATAACAGATTAAGCAGATGTAATACATTAACAAATGTAATAGACTGAACAAATACTGAACACTGAACAAATAGCTGAATAAATACCTCTAAACAAATTAACAAATAATCTCACTGTATATTTGCAGACTTTAATCTTAAATGAAATTCGATAATTCTGTGGAAATTGTTACATTAGATGTGCAAACAAAAGCAGAACTCTGAGAACTTTACTGAACACATTTCATTAAAATTCATTGTTCTCAGGTCCCATAAGGCCCATTGTATTTGCATTTTCAAATGAATGTAAAATATCTATGGTTTTACAAGTGTGTTGGCAGGCACCTCATGCAGAAAGCAGTTTCTACTTATGATCAGCAATATGGATTCTAATAAAGTGTCTGATTATTATGAGCTTGCTGTTAAAAAATACATAGGCTAATAATGATCAGTAGCAATAGATTAGCATTCTTTATTGGGATTGGTTCCCAATACAGGGGAAATACACGTACCAACTGTAACTGTGTTACACTGTAACAGATATATTCTAGCTTTTGCTGTGGTTTCTCCATTTTATTGACACACAAGTAACGTTGCACTGTCACGTTTGCGCTAGCTACTGCAGTCCTGAACTTTTAAAATGGAACATTTTTTTCTAATGGCTTGGAAGAGGTGAATGGCTCAGCTGATTCCACTGCAGGTGCTACAAACATGGCTGTTTTGTTTAACATACCTGAGCAATGCTGCATACTGATTATGTTTTATCACCTGCAGCATTTCCCATAATCAAAGGTCACACCATAAGGTGTTTGCAACTGCTTCTTACAGCTCCACTTGTCAAATGTGTCTGACAGCTCAACATGGATATAGATGTCACGGACGAACTGTAAGCCACAATTATGGCTCTGCTATTAAGGATTTTATTTTATATGAACACAAACATTCAAAGTCAGTTATGAGAACAAAATGCTTTGTTGTTATTATATATATATATATATATGCATTTTTTTCTTGGAAGACTTACAGCATCTGACACATTTTATTGGAAAACTATTTTTAAACTCTATCAAAATATATTTAATATGCACAATATGTAAGTCTAAAACAAGACCAATTTTCCATTTTCCCATATTTATCACCAGGTGCAAATCATTAAATCTATCAGAATGCAATCAGATGAGACATTAGCTGATCATAGTTATTACTTGGGAAGAGTTCAGCTTAAGAAAAATACATGCTCAATTTGAAAGGCTGGCCCCAACAGAGTAAGGCATGAAAGATGTAGGTTGTCTATACATTTAATCAAAGTGGCAAAATCCCTCCTTACCCCAAATGTAGTGTATTAGCCAAGTGGCAACATATAATCTTGTGCAAACTGCATACCTAAATCACACTTTTCTCAAACCACATGTACTTGCTAATGTAGTTTATGATGCTGTATGACATACCAGTATCTATAAAAATGGACAAAAGTATAGATAAAATTCAGGGGATTTTTTACTATGCAACATACATTTGTCATAATGTCATGCCACACAATGTAAAAAAACACATAAGCATGTTTGACAATACTTAACCACCCCGAGTGGTTTAAGACATTTATAGGATGCTTTTGGCTATCACGTTTCTAACTAATGATGTGGGTAGGTCTAAGCTTCTTACTTGTTAGCTACATTTGTCTCTTTAGCTCTAGCCCAAAGCTAAAGAAGTACCAAACATGACTGACTACATGTGGGGCAAAATATAAGAGGAAAATTGTGTAAATTCCACTTTTGGTCAAGCAATCGCTTATGTTTTTTAACAATATTTTATCACTTTTTCTTAAAATAAATTTCTTTTCAAAGACTGAGCATAAGGGGCCAATGCACTACCCTCTTATGGTTTTCCAAAGAGAAGGCTTGATGTTGGGTTTCTTAAATCAGTTTCTCATTAGTTCTCTGTGGAAAATGAGTTGAAATAACATTTGTTTGCAATTCACTGGCAAGCGTTGTTTTTACTTACTAAAATCATCAGACACTAAAATTTGCAAACTCCTCAATTTTAGTGATGCTTGATAATGTGCTGGCTAAGGTGGTGTGCCCGTATAAAGGTTCGACAGCATCGTGGACAGCTATGCGGCCTCTCTCCAGTGTGCGTGAGAATGTGCGTCTTTAAGTGGTGAGGCATGAAAAACGCTTTGTTACACTGCTGACAGCGGTAAGGTCTCTGGCCGGTGTGACTGCGCCTATGCTTGTTCAAGTCCCCAGAGTTGTTGTAGCGACGGTCGCAGTCGGGACAGGCGTACGGCTTTTCTCCCGTGTGACTGCGCATGTGTTTGGTCAAATCGCCTGACTGGCTGAAGGTGGTGCCGCACTCCTCGCAGCTGTATGGCCTCTCGCCCGTGTGCGTGCGCTGGTGGTTCGTCAAGTGCTGGACACGACTGAAGCTCTTCCCACAGACAGTGCAAAGGTAAGGCCTCTCTCCACTGTGAGTGTGCAAGTGCTTCTTTAGGACATCCGGCCGTGCAAACATCTTCCCACACTGCTCACACTCATAAATCCTGTCTTGGTTGTGCATCAGCTGGTGGGCCTTCATGTTGCCCAGTGTTGCAAACACTTTGCTGCAGTCTGGACAAGAGAAGGGTTTTTCTCTGGAATGAACACGCTGATGCATGTGAAGTGTAGCCTTGTGACTGAACTTCATCCCACAGTCAGAGCACTGGTATGGCCTTTCACCCGTGTGCGTTCGCAGGTGTGTGCTGAGGTGGTTCATCCTGGCAAAGTGCTTGCCGCACTCCGGGCACTCATAGGGCTTGATGCCAGTGTGGATGGCCATGTGTCTGCGCAGGCTGCCCGACTCACTGAAGCCACGGCCGCAGTCCCTACAAGCGTGCGGCTTCTCTCCAGTGTGGGTACGCATGTGTATGGTCAGGCTCTGAAGTGTAGGGCAGTTCTTGCCGCAATGTCGGCACAGGAATCCACGATCCGTGCAAAGAGGTCTGTCCGACTCAAGGTCCGGTTTGTGCTCCTCGTCCTCCTCCAACTCATTACAGCAATGTGGTCCAAGGCCCCACATTCCTGCAAAGCTTTTTCCACATGCCGAACAGCTAAGCTCTCCTCCAGTACACAAAGTGTCCAAATCATGGCACTTCCGACAATGGTTCTGCAAGTTGCCTATGTAGTCAAAGCTGCGGTCGCACTGAGGACAGGTGTAGCGTTTCCGAGCCGGTGCAGGTGAAGGTAAATGATTCCGCTGCATGTGTGCCTTTAGTTGCCTTTGGGTAAAGAAACGATTGGGACAGTAGGAACAGCTCAACATACTGGAAGATATTTTGGTGCACTGGGGTGGTGCTTTGTGATTTTTAAGCCAGGCGAGGTAGTTACTCCTATGAGTCCATTTTAGGTGTTTCTCAAGGTATTTGAAGTCAGTGAAGGACACAGAGCAGTAAGGGCAGGAAAGGACAGAATTAGAAGCTGGGTACAGAAGAAGGGAGAAAGAAAGGAAAGAGGGAGACAAAACAACAGTGACACATGAACATTCTGTTACAACATAAGCACAGGGAAACAAACTATCTAGCCATGGCCAGTCAAAACAGCAAAAATGAAAACTTGAAAATGAAAGTAAACCTAATTAACAACTTTCAGGGCATGAACAATAATAAGCTAACTTTTCACTTCCATTTAGCAAACACTAGGCATGTGCCATTATTCAAAAAAGTGATTTAATACACATAGCAGTGATGCTACTGAAGCATTAAATTACCAGTACAATATTATAGTACTGTAAAAATAAACTTCAGACACTCCTTTCTAATGTCTAGATCCTCCAGAAGGCTGCAATGATACAGTTCCCCACAGCCAGAAACAGTACAGCAATGAATCTTACATTAAACTGCTGTAGGCTGAATAGGCAATCATATGTAGTAGTGGACCAGAGGAACAGGGAGGCAGAACCACTCATAAGTGATGAGTTTTGCTTATATGAGACTTCTGAAGGACGAAGCATCAAATTTTAACCATGTCCACCCGTTATTACTGTAATGTAAGGCGGGGGGGGTCTTCCTTACCTGGTTCTTCATCCTGTCTGAGAGCCCTCTCGGCAAACCTCTCTGTTGTCTCAAGTTTGACTTTTGTCCCATCTTCTTCTCGCTCCTCCTTCAAATGTAAACCTCTCTCACCATTCAACACCACATCACGAATGTCTGGCTCAGCTTTTAACTCAACATCATCCGAATGTACTGGAACACAATGTGGTTCTGTCTTTGGAAACCGTGTTTTGAAATCAGAAGGCTGGGGCTGCAGATTGCTGCTACCCTGCATTAACTCCTGGATTTGGGCTGCCTGTGATTGAAAGTGACCTGGTTCTTGCTTTATTTGGTTTATTTCTGAAGAGGTATAGTCTTTAGTTCCATTGTAAGGATATTGTGAGGACGGTTTATCTGCCTCAGAGTTTACTAACACATCTTCTGTAGGCAGTGGCTCGGTCTTAACAAATGTATATTTGGCACATTTAGTCCCAGTAATCTCAGTTTTCTTTCGGGGTGGTCTTCCTCTCTTGGCAGAGATGGTCTTCATGATGATGTCCAATACAATCTCTTTAGCAACAGAGGCTAAAGGAGAAAAAGAGAACACTGAAAAAAACTTCTTTTTCACTAATTAAATAGCTATCGTTACTGCACGGAGATTAAAACAGTCAATCTCAGGCGAGGAGGTGTTTCCAGTTAACTCCCTCCAGCAGGTTAATATTAAAAGGAAATTAAGAGAAGAGAACAAACATTAGGCCTACTTACTGAGATTTTCTTCTCAGTGTAGAGGTCCTCATTATAAAGCCGTTCCGTCAACAATGTGTAAAATACGCCCGAGTGCTGCTGCGGGCACCTTCTTACTCAGCTACTTCTTGGTTAGCTTGTCCAAAGTCATCACAGACACCTAGCTAGCTGACCGATAACAAGCAGGACCGACAGTGGGCAACCACACGTTGGTGTTACTGCCATTCGGCTACTGTCATAATTTCTACGACATAAACTACGACTGACATTAGCATATTTATTCTAAAAAGACGGCTAGCACTATTTTCTCTGTTAACAAATTTGCCTTTGTTACTTCACTATGTTGCAGTAAAGTGGCAAAAACTACTAGAACTAGTTAAACTCCCGTGAAGCCAGAAAACAAACAACATAAAGCAACATGGCCACTCTCTGTCCGTTTTTTTTTTTTCAAAATAGTAGTAACGGCGAAACTTTAAAACAGTATTCTAATAATAATTATTGAAAAAATAATAAATAATAATAAAATATAATTAAAAAAATAATTAATAAATCTAGCTGTAAATCAATAAATAAATTGCTAAAATAATTTCAAAATAAAAAATGATCACCAAACAATTATACTTCATAATTTTAAAACAACAAATGGACTTTCAAGGATGTGCCTTTTAAATTATTATTTCAAGTTATTTTTAAATCTTCGTCTATTTATGCAGTTATGTATGCATTTATACTTGCAAATACAAAAAAAATGCTTTTGGGCTTTTTTCTCACTCTCGCAGTTCATGTTGAGCACAGCTTACATTCAGGTAAGAAAAAAAACTGTTGTTTCTTATAGTAACTCCTTCAAATGCACACAGTAAAAATGAACAGCAGAGTTTGTTATTATCTAAACTAACCAATCTGCATAGCCTCACTTGTATGAACTAGGATGTTTTCCAATATATGTTCTACTAGAGAAAAGGGAAAACAGCCCAGGAAGTGGTGCGGAGATTTTTTTTGTTCATTATAAGGTCAAATAAGTTCACTTGAACGTTTTACAAAGGTTGCATGCATGTAACGTATTACTGGACAAATTTCTTACTGTTCTCATTACCTGCTCTTTCTGTTTAGATCAACACGAGTCTTTGGAACATTTATTCTTTAAAGGGATTTTGTCTCATGTTTTTAAGACTACACTTAGAGAAATTACACTTATTATTTTCTCAACAACAAGCTTACTCAAAAACAATGGTAATCCATGGTATTCCTGTTACATTGGAATATAGGTTGCAAGCATATAAATAAAGCTATACAATTATTATCACTCTTAGGAAAATATTACATTCATAAGTGTTGAGTGATGAAACATAAACCACAGTTAAGAGATTTTTGTGTGTACGTATATGTAGGTATGAGTCTCGTGACAAAAATTGAAAACAAAAAAGCTGTATTTACCTCTAGAATTCTATGTACCACCTCATCTGCTAATTAATTCATTTGAATTTTTTTTTCATTCTCTCTTATTTTGTTCTTTTATTATTAGATTTGTAAATCTGTGATTTATGCATGCAAGTATTTTCATTAAAAAAAATCAGTCCTTCTATCCAGACAATAAAAGAAATTCTACTTTTTGAATATTATTTACACTTTCTTTGTTTGTCCCCCAGAATTCTGGAAAAATGTTTCTTTCCAAAGCTACATTTTAAAGCAAAGTTTTCAAGATGGTTTTGACCTGTGTTCACAAATGCCCCCACACAGTGACACAATTATCTCAAACTAAAGAATTCTATTGGCTAGAAACTGTGTGATGTGTTCATTGCATGAGACATGCAGTACTTTTAGTAATCCAATTTTTAAATTATCTCACATTAAAATTGCAGTGGGAGCACTGCATATTTGGAATTGTTGGGAGGTTGCCCCTATATGAATACATATTTCCATTAGTCTATCACGTTTTGTTTGTGGCTGATACACTGTTGAAGTTAACTTGGCAGTTCTGTATTTTTGATTTAGCTGTACTGACTTACTCACAACTTATGGATAACAGTCCCATTATCAGTGCCTGTCCTCTACACGTTCCATTTAATAGACGTAATCTGAACTATTCCATATTTGGCATTGCATAATTTTTTATGTCACACATATGACGTGCAGTTGTATGCAAAAGTTCAAATACCCCTGATGAAATTACATGTTTTGTTGACGTTCTAAGTTAACACATCCTCCACAGGGAACAAACGTCAATATGGCATTTTTGAGCACTATTTAGTAGGTTTAGTAGGTGTGATTTGGGGGCTTTATGGTCTTATGGTTAACCTTGGCCTATAGCAGAGTCATCTATGGCAGAATTGAGGAAATTGTGGTTGGCAATTTTGTGGACAGCTAGGTTCCTTCTAGACATGCTTGAGCCTGAAATTTCATCTGTTTCCTCTAATGGTTTGTACTTGTATATTCGGTATAGCAGGGCAAGAGCTGTCAAAGGTTTTTATGTACATCACCTTTCTGTGTATTCTGTATCCAAACTAAGGCTCAGAGACATCAGACATTTAACAGAGTATTGGAGGTTAAAGTGTCAGTGAACAATAACAGGCCTTGCAATTTAGTTGTGCGGAGGGATTTATTTATATAGTACTTTCCATTTTAGTTACATGAACTCAAAGTGCTTTACATACGAATAGAAGTAAAAGATTAGAAAAATGAAAACACTACTGTCTAAATGAAATGAATGCACAATAAATCCAAACCACTGGTGAAAATGAGCCACAGTACTCTATGCTTTTTCTAGCCTAAATAAATATGTTTTAATCTAGATTTAAAAGCCTCTGTTGCTAACACTGACATTCTCTGGAATGCTGTTCCAGAGTTTAGGACCAATATAAGAAAATGATCTTCCACCAACTGAGCTGTAAGTGATCCTAGGAGTTGGCAGTAAATCTGACTTAGTTGAGTGAAGTGGTCTGACGACTGTTTCAACAGATCAGTAAGTTATGCTTGAGTTAGGCCATTAAGAGCTTTACATGTCATAAGCAAGACCTCGTAGTCAATGTGAAACTGAACAGAAAGCTTGTGTAAACTGATTAAGACTGATATTACTGATATGGGATTTTGGCATGATGAACCAGCATTCAGTGTTGCACTGAAAAAACATTAAGGATTAAATCTGCAACCTTTTTTCAAGCAGGTGTAGTGTTACCCAACAGCAACACTTATGTTTTATCAGAGTTTAGCAGGAACATGTTTTAGTTCATGTAAGCTTTCATATCTTTAACACAATCTTCCATCATGTGTAACTGCATTATTGAATGTGGCTGGGTTGACACATATTAATGAGTATCAACAGCATAGAAGGCAATAAAGGGCCTAAGATTGCCGAAAAGTCTTCTGGTAGTGCTGGATTTGAGAGCAGCTTTTGATAGATAGAGCTGACCATGATATTATAATGGACAGGCTTGAAAACACAGTTAGACAGACAAGTTCTTGTCTGCTTTAGGTTTTACTTGTCAGATAACTTCTAATTTGTAAATGGAGAGTTTTCTGAACATAGAAGAGTGTAATATCATGTCCCACAAGGCTCTGTTTTAGGGTCATTACTATTCTTCCTTTATTTACAGATTATGTATCCTAGAGACTGTAAATAAAGGAAGAATAGTAATGACCCTAAAACAAACTCTTGTGGGACACCATATCACACTCTTCTATGCTGCTCTCAAATCCAGCACTACCAATCTTAGGCAACCAGTAAATCATTGACCACCCTAGCCTGACTCTGTGCTATGATGTTTACAAAAGCCAGACTGAAATAAGCCATGCTTGTTATACTTACTTAAAAAAGAACTGTCAGACAACCACTTTCTCAAAAACATTTGGGGTTTAATATCCAGATTAATTAGCAAAGCAAAGCACAATTTCATTAGCTTTGCATTGGCACTATAATGTAGTGGAGGCCAGGTTGGTTTGCTGGTGTGTGAGGAGGATGAACAGGTGACATCTGTGACCTAATGTACTACACAAGTACTTACTACACTATTTAAACATTGGTTTCACTTGTTTGATGACTCCAAGTCATCACATCTGATATTTACATTGCAACTGCACCCATTAAACACTACCTGTTTAACCAAGTAGAGAACCTAGTGTTGAGAAAATACCCACAGTTCAACTAAATTTAAATAAGAGTCAACCAAGATGAATATTTGGAAATAAACACCCATTCGAAATCCCAATGATGATGAAGCCCCTAAAATAAAAATAGAAGACCCAAAGTTCAAATCATGCATTAGAAAAATCACCTTTCAGCACCAGGGAGCAGTAGAAAGAAAAACATGAATAAAAGCACCAGAGGAAAGGCTGGCAAAATAAAAATAGAAAAGTCAACATGTTAACACATGCTCACAAAAGTTAACTTAAGCAAAAAATTAAATTTAAAATATTAAACAATCAGAGTAAAGAGGCATGTAAAAGAGGATAGACAGAGAAGAGAGAGAGAAAGACCGAGCAAGATGGAGTATAAACTCTCCAACTCTCATAAGTGGGCACCATGTCTTTGGTTAAAGGGCAACTCTACCTTAAGTATATTTTAAATATGAGGAAAAAGCATGTAATGCCAACTTCTGCTAACATCCCTATGAGACTCTAGATTTTTGTTAGCGCTAGGCTAATGGTGATTTGCAGAAACATTTTTGGCAGTTCTTGATTAAAAGCAGACATTTGTGGCTTTTAAAAAGATATCCCATGTTTTACTTGAAGCTTGTAACAGACATACTAGGATATATTTCACCTTGTAGCAGGTTCACAGTGACTCAGTGGAGAGCTCTGGTATAAAGCTGCCTCTGCTGTTTTCCATTTCTAACAAACCATTGATTAGATGTATAGAAGGCCTAGAGTGGTGTTGCTCTCACAAAATTGGTCCCACATATTGGGAAACAAAACATATTTGGTTGGTTCCTGTGTCACTTCATACCTTTACTGATGGTTAATCTAAGGCCTTAAGACTTTAATTTTTTAAGTCCTAACCAATAGAAGAGCTTAGCTATATCTAACTTAGCTATATCTAAAAACAATTCCTGATTGGCCAAATTGTACAGATTGTTTGAAAAATGTTACCAGTTTCTATACAAAATTTAACAATAAAACAAGTACTGTAATACTGACAGAGTTTATATACAAGCAAGATTCTTTTGAATAAAAATGAACTAAAAGTTTCAGATTTTTTTAGTTCCCATTCATCATTAGGCCTTTGAAGGCCTATAAAGCACTGAGGGTTCCTCTCTGGTAGAGGAGGTTAACAGTTTACTTACAGTTATAAAACTAAGAACCAGGGGCCACAATGTCTACTGAGCAAATCTAATTATTCCTTATGAAGTCCTGCATGTACCTCTCTGCCATGAATGGATTTTATAAAATGTATTTTTTAGTCCAAAACCTTACCACAAAACTATCGTGAAACAACATATCAGGCATCAAGCAGCGTGTTTGTAATACTTTTTGTGTAATCATTTTGCAGATTTTAGAGGCATTTAATTAAATTAAACTACTTGAGACCTCTGATTTCCTATCACCACCACTGTGAACACTTTTCACATCAAAACTCTCTGATGGACTTCGTTTACTCTTCACCATCGAATTATGCAGACATTTTAGGAAAATCAATGGAATTCCCATTCAAGTCCACTCAGTAAAAATTAGGACTTTGCAGGTCTCTGAAAATGTCTCAGAACAGTCATACTTGTTCAGGTCTAAGGCCTTAAATGGTCTCAAATAATTTCTGTGAAGTCACTTTCACACAGGCAGTGATGTATTTGTATTTTACATGTATTTTACAATTAAAAGCTGTAAAAAGTAAAAACTGTACTGAAAACAGTATATGGTCATCAGAGTCTGATGACAAGAGAAGCTTGTCCATCTCCACTGGAAAGTCTAGATCAATGAGAAAGTCTCATAAAACAGGCACAGGCTGTGCTTAATGGGATCTTTATTACCCATCTGCCCTTTATTACCCATCTGCTTTTACATATTTTAATGCTTGGTTTTCTGGGAATAGCCCTCAATATGTTTAGTCAGAGGTTCACCAATGCATTCCCAATATGGCTTCCACTGTGCATAGTACAGCATTAATTGGCATTTGTGGGTGCAGCAACAGTGTTTATACACAGTGGTTTGTGAAAGGAATTGTTGAACATTGGGCCTCATTCACCAATATCTTCCTAAGTTTTTTTCTCAAAATTGTCCTTGAGAAAGGTCCTAAGAAAAAGTCTACGCCACATTTCACATACTGTTCCCACTCTTTTGGTACTGGGTTTGTAGACCCATTACGATGTTACTTAAATTTCAAACTTTTGGAAACTTTTACTAAACATTAGAGATATAAATACAACATTAAAGACAAAAAGCATTTAAAAGATTGTTTGGAATTTTGCATTATAATCAAGCATAAATCCAGCTATTAACAGTATATTATAAAATTATACAGCACTGCATTACCCAGTGAGATCTCAGGAGACATGCATCATTTGTTTGAAAACTGTCATCTGTAAAAAGGATACAGACATATTTAGATATTCCAGTTAGATTCTACAGAAAAGAAGCTTTTCAGTTATATATGACGTGACATAGTTGTGCCAAAGCCACAATAAAGTTGCTAACTTTTGGAAAATGCATTTAACCAAGCTGATGCAGATTCACAAAAGAAAGTTGAATTCATTACAGTTAAAGAGATTTCAGTTTAAGTAGAAATGATTATAGATGCAGTTTATCCAAAAAAAAATCTGAAAAATGATTGACGAAACCAAAATCAGTTCTGCCTGTGGTGTCTTGCCTTAAGCATCTTTAGTGGCACAGCGCTGAGAGTGGCACAACGAGTCTGAGCCGGACATGATTAGTCTGGCCAGATAGCAATTACTGCTGTCAATCTTGATCGATGATTCTCCTTCACTGCTTGTGATTTATGGGCTAAAAAATTATAATTTAAAGAAATAGTCTGGTCATAAAAGCGAACAATAAATGATATAAAAACAGCCACCAATTAGCATTATGCAAATTACATCATGGTAATTGGTGGCTACTGGCTTCTTTGAGAATAAACAATTTACATGTAGCTTCTTGTCAAAGTGCAGTAAAGAAAAAAGACTGCAAATACTTCAAACATAATTTAAAAATAAAAATAAAATTAAAAACACAAGATGACATCAATACCACTATTAGATTAAGTTTAATAGGGGACACGTTGCTATACACAGAAGGCATGAGCATGAATCACTTTAATATAAAAGCATTTGCGCAGGACTGAACAGAATACACAGATTCCACAAATGCACGGATACCTGTACATATTTTGGTCTTCAATGCTTCTTATAATTAGAATACTTTGTTCTGTTTTAAAGCAATAGTTCACCAAAAATTAGTGTAAGATCAGTGCACCCTAACCTTAGCAATAGCTTATCAACCTGCTGTTCCTACTCCAGGATCTTTCAGCATTTCTATCAGCTGTACTGTAAGTGATTTGAAACACAAACTTGCTTTTGGCTGAACTGTGCATTTATTTCCTCACTTTATGTTCCCATACTCCAGAGGTCCAGTAACTACATGAGGGACAGAATATAAACTGATACTGATATTTCATTACTTTCTGTAAATGATATCTTCATTTACTTTTTAAGTAGACTAGGGTGATTTTTCAAATGTAACATTCAAAATTGGCCTCTTAAGATAAAACACCTTTGATTAAACCCGGTTCAGTAAAATGTAACAACTTCCATATAAAAGACAATACTGATAAAGGCTTGTCATAGTCCTGTTTCTTTCTCGAGTTCCTTCCTTCTTTTTTCCTTACTTAGTACTCTCTCACTCAAAAGATACTGTTAATCAACTACTGAAATTTCTCACTGTAGTTTTTTGTTCCACTCTCTCTCCCAAGTTGACTGGACAATACCATTTTTTAAAAAATAATTCAGTACTTTTTAGAAGCCCTTATTGTCTGACACGATCATTAAACCATAAGGAAAAAATACTGCTCAGTAAATGTAAGCCAGACACCAACATACAAGTTTACATGACATGAATTGTAACTTGTATGCTAGTATGCTAACACATAAAACAAATGCAATTGTGTTTACCCTTAGAGGGAACAAAATGTAGTTTAGGGAAAATACGTAATAGCGTCATGCACTTTTTAAGTAATATTAAAAACTTAATCAGTGATTACTAATGTACACTTTACCATGTAACCTTGAGCACCTCCAGTGGCAGTGGATTCCTTCATTTATAGCTCATGAATTCACACTGCTGCAATACAGTCCACAATTCAAACACAACTTCTGTTTGAAATTGAAATCAGAATGAAATCACAAAATTTTCCTTATATTCTACTCAAGGCAAAGATACTAAAGGCAAGTTATGAAGAAAAATTGGAAATACAATGGTGTTGGGGGGGGGCATTCAGCAAGACTGAAATGCGTTATCAGCCAGGATAAATATGTATACAAAAATAACTGCATGGCTCACCATTCAATAGACCTACTGCCTTAAAGCAAAAATGTTTCTGTAAGAAGCATAATCCATTATCATGGTTATAGAACAATACCAGTTAGTTAATGGACATATTACAAACAAGTAACAGCCACTTTGGCGCATTTCAGCAGATGGTTAGGTTTTTCACATTCACTTGAACATGTTGCAATGTCTCTTCTTGCAAAATGGCAGTTCAGATTGTCACTAGAAGTCATAAAGCACATTTTGGTTCTGTAACAAAGCCGCCATTCTCGCTGGGCAATACTCTGTAGAAGTTAAGCCAAATTGTCTGTGTAACAGGCAGAGTGCTCACTTCAATTTCAGTAGCTGTATGTAGGACGAAAGGCAGGACGCAGCAACAAAACATGTAGTGCATTTCGTAAAATGTTGCCGCCATGGTCACATGAAGCTTTTCATGAGTAGTGATAAATAAAAGACACTTAGTAATTAACACAGTTTATGTACAGTATGATCTATTCCACATAATCTATTATACCTGCTACAATAAATACATCCCTTATAAAACATCACATCCATACATACTCTTCAAGTAGCTTGTCCCTTGCAACTTGCTTTACAAGATCGTTTTCTTCATGTTTTCTGACATGTCCTACATATTCTCACCTCGCACATCCAGCTCCCCAACACCCAACTTCTGTCTTCTTTTCCCCTTAAGAAATTAATTCCATATGTATTTTTTCTCTCTCTGCAGTCTTCAAATTCTGAAATCAGTGTCTTCCATCTTTTCCATCTGTCCATCTCCCACGCTCTCTCACCTTTCTTCCTGCTCCTCACATGGCCATGGTAGTTAGATGCTGGTGGCCCAGGAGACCCTTGCGTCCACCACCAACTCCAGGATGCGTCCCTGCTCCACCATGGCCGCAGTACTCCTGCAGGTTCTGCCGCAAGGTGACCAATGCAGAGCCTAGGCATGCCCTGTTAGGTGCGAGGATACCGCCAGGCAGCTGAATGAGGACAGTAGCCACTCCTGCCATGCCATCGTCGGTGGGCTCCAAAGTAATTGGTCCCACTTTGAAGGAGGAGTAGGAAAAGCCCAAGAGCTGTGAGAGGAAAGGGTCGGAGCGGCAGAAGTGTTGGTAGCTGCCGTGCGAAGCTGGATGATGATGATGGTGTGAAGTCGGGTTAGTAGTGGAGCTAGGTGTATAGTGATGAGTGTTCAGGTAGTGCAAGGGAAGGTGCTGACCACTGTTGCCTCCACCCAGGGCAAGATGGTGGTGATGGTGGTGAGTTGCAGTACCAGTGTTGGGGTCATGCTTGTATGACGGGGCTCCTGGACGCCCTCGTGGGCCGACCACCATGCTTCCAAGCTTGCCTGTCCTAACGTGAGCCAAAGAGACAGCCCCTCCTCCACCAGCTGAGGGCAAATAGATAAGCTGTGGTTCCTCAGGCTCCAGGTAGACTGTGAGTTTGGCAAAGGGGCGTGAAGCCATCTTGGTCATCTCCTGAATGTGGCGCCGCTGCTCGCGGCGGAAGTCCAGGAACTGCTTGACCTTCCAGAGCAGCACACAGACAGACAAGAACAGGAAGAAGCATGAGAAGAAGACAGAGAAGAACACAAAGAGGTCAATGTGCGCCTGATCCTGCCGCAAGAAGAGCAGGCCCTGTGATTCCCCATCATGGCTGTCTGTACCCACACCACGCAGTGCGATGTAGAATCGGCTGGACTTTAGCGAGTGTACCTCATGGGGAAAAGTGATGACAACGCGGTCACGAACACCACGCACGATCAGCACTGTCTGTGGCTTCCAGACAGTAATGTACGTGATAAGACCTTCGGCCCGCTCTTCCCGAACCTCCCGATCTGGACCATGTGGTTTGGTATGCAGACCAAGTAGGGCCAAAGAAGAGGAGTTTGCGTTCACCTTGAGTGGGGAAAATGGTGGAGGAACCTCTTTGTCTCCTCGAGTCATGGTGGCTGAGGTGACTTCATCCTCAATCTTAATCGTGTGCACGCCTGTTTGGCGGTCCACATCCACGATGAAAGTGTCATGGGAGTTCGACACATACACCTCCACTTCCCCGAAGGTCACGTCAATAGTTACGCGGATGTCCACATTGGTAAACTTGGGCTGAGCTGCGAAAAAGACTGTGCGCCCCTTGGGGAGGTTGCGGATGTTAGGCTCATGGAAGCAGTTGACCTGTGATGTTGGGTCAAAGCAGCACTCGTTGTCCACATTGAACTGCCGGTAGCACTGACGACCATTAACTGGTGTGCCGGTGAAGGAGTCTTTGCATTTGGCACACTACAAAAAGAGAAACATGGCAAGAGAGGGATTTAAGAATGATTAACAAAGTAATGCATCCAAACCATTAATACTTAAAACACGCAGCGTAAGTATAGTGTGTGTATTGTAGCATTTCAACAGAATTTCATTACTGAATGTTATTTGACAATATCACTGAAAGTGAATTGTTAAAATTAAGTATTCATAAAGTAAAATCACTGTCAGTGCAGTCTTAAGGCCTTGGAGAATCCAGCACAGTTTAGTGTTTGCCTGTTCATTCACACCTGGGTCAAATCATCACTTTTTTCTCAAGGCTAGCTGGTGTGTTAGACAAGGGAAAATCACCAAACTTTGCTGGACTCCAGCTTAAGGACTGGAATTGATGTTATGTATAGGGTTATGTATTTTAGAATATTTCTACATATTTACTCCATTTCTTTCAGACTAATAAATGTAATAAAATAAGTTGTTTTCAGCTGGAGAAAAACAATTTTACAGTAGTTCAAAGTGCTGAGACATTTATTTCTGCTGTATAAAGAACACATTTGATTAACAATGAAAATACACAAAAAAGAAAGAATGTAATGTTTTATTTCTAGTGGGGTTTTTTTTTTCAATATTTGTATTGCATCGCAATATTAGCACATTCAGTGTTCAGAACTTCCTTTGATTAAAAATAAGAATAGCAACAAATGAACATAAATCAAAAGTGTAAAAAGTCTGTACTGGGCACTAAATCACAATGACTAATTCAGCCTGAAAATGACTTCACAGTCTTCCCACAATGTTCCTTAATATGCTTTAGCCATTTTACAAATTATTTTTAGTTGTATTTGTGTTGACTGAGTATGTAACTGCAACAGAAATACATGCTTGGTTATAGCAATATATGCAATAAGAGAAATGCAGCCTAGATTAAACATAAACATGGGTTGTGTATCCAAGCACAATATTACACATACACATAATACACATATTTTCCTTCAAGTCAACTCCTTCTTTGTCCGGACAATGGATTTTTGTGACCTTATGAAGTAAAACAACTAAACGACTACAGTTAGGCTACTTACGGTGATGAAGACTTTTTCAGAGGCTATACTATCTTCCACAAACAAGGAAACAAAGTTCCACAAACAAGGTTTTCTATTATTTTAACTTTCCCATTATGTTGACAGAAGTTTATCGATATCCCATCTGTCCATTAGGTCTTGCTCCAGCCCTTTGTGGGCTCATCCATGTAATTTTTAAATCAGTCCTTTTGTTTCCTTCTTTTTTAGATACTGTTTATTTGAGGTTTGCATCTTGAGGTGCAGCAAGTCACTGTGCTGTTGAAAACTCCTGCAAATAACAGATTGCCCCTGAACCTTAATAACATTTGGTTTAAGGTCAGATATTCTGTACTTTTACCTTTTGTCTTTTTGCATTAGATGGAGTATAATGTAGTAGAAGTGTAATGAAGTATCAATGTCTAGTGCTAAATTCTGTGCAAAAAATGAGTAACCATTAGTACCTGTTGTTTGTAACACTCCTTGCGGTCATTCTGTGGGCTGCTAAGACAAGATGATGTTTCTGTGTTGTTTTGGCAGGGACAGCCTGTACCATCATGCTCATTGCAGGTATCTGCATGGCCGTTACACTGACACCTGAGGACAAGAAGATAAAGTTAAGTACAACACAACCACTTTCACTATATATGAAATGCTGATTTAATGAATTTATCAGATTTGGAATGAGCTAACTAACCATTCGCTAATTTACAAACTCTCAGTTTTCAAAATAAAATTTTCTTAGGCTAGTAACGTTACCAGAAATGCAAACAGATGCTTTGCTTTTGTCTGATATCTCAAACACTTTAGATTGACACCTTTCTCTGTGCACATTTCAAGCCACATGTAGCCTAATATGGATTTTCTAGGGTTGGTCTGGGCTTAGTACAGTATTAGTAAGATGTTAAGTGGTGTCACTCTCTCTGGTGGCGCCCAAATCTTGACAATGTTCAGAATCTTCAAAATGTTTGACATGTAGACTTGCAGTATTCATGTCGATATTTTCTGAATAATATCTTACAAATTTCACTATTAAATCTACTTAAAATGCCCATCCCTATTTAATAGATGATTTCTATGTGCTGCAAAATGTTGAAATCACAATCTTAACACAAAACCTGTCCTGTGTGTTTTATAGTTTACCACTTTCAGCAGACTCACTTTTCGCACTTCCCCTGCAGCAAAAAGTAGCCACTAAGGCAGCTTTCACACTTGTCCCCAACACTGTTGTTCTGACAGCTCACACATACAGCATTATCCTCGGTAGGACCTTCTGTTACCCAGTGTACAATCTGAAAGAGTCAGCAGAGTTAGAGTTAAAGTGAGTTAGAGAGAGAGTTAGTTAGAGAGAGAGAATGAGAGAAGCAGACTTACACTTTCACGGTCTAGTGGATAGTCTTTTGGGTGTCCATGGGCCAACTTGTGCTCATCTTTGGACAGACATACATCACTGTTTCCCCTGCAAAACTCTCGACAGGGCCGACACATTCCACCACCCACTGCTGAGCCCACATACAATGGCTTACACTTCTCACAGTGCTGACCCTGATATAGAGAGAAAATAAAAATGAAAAAAATCAGGCATTAGCGTTTATGTTCAAAGAGACAGAATGAGCGAATAAATGCAGGGGTTGCCAATCTCAGGCTAGGGACAGCAGACAGCACATTTTGTGCTTTTCCTCATCTAGCACACCTTATTCAACAAATTAATTCATTAACAAGCTCCTCATGTGCTGGGTGAGGTACATTAAAGTAGATAGAGAACTCAAAAATGTGTGGCATGGGGTCACCAAGACTCACTTTAAGAACCACTGTGTTTATAGGGTGTATGTGACATTTTAATGGGATAAAGGCACAAATAAAAGCAGAACAAACACCGGTCACCCAAATACCAAATGTGGAAGTTAACAAGTTTAATTGGTTTGATAGCCATTACATCCATTACATTTTTTTTGCAAACCTATGCAACTGACATGATCAGTCATGTTAACATTTGGGGCTTGTTTACTAATTAACCTTAATCATGCTGTCACATAGAGAAGACTGGTTTCTACAAACAATGAAGACATATTTTACCGACTGACTTAAATCCCTCAGTGGATGTGAAAAGCTGTCTCATTTGACTTAGCCACTAAATTTATGCCTGACACAAACATCACTGTAAATACAAGCTTACCCATTATTATTTGCCTTTAAAACAATCATGACCTGATAGTTTCTTAATTACAGCCATGTCTAGCTCTTAAAGCCAAGCTTCAGCAGATGTCCACAGAGCACCTTGAAAATGAGCACCATATTATAGCAGCTAATATTGTTTCCAAATCCAGTTGGACAAAAAAAAAAATTAATAGCTCCTAATAGGGGTGTAAAAGTGTATCAATGCTTAATCGTATCAGAAGATGGCAATTCAACTGTATTTTGGAATGTAATATATGTTATAATTGTTTACAGTAATATTCAATAACATGCTCAATCTTGGCCAAAATAAAATTCTCATGCTATTTTCAAACATAAAAAGCTTGGTGTATTGTTTTTATTGCCTGTATCGTTTAGTGTTCTAATGAAAAGATTTTTCTTTCTATTTGGTCTGCCATATTTCATAAAAGTAGGCTGGTGAATGACTTCTACGCAAAGTCTGAAGCCAACAAATTAAAAAGACCAAACAAATGGTGCAATACCTTAGTGTGGTTGTGGCACTCTAGGCAGTTGTCCAGCTGAGTAACACTCTTACAGTTGCTGTGCTTGTTACAGCGGCACTGAGAGGAACAGTTCTCCCCAACAAAGCCAAAGTGACACTGGCACACTCCTGGCGACACACACGTACCATTAACACAGCCCTGTGCACACACTGGCTCACACTGCCCGGACACACTAAAAGAGAGAGAAAGAAAGAGAGAGAGAGACATATTTATACAAGGGCTACAGTAAAGCATTACTTTCGAAACAGATTTTTCTAAAAGCCTGGTTTTACAGCAGATATGTTGATGTATTCATTTCACACTGTACTTACTGAATGGACAACTAAAACAAAAACTTTTATTATGAAGGGGCACTAAAGGCACAGTGATTGCATCCTTATTTTGAACATCAGCAAATCTATTTAAACCTAGTCATGTGTTTGATTTCCTAACCTATGAAATCAGTTGTTTAGGGGTATTTCCATGGCATTCTGGTTGTATACAACAACACTGCTTCACACCAGTCATTCAAACACTCACAGTTTGGAAAATGATTCTGTGCTGTAAAATGTCACACTCCCTCTGTGTGTGTTGTAGTCCAAAATCCTCTGTTTAATGTGTTTGAGTCAGTGGTCAGTTCAGTTCAGTAGTCATTTCACCTTAAGTTGCGCAGCAGTTCTATTCTGCGGCTGAGACGCCTGAACGTAACTGCTGCACTATTTAAGGTGGAACGAGAAAATGTGAACAAGAAGCTGAGGCACCTGAATATAACCTAACTGCTGTACCATTTGGTAGAAAAGAAGCTGACTTTGGTTTTATCAAGAGAGCTGAAAAGCATGACAAGGGATGAAGAGGCTGATCTGTTTCTGCTTGACAGGTTGGTAATATCTTCCTGTATGGTTCCACTGAAAAAAAATTGGCAATCCTATCATTAAGGGTGGCTATTTCATTAATGATGGCAAATACAAATGTAATTGCAATAAACAGGCATTTTATGCTTCTTAAAAAGAAGCTGCAATTATGAAAATCCTCATCAATAATGTTCTTAGTAATAATGTTGATGATGTTGACTAATTACAATAACAAATACAAATACGCACACAAGGTTATTTAAAGCAGTCTTGATTTTTAACTGAATGCAGCTCTGACAATTGGACAAAAGCAGATATTATATATTAGCTTAGATATTATAAAGAGGTAAAACATGAACGGAGGTAGCTTCATAATAAACACTTTATAAATAAAAATGCCACAATGCTTAAGCCTTACAGAGCAAATTCCATTGTACCTCATCATTAAGGAAAAAATATTTTCACTTGTAAAACCTTTCACTTCAGCCTTCATAAACATGAATGTCTTCTATTTACATGGTAACAGGTGCAGTGGTCATTCCAATATTCTCAGTGAAGGTAAAAGAGAGAAAAAAAACAGAACAACAATCAAGTTAAATCAATAACTTTACCTTTGTCTAGTCTGATGCTGCTGGCGCTTACCTGCTGAGTATATAACCTTGTCTACAGGTGCAATGATAGCCATCAGGCAGGTCATGGCAGTCCTGGGTAACATTGCAGCGATGATGCCCATTGGCACACTCATCTTCCTCTGGGCAATGCAGGAAAGACCAACTGCTGTTCCGTTGTGGGCAAAGAGACTCACTCACACCTATAAAATGTGCAAATTTTAGTCATCCTAACCTTACATTACAATTGAAAGGCTTTGTTCTAAAATGCATCATAGACCACTTTCAAGAATAGTCTTTTTTCCCATGCTATATGTTGTTGGGAGTGGTATTTACATACAGGAAATGTCAAGGCTATATTACGATTAATACCACTTTTAGTAGAGAAATAAAATGTGTTTTCCCTTATACATCAGATGTTATTCTTTTCAAACTTACACCCAAATTTGTTACAAATGCATACGTCAACACACAAGTTGACATAATAGAAATCAGGTAAAAGACTTGTCTTACAGTGAAAGTAAATACTGTTTGTCTATTGTAAATACATTTTTACTCACGTCTCACATAAAAAAGAAAATCAAATTAGTTTTCCTAGTGCCATTAAGCACACAAGAGAAGTGAAGTGGCAGGATTATATGTACCATCCAAACCTCCTTGCAAGCAACGTCCTGCCCCGTTGCCACCACGGGCTGCGCACCAGCCGCACTGCGGTCTTACAATGCACTGGGAGCACTGGGTGAGCTGGGAGCAGTGAGGAGAGCAGGAGTCTCCACCAGAGAGCAGGCGACCACACTGACCAGCTTCGCAGCGCAACGGAACAAAGGAGGGACTCATACACTGAAATGATGAGAGGGGATAAAAATGTTGAGAGGGCACCAAAACATCCCAAAAAGTCTAAAAGTCTAAGTCTAAAAGTGTGTGTGTGTGTGCATGCATATATATATATATATATATATATATATATATATATATATATATATATATATATATATATATATATATATATATATTAGGGGCAGGAATCTCTAGGCACTTCACGATTCGATTACGATTCAGAGGGCTGCGATGCGATTATAAAACAATTATCAATGCATCTCGATGCATCTTTTTTTTCTATATAGCATTTATATTTTCTCACTGTGTGAGCTCAAGTTTCGAGTTCAAGTTTCAGGTTTGTCATTTGCACAACATGTCAGGACATTTATGCATTGAAATGCTTGTGGTGAGGCACAGGTAATCACTCTACACAAAGTAAATAAGTAAAAATAAACATACAAGAAAAACCAACTGAAATATATTAAATATACACAAAATATACACAGAATATAGAGACAATATAGATTTTAAAGTGACTAAGTAACTTGGTGTTATTGTCATTTAAAGTGACTCGGTACTTTTAAAGCAAAGTATTTGTAATGATCCATAATGAATTTACTTCCAATATCTTTTTTAATAAAACAAATGGAAGTGATGTGGCAAGTGAACTAGAAGGCTCTCATTCAGTGCTCCTGTTTGGAGCACGAGAAGCTGCTGCTACTCATCTGCGATAAAATGTGCAGTTACGGTGAAATAAGATCCAGTGGTGATGGATGTCCACGCAGCACATGTTACAGCTATTCTACTTGTTTTCTTTAGTGATTTTATAACTTCGGTTTTGGTCTCGTTGTAGAGACGGGGGGGATCGCTGTGTCAGTAAAGTATCTTTGAGACGAGACGTGTGCAACATAGCGCGAAAGCCCTGTTTCACAACGACTGAGAACCGGCGTGCGGACTGCAGGTCACATAGCAGCGATGCGTTATTCGCATTTATAAGCACTGCAGTTGATTTCCTGGTACGTTAAATCTGCAACGAGAGATTGTCAAACACTAAAAAGTGGCGAAGCTGAAGTCAGCTTCTCTTTCGAATACCCCCGTTCCACCTTAAATGGTGCCGCATTTACATTTGGCCCCCTTAGTTAGAATTCAAGGTGGAACGGGTAAATTCGAACAAGAAGCTGGAGAATAAGAAACTACTTCAGCCTCGTAAAACAGTCGAACATTGAGAGACATTTAACTGATCTACTTCTGAGGAAAAGTTTTCTGGTGGAGATGGGAGGAAAGCGGCTGTAGGCGAAACTTAAAGCAGAGCAAAGTAAATCTATGCTCTTGTTTATAGTGTTTAGCCTAAACTAGGACATCATCACATACTGGACATTAAATGTTGCGGCTCCCAAGGTGGTTTGATTTTTGTTGAAAGGACAAAATGTTAACATTTGTGTTGTGACTCCTGATCTAACCTGGCTTTTAATGCAGAGGGTGCCGGTCGTATTTCTCGCTCATCCAGTTGTGTTTTTGTTATGTGCCGCCACAGACTGTCCGGGCGCTGCACTTCCACACTTCCAAGTTCCGCCTTTTGCGTTCCGTCAACATTACGTTATAAATAAAATATTTAGAAAATCGATTTTTGACATTTGTGAATCGATTCAGAATCGTTCACGTTCGCATCGCGATGTATCTAAGAATCGATTTTTTCCCGCACCCCTAATATATATATATATACACATATATATATATATATATATATATATATATATATATATATATATACATATATATATATATATATACATATATATACATATACATATACATACACACACATATATATATATATATATATATACATACATACACACACACACACACACACACACTTTTAGACACACATCTTGTTAAAAAAATTTAAAAAGTAGTGCCTGGGACACATCAAGCTGATGCTTAACTGTTAGCGCCAATAAGTTCATTATCGCCTTCGTTCACGTCACCATTGACTTTCATTTCCTGTGAAAATTTGCACTCGAACACAACGCAAAGACTACAAATGATACACGTACTTACTGCGCCTGAAGTGAGCAACTCTATACACAAGGAATTGGCAAAAAACTGAAACTGCAGTGTACAATTAAAGAGTATTTGTAAAGTATTATAAGCTTCAAATGTCTGTGTTTAAGCCAAACCAAGAGCATGATAGTGAAAGTAAACTACTGTTAGCTTGGCGCTGGGTGGCTAAAAAGACTACTGAACATTTGTAGTTATATGTTATATGACAAATAACATATAACTACATAGTTATATGACAAAAAGTATCTCATGCTTTATTTAATGTGCATTATAAGAGCACATGAGCTCTCATGCATGTGTTAATTATTTTTTAATTTTTTTCCTCGTTGGGAGTCTGATAATCACATATTATTAATTTCAATATTTGGACACTTGGATAACAAAAATAGAGAAAGCAGTACTGACGCTCACCAACGGCCTGACAGCATCCAACAGCCGCCAGCTGGCTTGGTGTGTCCCGGGCCCAAGACAAATTTTCCTTATAAATCTAGTACTGGACTATAAATAACACTTATTTGCACATTTTCCCACCTGTTGCAGAGCCATGCTCCACACACAGTGCTGCCAGCCCCCATCAGAGCCACGGGAGCTGAGACACTGACTGCAGGTTTTGATCTGGTTGCAGGGCTCAGGACATGGCATAGGGGGAGACGACTCCACCTGCATAGGTGACACGTTCAGCAGCGCGTAGCTAAAGCACGTCCAGTCATACGTTGGATTCACACTCAGAATGCGCCTGGTCTCTCCTGGGAACAAAAAAGGAATTCAATACTTTAGGCATCTAAAAACAAAAGACTTCAGTAATACCGTGTTTTTGACTCTTCGACAGTGTATCTATAGCACTTTTATAATTGTGCTATCAATTTAGAGGCTCCTTTGGATGTGCTTCTATTTCAGTTAGAGGCTCCTTTGGATGTGCTTCTATTTCAGTTAACTTCATTCTTGATCATATATCAAAATGACTTAAATGTTATTTCACATTCTCCATAAACTATGAATGAGCATGTTAGTGCACATTGTTTTCATTATCTTACCTGGTTACATAGCTAGGAACAATCAGTTTTAAACATTATCACATGAGTTCAGTGGAGTTAAACTGGAGTCTCTACAAGTACTTTTGAGAAGCAGACTTGTTTTGAAGTTCTGTTCTGTTCTCATTAACGCTATTTAAAACATCAACATGTCATGAAATTCATTTAAAAACTACTGTAAAAAAGAGACAAATGTTTTGTTTTTGCTGAAAATCGAATACAATAAAAGAGTTCTTGCAGAGCAGAAGTCTGGTGTACTGATAAAAGGAACCAAAACCTTATTGTTATAAACTAGTATGTGTAATGCCAGCTTAAACATTCAATGATTTTCCTCCAACATCGCAATCTTCAAAATCAGTCTGCTGAGTATGTAAGCCCTGAGTGAGCAATTACTTCTGAATGCTTGCTGCTGTTGTTCTGTAAATGTTTTATTGATTAACTTACAGAAGAGTACATACTGTGTGTATTTTCATGAAGGTAATGTAAATTGTGATGTCCATATAGAGACTGGAAGAACTGTGAGATAGGCTTGGACAACAGCACAATGCAATCGGATGTTGTCAATGATTGACGAGCAACTCGATGGCGATGGGTAAAAGGCAATAATAGCCATTTTGAGACTAAAGAAGTGCCCAAATAGTCTTTTTTTTACTTTAGTTTTTTTCTGTTTACAAGAGAGACAGAGAGACACACACAGAGACAGAGACAGAAATTCGTTAAGAAGCTGTCTGTTAAGTTCTCTCTGCTACACATTGTGGTGCTAGCTTTACTGATACTACCACACCATTCTTCCCCTTCTACTTATATTACTTTACGTTAAGTACCTGGAACTGAAAATAACCATCACGCTTTGGAACTTCAACTAGTTTCTGTGTCTCACTGAATTAAAAACAGCCAAGCTAATGTGACTGAGCAGCAGCTAGCTCTAACCTGCAACCTTTGGAAGTTTACTATTATAACACTAGGTTATTATGGGGCTTTAAAAAGTTAAGAGTAAATTCACAACTGTCTTTGCTGCATGCGAGAAAAATGATAACTAGAAAATATTGTGCTAATTATTTTCAGATATCGCCCAGGCCTACTGTAAGGACCACTTTGGTCCAGCGAACCTGGATACTGTAAAGCATGAAACATGAGACTCTTGGGCATAGTTATGAAAAAAGACAGTTAGCGTAATGGTTGTGGGTCCCAAGCAGTGCGCAGTCATACGCACCAGTACGCTTAAACTGGCGGGTCCACATGCACTTCCCAGAGGCTGAACACTTGGGGCAGTCAGAAGCCTCACAGCTGGTTTCAGTACAGTTGCTGGACAGGAAAATTTCCCTTTGGTTTATTCTGCAGTCATGTTCCGAAGTACAACTCACAGAGCTGCTGATACATGCTCCTTCAGGACAGTTAGTGCACCACTTACACTGCAGAGCAGGCTACATGAGTGAGAGTGAAAGAGAGAGACACAAAAAGAAGACAAAAAAAAATAAATAATAATAATAATAATAATAGTAGTAAGTGAAAATGAGAATGTATGTTGATTACTTTTTGAGAATCAGTTCACAGCTTTGAATTTATAGATATGATTTGGATTTATAGATATGATTCAGTCCTAAAAGATCATTATGCATGTTATGGATTGCAGTCAAGTGATCAGGGCGCAGTGATCATAGGTCTGTTTTCCGATTTCCAACTGGCCACAACATCTTAAAGAAGATAAAGGCTTTTGTTGAACAAAGTTTACACAATATTCAATACATCAAAGCTGAGACAGGGACTTAAATCAGTGTCTTGGACATCAACTGACTCAAACTCAGTTCAGACCTGCCCTTAAACGACTCAAGATTTGTGAAAAATCTGCCTGAGGGGGGAAAACTAAGTTAGGACCGCCAACCTTACTGCAGTAAATTAATAAAATCTTTTATTTCCAACCTTCACCTTGCCTGTCACTTTTGTTACAGTTTTGCACTTATGCACAGTCACTGCTGCAGTGCCATTCCCCTGCAGCCTAATAAGCCTTTCATTCTAGAAAAACCTTCTATATTTATTCTTAGTTAACTATATTTAGTCTGTAACTTAAACAACCACTGCAAGTTGTTTTGTCTCTTTATTTTAAACACTGCATTTACTGCATGTAGCGCTTCAGTTCTGTCCTTCAGATAAAAGTTTTTCTGTAATGAATGGCTTGTTATTTGAAGTTGCGTCAGACCTGACAGTATTTAGTAGGGGTTTAGGTTTGTACAATGCAACACCTACATCTAATAACAAAACTGAAGTTAAATTCTCTACTAAACAATCAAGACTCAACTCCCTTCAAACAACTTGTGAATATCTCTGCATAAAAGATGTTAGAAACAGCAGCATCATTAAAAAAAAAGTTTTTTTGAACCACACTAGACCAGATGACCAAGACTAGTACTGTAGAATTGTCACATACCAATAAGTAGAAATAAGATATTTATTTTCTATTATTCCATGTCACTTCTGTCTTACCTGTGCAGGGCTGGTGAATGTTCTGGGGTGTCGTGCCAGGCACTCGCTACAGGTCTTCAGTCGGCGACACTGATCAGGGAAGCGGGGAGTAGGGGAGCAAGGGGACTGGCCAACAGAGCAACCCAGCCTGGGAAAGAGAGATGACAATGCCATATTTAAAGTTTGCTCCCTGTGTTGGAATGTGTTATCTTCACTTAGAAAATCAACAAAATACAGAATTTGATGCGTAATTTGGGGTATTCAAACACAAATTGGTCTACAAACTGCCATAACAGTGTAAAATTGGGAAAACATCTTACTGACAATAATAAAACTAAATTAAATAGATTTTAATATTTAATTTGTTACATAATTGTATTTAAATTATTATTTTGTTTTTGTATTTATTATAAAAATGATCATGATGGGAGAGTGAGGTCACGGGTCACTAGCGACCCAAGATATGCATTTAAGGGTTTACCTCTCTGCTGTGTCTGAGGAGGCGCAAGTGCCTCGGCACCACACACAGCTGCCAGTGCTGCTGTTACAGGCCTCAGGGGAAGGCAGCAGGACACAGGGGTCAGAGGGCAGGGAAAGAGTCAGTAGCCGTCCCAGCATGACCCCGTTAAAGCCACCTGACAAAAACAGGCGGCCTCCCCAGCCCGCCATAGCCAAGGAAATGGAGCGATTAACTGGCTCGCCGACTGAAGATACTGGGGAAAGAAAAAGGGGGGAAAAAAAAAAAAATCTCAGAACCATGTTGAACTTTCAATCTTGTCTTTGGTCAGGAGAGTTAGAAAGTACACAGACAAAAAAAAAAAACGTATTATCCTTTTGTAGTTGAAGTCCACTTCTTCTGAAAATGACATGAAAGTTTTCATTTGCCTTTTACAGAGCATGACCGAAACACAAAGAATTTCTTCTGTTTAGTTTTTAATGCCAAACTATTCAAATAAAAGACTGACTGGATTGCGCCATTAAGTCTCTGCCCTTGTCAACAGTCAATATTGCAGCTTCAAATCTGGTACTGAAAATTAAAAAAAACTTGCAATCAATTTTTTTTGGGTTACATGAAAGAACTATTAAAGTTACTCAACAAGAGAACAATCTATTACTTGTAACAAATATATACCGACCGGCCACTTCACTATGTACACCACCTTATTTCTGTTCTCCTTTTTATCAGCTCCACTTACCATACAGGTGCACTTTGCAGTTATACAATTACAGAACGCAGTCCATCGGTTTCTCATACATACTTTGTTAGCCTATTTTTACCCTGTTCTTCAATGGTCAGGACCAGAGGGCAAGTATTATTTGGATGGTGGATCATTCTCTGCACTGCAGTGACACCGAAATGGTGGTGGCAGTGTGTTAGTGTGTGTTGCACTGGTACAAGTGGATCAAATACAGCAGTGTTATTGTCCACTCACTGTCCACTCTATTAGGACACACCTACCTTGTTGGCATAAAGTCAGAGGCTACAGCTCATCTGTTGCTGCACAGTTTGCGCTAGTCATTCTCTAGGCCTTCCTCAGTGGTCAGAGGACGCTGCCCACAGAATGCTGCTGGCTGGATATTTTTGGTTGGTGAGCTATTCTCTGTCCAGCAGGAACACTGAGGTGTTTAAAAACTCCAGCAGCACTGCTATGTCTGACCCACCTGTTAACACACCTTAATATGCCTCCATCATTGTCAGTGCCAGTACACTGCTGAGAATGATCCACCATTAAAATAATACCTGCTCTGTGGTCCTGACCATCGAAAAACAAAGTAAAAGGGGGGTAACAAAATATGCAGAGAAACAGATGAACTACAGTCTGTAACTGTAATTTATGTAATATGGCTATGTAATGCTCAGTATGTGTTCATATTAGCAAATACCAAAAAACCATGTACTCGATCTGGGGGATGTATCAATGCATCCCTACTCAAGAGCATAGTGGGAGCTTGAAAAAGCAGTTAATGTAATCTCTGGTCAAACTGCATCAGGAGTGTTTAATATCACGGTGCACTAAACTATACCATCTGCTGACAGATCATCATATTATATTTTTATTTTTTTTAGCCTTCAGCTAACACGCCCTTTTTTTGATTAAATAATTTCTACCATGATTCAGTCCAACTTTAATGAAACCAATTCAAGAACAGAAAGCACCTGTCCATTTGTCTTGAAATTTCATCACTGTATAATTGTGTACATGTGAGGGTTACCTGGCTGAATCCAAGTGTTGCAGTTGATCTGATAGAGGTACACACTGTTGCTATAATCTTCAGCTCCTGTCCGGCCTCCAACTATCACCATGGTGTCTTTCAGTAGGGCCGCCGCATGGAAGAAACGTGAAAGAGGCTGTAGAAAAGAAAACCTGTTTATACAAAGGTCAACTTTCTTTCAATCCTTGCTATAAAAACAGAAAATCAGCTCTTTTGGGCTTCTGTGTTCAGCTACCTTGTTTCCCCGAGAAGGAACCAGTAAGGACCAGGTGAGGTTGGGGTAGTAAAGGCTGTATAGTTCTCCAGAAGGTTCTACAGCCTCCACATGGAAACGATAACCACCAAACACGTAAACAGCATCAGTCTGCTCATGATAGACTGAGGAATGTCCATACAGACCTAAAGCAAAAAGACAAGAATTGAACTACTGTTCTATATTCAAACATGGATATAACCTCCTAGAGTAATGTCAGGGTTTTACCTGTAGGTGGTGTGCCAGTGTGTGGGGCAATTGTCCAGTTGCCAGTCTCAGGGTTAAACTCAAGTAAGTGATGGTTGAACCCATTCTCTGGGGAATAGCCTCCAATAAGGAGTACAGACAAGCCTCTGCGCACTGTCAGAGTGTGACCAGCCACAGGAGGCAGCACTGAGCTCTGAAGACAGAAGATCATCAGGTCAAAATCTATGGCGTATTTTTATTTCCCCCAAAAAAACATGAAAAAAAAAAAAGAATGTAGCAGCTAGAAAAGGAGACATTCAAAAGATATTACCTCATATTTGCTCCACACCAGACTGCTGAGATTTAGGCTCCATGTGTCACTAGCAACACCCTTCTGAGTGACCCCACCCACCACAAGCATCAAGTGATGAGTGACCGTCTGAATACCAGCCAGACGGTCATGAATGGGTACAACAGCAGAGGCATGGTGGTAGCGTGGCATAGGGGTGGAGCCTTCCTCCACTGAGCTGGTAAGCATTTGAGTCCAACGATGCTCAACCACAAAGTACCTGAGCAAATCAACAGAATAGCAATGTCCAGTGTCTATAATGTCTACTCTGTCACTCGTTCTTTAATTTAAGCTGTTTATTCTGCTAAGGTGCTTACCTATAAACATTTCCCAAAATTCCTTCAGTGAGAGAGAGGCCTCCATACATCCACAGTGTGCCCTGAGGTCCAGGGACCAGCGAGTGGCCCATTCTGTGTAAGAACCTATGAGATGGATTCTGTGGGTTGGAGGGGAAAAAGGGGAAGAAAAAGATTATTAAAAAAATGGTCTATTTTTGCCCTAACCTATAAAGCAATTTGGTATGCAGTTCCTCAGTGCTTATCCTGCACTTGGCATGTCCAGTGCTTCAGCTCACTACCTCATAGGAATCAGTCCTTTATTACACGAACATGGCAAAACATTTACGACAAGGAAGCCTGCTCATTCCATACTGTATCTCATTAAGCAGGGCTCTGATTTCAGTGAGAGTCTTACCGCTGTGAGTTGTGTATCCAGCAGAGTCTCCCACACCAGGCTGTTTGGGTCTGAGATGGAGGAGCAGTCAGATCCAGCCCAGCCAACTGTGCATACGCACAGCCCAAGAGTCTGCAATTACATAACACACATGTTGAAAGACTTCAGGGACTTTTTGACTTTGCAGCTACTAACATCAACTTGCCATGGTCAAGTGTCTCTAAGAATTTGCAGTATGTTGTTGCAACATCAGCAAGCAAAAGTGCTTAATTTTGCAATGGTATTCTAGAATATGGCTTTCAGATTATGTTAATTATGGGAAAAAACAGTTTATGGTACAGTACGTGGTATGGCTCATTTATTTTTTTATTTAATTGTACTTTTTGGTGTCTTGTTCAAGGTTGCGTACCAAATAACATTAACTCGTGAACTGGCCCTACTGCCATTACTGTTTCTCAAACATAGATATATGCATCTCAGAGCTCATGTTCTCCAATCCAATTTGCTGCAATACAAAACATAAAGCAGGTGTACTGTTGTCCCTTCAAAGAACATGCTTTGAAACTGTTTAAACAGTAGTGCATGATCACTTGTTCTTACTATTTATGTGTCAATAGTTCTTGATAATGCAGACCATTCATAGCAGGAAAACTGTAGTGATACATTTGGCAAATTCTACAAATGGTTTATTTCCTGATGTCCTGCTTTCATGGCTTTATCTACTGCATAAGGCAACACTTGTGAACATTTTCTTGTACCGTGTTGCAGATGCCTCTGCCCTCTTTTGCCCCACAATCCCCTGGGCAGATGTGCCGGTCACAAAGAGGCCCACCATAACCACTGGGACACTGGCAGATTCCATCACGGCACTGAGCCACGCCTTGACATTCAGGTGAGCCTTCACCGTGTTCCCCAGAACCTCCCTCAGCACAGCGTCGCACCCAGAATGAGGCATTAAAGCCCTGAGGATATGCCGAGGACACATTTGCTTCAAAGTAGACAGATATCACACCTGAAACAAGCAAAAGCAGTCAAAATCTTGTCAAGCCCTCATGTCATTCTCTTTATAAAATAAAACAAACTGAAGACATTTTAAGGCAAAAATAGCTTGTGGAGGCATCACTATCAATATGTAGGAATGTACAGTCAAACCAATTGTTAAACGCAGAAGACTAGACAAATTACCAGATGTGGCTTCAACTGTGATTGGCTGATTTCGAGTAGTGCCACAAAAGGCTCCAATCAGATTGTGGTCTGAGTGCATCACACCATTATTCAGAAAGTGTGGTAGTCCATCAAACACGTAAACATAGGAGTTCTGTACAATAAAAAGGAAATGCATTATTCTCCTGCTGAAATAACAGTGACTTAATTATATGAATGCCTAAGCCCATGAATTCCCCTTCTGTCCATTCAGGGCAGGTGCTGCTTTGATGTAGAGGCAAAACGCACTTACTGTGCATTGTGTATAAGAGTCTGGATGAAGGGTCAAAGCCACAGGAGGGCAAAGCTGGCCTGGCATGCATGGTACTAGGTCCTGAGAGACAGAGAGGACCCAGAGGCAGTGCGATAGACCACCCTGACCCCCTACTGCCCCACGCCAGCCAAGAGAGGATGAGAGGGGCAGTGCTGAGACAGATGACGAAGACAAGACAACCGAGCGACCCTGACACTGTCTGAAACATGTGCCATTGTTCCTGAAAGACACAAAGAATGAATGCATAAATTACATCTTCAAATTAAACTTTAAATTATGAGGGGTACACATTATTGACAATTACATATGTTGCACATTACAAAAAACAGTATGAAAGGCTTATTAAAAGAGCATAGAAGTTACATAATTTCTGAAGTTCAAATGTGTGTTTATTGCATGTCTTTTTGAGCTAACACACTGTAAAAGCAAATTAACACTGCACAACAAATGGTAAAAATCCTCAATTGTGTAAGTATCCTCACCTGGGGTCTCCATAGTAACCAGGCAGGCAGAATTCACAGTGTGGTCCATTGGTGTGGTGAGTACAGTAGCACTGGCCTGTCTGGTTGTGGCAATAGCCCTGTAGGGGGTCACCATGGCCATTACACTGACATGGCACACAGCCTTCACCCCTAGCCAGAGCAGAACCAAAGCTACCTGGTCGACAGTGCTCACAATGTGGCCCCGTTGTCCAGTCTAGGGGAGTGAGGGAAGAAGACAGGGACACACAGCAGGATGAGTGGGACAATGTATGTATGCAACTCTAGATGACAGCTGGAGATGCACAATGAAAAACATGACCAAAGCATACAGAAGCAATAACAAGACATGGAGAAAATAAAAACAAGAAACAAATTAGGCAAGAGCCTTATATATACTGGGCAGATGGGTTTGTACAGTCTTCTGTTCAGACAGACTGAGAACAGAGAAGAATATTTCACCCTGGCACTGGTCGCAGATTCCTGGTGCTGTGATGCAGGTGCTGTGGAAGTTACATCCACAGTCAACATCACACTCTACCCCACTAAGCACTAGAGTAGCTGGGTCTGAAGTCCAGCCCAGGGAACACTCGCATTCGAATCGTGGACTGCCGCTGCACTGGCCCTCACGACACTCATTATAGCATCTAAGGGGAAAGGAAAGAGAATCAAATATGACGTTAAATGGCGATGGCACTCTTGGCATTACCTCCTGATACACTAAAAGCAGCTACAAAACACTGAGTTGCCAATTAACTAGACACACTTATTTTATACCTACACTCACTGGTCATTTCAGCAGGTACGCCTACTACACAGGGGTAGTACTTAATTAAGTACATAATTATTGACTCAGCAATGCTGCTAAGCCTGATAAACTTGCCACTACAATGACTGTCACTGCCATGCTGAGAAATAACCATCAACAAGTTAATATCTGACCAGTAGTGGTCCTATGGTGATCGCTTTTCATTGATGTATCGAGTAATGGCTGGCAAATTGTGCATAACAACATAAGCCACAGCCAATAAATGCATGCCTACAAAATCTCTTTATCCATTAGAATTAAACAAGCTGTTTTTGTGACTGTGCCTTTATTCAGTTCAATTCAATTAATTTCAACTGAATAAAGGAACAGTAACAAAAGAAAGTTGTATGTAAATTATCCCTGTTCTGACTGGTGGCCCTGCTCTGTGCCTCATTCAAAAAGCAATCATGCCTGAAACACTCCTTATCAACTTCAACATAAATGGCCAGGGCTAAAGTACTGTAGGCTGTACAGGTGTATACATGTAAATATGCTGGTTTTCATGACATTACAAAAGAATTTTTGCAGCATTGGTGCTATTTACCTTGTATAGACTGGGGAGTGAATGCTATGCCTTGAAACTTTAACAATGTTTGCTCACTACATTAGACCTCCAATGAAAAAAAAATAGGAATGTGGGTTTTATGTGATTACGGGCCTTTAAGAACTAGCACAGTATTGTGAAGCTTTCCAAGAAACTATGCACATATATCACACAAAACTGATAAAAAAAACCAATAAAAACAAAAAACAAAAAAGTTACAGAGTCACAGCTCACGTCTGATTGCAGTAATGCTCGCCATCCCCGGTGAAGCCCCTCTCACAATGGCACTCATAGGAGGTGGGGGTGTTTACACAGGTGGCAGAAGGGTGGCAGGTATGGAGGCCCAGCCGACACTCCTCCACATCAGGGCAGGACAGGTAGGACCAAACAGCATCTCCATCACCCTCCACCCCCTCTAATAGCTCCAGCTCCATCTCAAGCTCCATCGGCCGTGGGGGAGACAAGGTCTGTGGCTCAGGACTAAAGGGATAAAGGAGATTTAACATTTAAAAAAAATATTCGACTTTAAACTACAAGAGGCAGTGTGGTAGATATTACTATGTTCCGACTGGTCTTCACTCAGCGATAGTAACATATGTCCTAAAACATCTTTTAGGAAGGCAGACAGGCAGACAGACAGACAGACGCATACAGACTGTAAACAAGCTAGCTACTACAAATGCTGTCCTATATACAATTCCTGAAGAACAATATCTGGACAATAACAGCTTTCTGGGTGCACGCAAGAGATGTTAAAGCCAGAATACAGAGCTGCAAACATCAAAGACAGGTGCAAGCAGCAGGTCTATCCAGACAGAATTTTTTATTTTTTTTTTAATTTACATCTCCTCTCTCATAGTTCTCAACTTCAGGGGTAAAACGAGTATACACAGAAAAACATTACTCATCCATGAAATGCAGACTTCTTGTTCTATAGCGTCTAATAAACATTACATAGACAGAGATGATCATATACCTAAATATCGAGAAAAATCAGGTATGCTGCTCATAAAGTTAGCTAGCCAGTTGCAACAGTTAGCAGAAAAGCAACATTCACCTCAGAGTCGAGGAAACTTTATCATCAAATCGAATCCATCACGTCCCAAAAATACTGATGGAACAGCAGTTTACATCTTCGTGGCATACAACCCTAACTCTGCTTGCAGGTCATGTTTATAATCCTCCCAAAGGATATGTTGACTGCATACTCTAATACTGCATACCCAGTGAAGTCTGATGTCCCTTGGTAAATAACAGCAGGCGACACCTACCCATAAATTGTGCACTCAGGCACGACATAAAACTTCACCACTGTTTTTGGAAATAGTTACTGATTATCAAGACACGAACAACGAACTCACAACAAACTCGCACTGCTCCTTTTCCAGTATCTGCACGCTCACAAGTAAACAACCCTGGGGGTAGAAGGCTGCCGCACTGCATTATGGAAGTTGTCGTCTTCTTAGACAAAACCTATAGCGACCTCAGTGGGAATAAACATGTGAATTTCTTGTACTGTGTGTTTATTCTTGCATGATTTGTTTTCAGAGAGTCCAACTATTGCACAGTAAGCTTTTTACACTATGATGAGTTAGGGTTTTTAATTTCATGTTTATATCTGATTACAATTCTTTAGCAGAAATGATAATATAAATCAACTCTAGCTCTAAAATATGCATTGATTACTTTTACTTACATCTTTTTGTACATTCAAGACTAACCACTTTAAACATCTAAATAAATACCCACTGAAAGGAGAATGGGGCTACATCCACAAAATCAGCAAGCTTTAGAAACAATCTAGATGCACAGTGATCTTTAGTCAATCTCAAGACACATACAAGAGTGATCCAGGTCATACCCAACAAATACCAAAACAATGAATACTGAAAGAAGGTTCTGCTTGGATATGTTTGAGTGTACCAGGTTTAATTTTACCTGGTGGCCTTCACTTCAGCAACAGCCATAGTGCAGTTAGTCACAGATGGGTCATTCATTCCACCCCAGTCTCCTTTCAGACACCTAACATAAAATGAGAAGGGGGAAAAGGTCAGAGTAGAAAGACCAGGGAAAGTGGATACATTTTTAAAAAGGGTTCTTTTAAACTCTAAATGCTATGTGACATCTGACACAACTAAATACAGGGAACAGCACACACAAAAACTTAAGACTAGGTAAAGTAAGAATTGGATGCTGACACATTTTAATAAAATGTGACCATCAATTTGGCTGTTTATTAATTGAAACAACATTCCCCTTTCTGGTGTGTGCTTGTATGTTTGAAAGTTTATCTACACCACCTCCTGTCAGGCACCATTCAGAGCTAATGAAAATATCCTGTATAGAGGACAGTGGGGCAACCTTACACATTTTGGGTTTTTCTAAAAGATTTTACATGTATTTAAGCTCGATTAATTCGTTTATACAACAACCCTCCACATCTCTGCTACAAATTAAAATGTAAATATTGTTTACAGCACCTACCCTTGGTGAACCATTCATTCAAAAGCGCCATGAGTGCAAATGTTACAACTTACTTAAAAGGTGCTATGAGCTAATTTTAACAGTAGCTAAAAAGTCTGGTGACTTTTAAATGAATGCAAAACACAATTAATTCAATACAATTCTATGCTGCTTGAACAGGACAAGCCTTCAAATACATCCTAAATACATTACATATGCATAAAAGTAATTACTGAAAAGTGGCTGTTAAATGTGGCAAATTTGTTTTTGACCATAAAGCAGAACAGCAAATATCAGCATATGAAACTCAAATGAGTTTTTGTTAATCTGTGCATAAAAATGTCCAGAAAATGAACTGTTCTCAACTTATATGGGCAGGTAGAGACTTCATAATTGCTTACTTTTGGAGGGTTAGTTGCAACACTGTGTTAAAAATAATCCCAGCATTTGAAGACTGTACTTCAGCCTGGCTGGCTCTAGCTTTGTTGTTTATATGCTTCAAAACAGTGCTGTTACAGCCACCAAAAGTGTGATAAAAGTTATGTAGGTGTGAATTCTGTGACTTATGGCCCCAACTCAGTAATCAAAACATGTTTATGACAAAAATGTTACTTTTATGGTACAAAAAGTCTTCAAAGTGAATCTTGACATAGATCACTTTGTCAAAATTCTCAGACAAAGCTGCGATGGAAATACAAAATGACCAATTGTACATTTTGATCAAAATTGTTTAACTACATAAAACACCCATGATACATTTCACCCCATGTTAGGTTGGGCCCCGCTCTCCCCTGTATGAACAGCCCATCTTAAAAGTGTAACAAGCATTATTAAACAGTTTAAGAAACTATTTATGTGTACGCCTGAGCTTACCCAAAAGTGCGTCTCTAACCTACCTGCCAATAGTGGGGTTGTTGTAGTCTCCACACCAGCCACACTGAAACGTCTGCAGGCATTCTGTACATGTGGCTAAAGCTGAGCACTGCTTACACTGGGGAACTGAGTGAACACTACAGAAATAGAACAAATAAGTCCAAATCATTAACGGTCCTAAAAACTGCACACCAGTTTCTTTCACTGAAGGGTTATCCTGCAAGCAAATTCTGGTTATGCTAGAAGCTAATCTTAAATGTTCATGTTCTTAATTGTCTATTTATGGTTGTACAATACATAATATATGCATTCATTGATTTGTACAAGGACTTTCAAATGAGACTAACTTTTAAGAGTTGTTCTGTAAATAGCCGTTGTTAAAGTGCCTAGAAATGCAGTGACTTACCTGTCATACCAGTCTCTACACTCTCCATATGGAAACTTGGTGAGATAAGCAGCAAAGTAAAAGCAGGACTGAGCAGACTCACACCACGCACACTGGCTGGAGTTGGACAGACACTCTGCGCATGTCATCCTCCTGTGATAGACAGCAAAGAAGGATTGTGATGGTGAAAACATCCACAGTTATCAATGAAAGGGTAATGGATCTGCTGTATTATATGCTTTATGTGTAATATTATGTTTCGTATTATGTGTCATAATATGTATGTGATCTGTTTATGTTTTCCAATCAATTCTAGGTGATCAATTCATACTTACTGATTACAGACTTTAGGGCAGCCACTTGGGTCCCGAATGGAACCTTCCAGTCTCCCACGGCGACTACACAGGTAATCACCTTTCTTACTGGAGTTGATTTGCCATTCACAGTATGGATCCTGCACAGTCAACAATAAGTGTCATTAAGGGGTGCATTCTGTAGTTACTGCGATAAATTATGTCAGGAAACACCTTCCTAGGAATGTTGCAGTGCATTCTTCATAAAAAGCAGTGATTCCGATCAACTGTAGAAAGGCTGTAAACAACAACTAGAGGAGTTTCACTGTCAAATAAAAACTGCCTAGCAACAGAATTAACTCTATTCCATTATCTTCTTTAGGATAATGGAATAGCTTATTTTGTTGAATACAAATTAGTAATGTTTTGTTTTGCTGATTCATGTATCTGTTCCAACTTGTTAACAAATGTCTAAAAACTAAATACTATGATACTGTATCATCAAGATGTCTTCAAATGTTGCAACAATAAATATCTGCCATATTTAACAACTGCACAACACAGCAGAGTTTTCACTATGATCTTGCTTTGTGTGCTTTATGCGGGTTGGTTGGGCCGGTTGATATCTGTGTAGTACCTGAGTGCAGGCTGCACAGTCTCTGTACTCCTCACATAGTGTACAGTGCTGGGGGTTGAGCAGCAGGTGGCGCTCTCCTCCCTGCAGCTCTAGGCAGGGCTCATGACTGACATTGGCACGTAGTGAACACACATTGGTGGTGGGACACCAGCCACAGGACTGATCAGACAGGCAGGCTGAGCAGGAGCGGTATTCGGAACAGGAGTCTGAGCGATAGGGCTCCAGAAACAGGAATGAGATCTCCTAAAGTATTTAAAAAAAAAAGAAAAAAGAAAAAAGATAACATCTTAGAACATACAAGTTAGAAATAAAATGTCCCTTTTATGTCCAAACATACTTCAAAACGTACATAAAAGTACTTTCTCCCCCCTTCAAAGGAGGCACTGAAAAAATCCATTTCAGGTTTCCCAGATTTTAGATCTTGCTCATTCAAAAAATAGATAAAATTAAATTAAATCAAATAAACAAGCAAATAAAAACCCTTACACTTCCTCCAGGTAAAGCAGTCCTATTCCAGATAAGGGTCATCTCACTGGTCTGGCCAGAGGCAGAGTTGTTAAGGTAGCCCTCTGCCTGCACCAAGTAGCGGTTCCCCCGTGTCAGGTTCTGAAACAGGCGTGAACCGTCCGGCCGAGTCAGCAGAGGGTTCTGCTTCTCCTCCTGAGCTGACCAACGTCCCAGCACATCCGTCTGAGACCACAAAAGGTTTTGCACACCGTCAATCACACAAATAATAAAGACAAGATATATGCCATACTGTCCTGTAAATGTTAAGAGCATTGTTCTGTGTGGTCCAGCCAAATAGGTCACTTTCACAATTGAAAATGGTTGTTAAAATTTAAGAAAATGTGATTCTTAGACACTGGATTTCAGTTATAACTCAATTTTGGCCAAAACTTGCAGTCATTGGTCCTATTTCTTATCTTAAAATGAATTTACGCAAATGTCACTGACAGGTTTGTTACTGATCAATTTCTTCTTTGGACCTGTACGATCAAACTCATGTCTGATAGAAGTATATGTAAATTTGGGCATAACGTTTTAACAACCTAAAAAAAAGCTTGATTAACTTGGTTAACTAATCAAAACTATTGTCAATATCATCTGCAACACCAGTACTAAGATTACGAATATAAAAAACCAATAATACTAAAACCTTGTCCTCATGGAAATCCAACACAAAAATGGATATATCCATTTCACACGCACACTAACACTATAAAGTCTGGTCAGTAGGGGGAGCAATGCACTCACTCCTCCATCTACGAGCACCGCCACTGGTCCATGAGGTGCTGATTGCTGTCGTTTTATTGGCTCTAGGGCTGGGAGATAAAACGATAACGATAATTATCGCAATATAACTTTTCCTCGATAGAGCGATACAACATGTTCGATAAATGTTCGATATAATACACCATTCTCACACTTCCACGTTCAGCGAAAGCCTTGGTGGCATTTTCTACTGCAAGGAAAGCAACACTACTCTGCTGTCGGCAGGAGAGGGCGCACTTCCGAGTTTTTCAACATGAGTAGAGAGGGAGGGGGCCACGAGTAAGATGAGTCTTTAGCAACGGCTGAAACGCGGAGTTATGCATTCCCTGTTTGAGTGGAGCGACCGGCGATCTGTTCTCCTGTGACCGAGTGTGAGTGACGAGGTCAGTGGCGTAACTGTACTGTCCTACAGTGAACTCACCTCTTTCCGTACATCCTAACCAGCTTTAGCAGCGTTAAATCGGAACTCAGAACTACAGCACCGTTACAGCGCTCGGATAGTCATATTTAAGTATTAGTGCATTCACCAGCAACGAAAGTGAAAGAAAGAAGTGGGTTAATGTAAATTACAGCCCTGATTTAAACGAAAGTAAACTGAGGAAGCTGTGAGGCATTGGAGAGCGGGAGAGCGCTAGCTTTCCAGGCTATCTGTTTTTAGCAGCTGGCTAACTTGAAGCAGCGCTCTGTCACTCCACAACACAGAGAATTGATGATACTGTAGATCAGACAAGACACAAAAGCACCGCTTTCAGTTTAAACGTACCTAAAAACTTTGTTTGTCTGGTGTTGATATTTTGCAGTTCACCACTTAAACTACTACCATAGTATAGCTAGCTGGTGTCTGAATACTGTGATGTCATTTGTAATGGGGTAGCCGAGCGCTCGACACCAGCTAAAAATAATCTGTTTTCTTTCTTAAATTATGACTATACAAAATAGCCATGCTTTTCCAGCTGGTAAAAACAGCTCAGCAGACACTTTCTCCCACTCTCCCATCACAGATTAGTGAAATGTTCCACTGTTTGGTGAGTGTTTGTCGTGTTCCGACCATAAAGGATAGTTTAAAACAGCAATTAACCACCCAGGAGCAAAAATCAGCCTTCAAACTTGAAAGAAATAATGATGACATTTATCGTGATATGTATTGATATCGAACGATATGAATTTTGTTTATCGTGATAACATTTTTGGCCATATCGCCCAGCTCTGATTGGCTCCCTACCAAAACATCAGCATGAAGTAGGGCATGCTTCATATAACGATGATATGCAAACGAGGTGCTGGCAGGCAGGCACTTGATATCACACAATGAAGCTGTTTCATCATTTGCGTTCAAACTTGTTTCCACATGCACTTTGTATGTCATAGGCAGTCAAATCTGCACTCTTTTTTACACAACTTTGATAAACAAGGGCCACTGCATTTAGCCATTGTATGGCAGGATATTGGTGGTGTTGAATGTACATCACCAATATTAACAATGTGTCATTTTACTTGAAATCTAAGCAAACATCAGAGTGAGTTGTCCTCTCACCAGCTGTACAGAGTTGGGCCCTGCAGCCATCTGAACAGTGAAGTGAATCTTCTGGATCCGGGCCCACATTGCGATAGTCTCCTGGGGAGGGGGCGCAGGAGGTGGGGCGCCCCACAGAGGGTGAATAAAACCACGGAACTGCAGAGTGACATCCATCTCAGTGGAGGGGTTGAGCGTGATGGAGGTACTTCTAAGAATTGTCACCTGTAAACAGAAAGGAGACACAGAGACAAAGAAAGACACACAGATAAATGGACAGACAAGCATGCACACAGTTGGAAAGAAATGAAGCACTGAAAGCAAGACAGAGAGAAAGAAATACAATTTAAGGAGAAAAGACAAATTAAAAAACACGTACACTGGAGTTGGATATGGTTAATTGAACAGATGGATATCCAATCTCATCTCGTTAACTGTTTATGTAATTAGGTATTCGAAGGGGAACTTTGGAAATACAAACTGAAATCAATATATTGTGCATGAAATTTTTTAACTGAGCGTGTGACAGAGAACCAAAGAGTATGTTGCTGATATGTACTATATGTATGCACTGTATGTACAGATATTGCATCTTAGTAAATGAAACTGTTACGTCTAAGTGGAGCTATACATAGACACAAGTTCAGAGTTGTACAATGCACAGTACTGTTTAACAGTCAGCAACCACCCTTTAATCTATATAATTTCCAGTCAATACAGATCACTAAAGGAGCATTTAAGAAGCAACATGTAATACTGACAGGAAGCGTGTAAAATGAGCACAACAGTCCAAATTCAAAATACTGGAGAGAGTTGTCTGCCCCCGACCCCTCCTCCCCCCAGACTCGAGTTACAAACCATGTGGAGTTTTTCGTTTTTAATTCCCATCCCTACTAGCAACCGTGATAAATTAGTTAAGGTTAGCTTATCTTAATTTCAATGCTTACCTTTTCAGGAGAATATCAGCAAACTCTGCATCCGTCTTAAAGTCCTTCTGCGCTCTAAGCTCTCTCCATCCTCAAATGCGTCACTAATATTCGCTCATGTTTTAATACATCTATAGTCATGAAGCTTTTCTGAAGGATGCAGAGGCTTTTTAGATCTGGATCCAGTTTGTTCACTTGCCTTCTTGGCTGCAGCATTTTGTGTTTGCCTGCCAATGTGTTTCATATCCGGCAACCCAGGCTGTCGAAACAGTACTAGGAATGGGCAGGATCACAGGCCAAAACAAAAACAGACTTTCCGCTCCGGGACAGAAATTTTAAATGAGAACGAACTGACTGCAGCATTGTTGTATTTTCGTATTTCTTAGCATGTTTCCTTAATCTCTGATAACATATTATGGTTATTTTATGATTTAGTACTGTGAATATTATATATTGCTCCTTTAGGTACAAATAAATTATTTTTCAGCATCAGAGAAAAAAGCAGAAAACACATATTTAAGAAAAAAATTACACAGTAGCCCCAATAACTTAATATAGTAACAACATTTTCAGTATTTAGTTTTTTCACATATTGCCTTTATAACAGCTTCCAATTTTATTAGCACTTGCTTTCAGTTTTGTTTTGCTTTTTTTTTAAGAAATCCATAATAATGTTTCCATGGTTCTTGTACACAGTAATAATGTCAGTGACACCTTTTCAAACAACTTTTGTTGGGAGGACACAGTTGTAACTCATTTGTTTTAAGACTTGGAAGGACAGAAGAATTAAAATGGCAGTAGGGTGCACAAAAAGAGTGGGCAAATGAAATATTGATAGATTTAATATTATACTATAAAGGAAGCTTTAGTGTAATTGTCAAGTACATCGTCAAGTTTCTGACTTTTTTTCGTGAATATGAAAAATGAATAACTTGCACTTTGATTGAAAATTAAATAAATGAAAGGGTGGTCTCTAAATTTGTACAGTACTAACCATGTATGTCTAAAATGAACAATCAGGCAGGGATTATCCTTTGTGCTAGCTGCAAGCAATAAACAAATATTCAATGTTCCATTTTTTTACTCTTAAAAATATAAACATATTAAAATACCAATAATTAAAAATGCAGACACTTGAGCAGCAGAAATTATTAAAATGCCCATTGCTAGCATAGAAAAGAATATAGTGAAGAACATACACAGACAAATGGAGATACTTTAGAAAAAGAAATAAGGACATACAGGGACAGAAAAGATTCAAGTCCTAAGACAAAAGTCCAGCGAAACTACAGGAGGAACTGAACCTACAGTGAAAGGAAAGGCCAGAGGTCAGATCCAAGGTGTTGCGCGAGTCATAACATACCTTGTCGGGCTGTGATTGGTTGCGCGGGTGCTGGAAGGTGAGCAGGTGCAGTCCCGGGACATAGTTCTCGGTGCGACAGGAGGGGAGGGAGGTCAGGAAACGCGTCCGCTCCCCCCACCAGCCGTACGCCCCTGAGATCTGGTCCACGCGGCACGCACTACGCTCTGCCAGGGGTCAAAGTTTACAGTTCAACACAGAATTTAAGCACAACTGATGATTATCTCATAAGCATCATGAAACAAAGGGGAAAATTTACTGTATTCATGACTACACAAACATGAAAGTCCATCAAGAATCTATGAAAGTTACACCCCTTAGCTGATGTACCTACATGCAGGGAAGTCGATGACAATCCACAACTACAGAAGGCTGAGCAAATCATTATTTCACAGACAAAGAAAAGTGTTCATGTCATGAAATACTGATTGGCTAAAAACTCTGTGGTTGCACATTAACATCATGATTCATCTCAGACATTCATTGCATGGTAATTTGTTCATGCTATTCTTTCTTGCTCTCCTGCTCATACCTGAGACCGGTAAACAGGAATCGTTCTGCACACACCAGCCGAAGTCACCGGGGGCACGTGGAAGAGAATTGGGCACCCCGCTGAATACCAGACACGACTGGCAGTCAGAGAGGAAACGGGCCAAGCCCAAACAGCCAGTGCTGCCACACTATGGGGACACACAAACACACAATAGCTGCAAGTCAAAAACACTGCAAGCACAAAGAAAGGAAAAAAAGAAAAACTAAGAAAAAAAAACCAGAATAAAGACAAATGAAACAGAAGAAAAGACAGAGTAATAGAGATTTTTTGAAGTATTATGACAAACAGCAGAAATCAGAGAAGAATTTTACCGGGTCAGTTGGCTGGTACTCCCGACAGCGACCCTCACACCAACTGCATTCTGGGTTTTTAAGACACAGGCTCTCATCTGGAGCCTCAGCACACACTGCATCCTACCAGACAGACACACACACACGAACAAATCTTATTTCTAGCCAGGGGTCCTCACTGCCTTATGCCTTGACTGACTGATTTGATTGACTGAGACAGTTACTCTAACATTCAGTTAAATTTCTTAAATCTTTTATTATACGTACAGTATTATACACTCTGAACTGACAGCTTTTGTTCTTAGACTTCTTGTGTGAAATAAACATCTTATGGGGCAGTGAACATGCTTTGATTTTATACTGGTCTAATGCGCATACTGTATCTTCTGCTTTCTCTCACCTTTGAACATGATGTTTCTGCTAACATCAGGTTAAAACCAGAAATGGCACATGCAACCAGTAAAGAGCAGTGTTTCCCTCATAGTTTGTTTTTAAATGGTCGAGATTCAAGAGTGAAAAACATTGCAGAATGTATTTAGTACATGGTTTTGGTGGCATGCTGCTCGCAGTGACTGGTAAAAAAACTTTCTAGCTGTGTGTTTCTAGCTGTGTGCTTACATTTGCTTGGGCTTGTTTAGATTAAAAGGCAGCTAGTTTAAACACAGTGGAAACACTGGAGCGGCAGATGTAACAGTAGAATTAAGTAGTTTTAGACGTAAATGAGTGCAATGTACCTTAAAAATGAAACCATTAAAATCTAGCTGATTTTTAATGACGTGAATTAGCTAGCTATACTATATTAGTTAACTTTGATCAAGTAGCATTGCAGTGGAGAAGAGTGGGCAGAAAAGCATAAGTCATAGTTTTGTTTGCCTTTCTCTTTCAACAGCAGTCTCTGTAGCTCAGTGACAGCAGGAATCATATCTGAGGCTAAGGCATCCGGTGAGCTTATGGTTCGTGCTTTACGTCTTGTTGGGAGTATTTTGTCAGGCTGGTTGAGCTGTAGTTGAATGCCCTCTAAAGCCAGGCATACACTGTGCAATTTTAGAAATCTTACTCTTTGTTGGCTCACATTGTGACACATTTGAATAGACCATCGTGTACAGACAAAGCCTAAGATTTATACGTAAAATGCAGCCTCTACAGACAGCTCTATTTACAGTTTCAAATAAAGCTCTTTCATTCAAAATAAAAAAAATAAAAAACATAAATCACTGTGCTAGCGTTTTTACCTTGCTATTGTATTCAGTCAAACATTGGTAGCAAACGCTGACCTTTTTTTTTTTTTTGTCTCTGTTTAATTAACTTGCGTGTCTCCACCCATACTGGGTAAGGGGTTGTGACTGTGTATTCCTAGTGGGAATCTGCCAAGGCAAAATGTTTGAAATGACCAAAGCCTTTGTGTGCAACTATGACAGAGTCAGTAACTCTTCTCTGTGTGAACAGAGCCTTCTTCACTGTGTTTTTTCATTTGTACAGTAGCTATACTTGGCTTACTTCACACAGTATCAGCAGGTATCAAAAAGGTGTGTCGATATATGCATCGATACAGTGATGGCTGCACTGCTACAATGTACTTTTACATGGCGCATGTATGCGCAAGTGATACAGACAATGCAAGTCTTAGACATTTTACAGCCTCCAGAACACTGGCAAATATGTCCTGATAGTGAAGGTTTATTCTTAATTTATTACTACACAATCTTACAAGCCCACATGAGGCACCTGCAAGAATTCCATTCTATCTAATTTATTTTTTTTGCTAGCCTATCACAAATCAAAGTGTGATTTCTAATTTATTGAATGAACTCACTCTATCTCCAGGATCACTGATGACAAACAGTGGGACTTTATATGCTACCAGGTCTCCAAGAGCAACCCCACTGTAACCACCGGCAACAAGCAGTACACGACCGTCCATCACAGCTGCTACATGGGAGTAGCGGCCTCTTACAGGCTGGCTTCCTATTAGAGGATAAATGGAAAAGGCACCTTCACACACAATGGTTAAAAAGATCTGACCAACTGCATCAGGAAATAGTCCCATATTTGCATTTTTACATCCCATATTTACAGTCACTGTCCACCTCTATCCAGTACTCCTTTTTCATTCTGCAACTTCCTCTCTCTGTGGTTGCTAAAAACTTACGATGCTGCAGACTGTCTCCAGCAGAAACCCACTGGTGGCAGCCAAGATGGTAGAAAAAGATCTCTTCATCATAGCACTTTTCTTCCATGTAATGTATGTGCACATTCCCACCTGACATAAAATGTTTTCACATTTTAATAAGGCAACCCACAAAAACACACACTGCAGTCTTATTCCTTGACTGTCTTAAGTGGCAGGGCCAACACTCACCATAAACCACCATGTAATTGCCAATGATTGTGGCTGAATGGAAGGCTCTCTCTCGAGGTCCGTTAGCAGGGAAACGAGAACGGAGGGACGTCCAAAAACGCTTGTCCACATGAAACACGTCTGTGGAGTTCACCCGCACACTGAACCTGAGAGAGGCAGAAAAATGTCTAAATATAGGAATTATGAATACTGTCCCACACCAAAAAATTACATTATGTTGTCTTCACATAAACAATTTCTCATCTTTGTCCAATGCTTTTAAACTGCCTTTATGTAAGGCCTTGCATTCATGCCTCAGGTCTACACTTCATGTAGAACTCAGTGGCCATTTCAATGGGTACACCTACCTTGTATCTATACTATTTGTCCATTTTATCACTGAAACAGATTGCCCACTATGCAGAGAAAGAGATGGACTACAATCTGTAATTATAGAACTACATAGTGCATCTACATACACTGCACACCTCCTTACATTTACACTCTTTGCCCATCTTAACAGCTCTATTTACCTTATTTGTGCACTTTGTACTTCTATACAGACTGCAGTCCATCAATTTCTCTGCATACCTTGTTAGCCCCCTTTTACCCTGTTCTTCAATGGTCAGGTACCCTTTAGAACCACCACAGAGCAGGTATTATTTGGGTGATGGATCATTCACTACAGTAACACTGACATCGTGGTGGTGTGTTAGTGTGTGTTGTGGCGGTCTGAGTGGATCAGACACAGCAGTGCTGCTGGAGTTTTTAAACAGCTCAGTGTCACTGCTGGACTGAGAATAGTCCACCAACTACAAATATTGAGCCAACAGTGATGATGGACTAGAGGACGACCGACAAATGAGCTATCATCTCTGACTTTACATCTACAAGATGGACCAACAAGATAGAAGTGTCTAATAGAGTGAACAGTGAGTGGACACAGTGTTTAAAAAAACTCCAGCAGCATTTCTGTGTCTGATCCACTCGTACCAGCACAACACACACTAACATTACACCACTACGTCAGTGTCACTGCAGTGCTGACAGTGATCCGCCACACGAATAATACCTGCTCTTTGGTGGTTCTGCGAGCGTCCTGATCGTTGAAGAACAGGTTGAAAGGGGGCTAACAAAAAGTATGCAGAGAAACAGACAGACTACAGCGTGTAATTGTAGAATTACTACATGCTCCTACATGGTGAATGGAACTGATAAATAATGAGTGTAGATACAAGGAGGCGTTCCTAATAAAGTGCTTTGTGAGTGAAGAGACAATGAGTATAGAAATAAAGCAACTTCACTTCTTTAGATTTACTCTGGAGCTAATGGAAGCTTATACTCTGTTAGCTAATCAGTTAGCATCATGAAAGATCATCACACACTCAGTTCAACCTGTTATCTAATGCGGTCACAGCGATTAAGGTTTCAAGATGGCTGCTACTACTGTTTTTAGGCATGTAACAAACTTGTGTTTGTTTGTATAGATAACAGCATGTCATAGTGTCAGAAACCACATTTAAAAATTTAAACGGCCCGAAGGCAACATTTTATTTTATTTTTCTAAGGTCCAACTTCTAATGTTTTTGTCATTAAATGTACCATAAACATGACAATTTTCCAGCAGCTCTTTATCCTCTATAATTAAATAGGCTGTTTTTGTTACAAGCGCCTTTAAGACCAATGTATGTAAATCAGACTCTGTTCTAAATGGCTGATCTGTATTGTGCCTCATTCAAAGAGCAGTCAGGGCTCAAACACTGCTTATAACTAACTTCAGCGTGAATGGGTGGAGCTAAACTGCTGCAGGTTGAATAAGTAGATATATGTAAAGATGTTGGACTGTTTTTCAGTTTAGCTTCCATAAATAGAATGTACAACGTTTATATTCAAAGTTCAGTGTTCTGTGGTACAAACCCTTAAATAACAGGGTTGCTTGTGTCAAAGTCATACCTGGCTGTTGTAGGTCTATATCCTCCATACACTAGCAGCGTTCTGGACGGAGAGTGAAAAACCATGCTGTGACCCGCAGTGGCTGGAGGCTTTCCCCCATATGGCTGCACGGTTTCCCACACACTGTTCCACAGCCGAAAGCGATAGAGAGAAGATGAGAACATGTCCTCCTCTGTGCGCCCTGTGGACAGACAGACAGAAAACGTGTGTAGAAAATGCAGTTAAAAATCTTGGCTTGGACACAAGAGTTCAATTTTAAACTATAATTACTGCTATGGTGCCTAAGAGCAAGGCACTGTGCTCATAGCGACCTACATCTGCTATGTATCAACTTACCTATATTTACTGTCGGTTAAAAAAAATATATTTTTATTTTAAGTGATAGCTAAACCAACTTACTGTAAATGTAAGAAGCTGACCACGCAGGAAGAAGTAATTATGTTGTTAAGTAAAGAATGCAGGCTTGTAAGTGCAGGTTACATAACAGCAATTTTGTTGTGTGCTCTGCTGTAGACTTTTCAACTCTGAGCCGATAAGTGTCGTCACTTACCACCAAACACGTAAAGACTGCTGTCTACGATAGCAGCTGCATGATTTGCCAGTCTAGGAGCCCCTGGGGCATTTGAGTGGCCAAGCTGTTGCCAGTCATTTTGCTGTGGACGGTATAACCAGACATCACTAGCCAATGAGTGGTTAGCAAGTTCGCCACCATAGATTACCATGTTACCCTGCCATTCCACTGCAGTATGGGAATGCCGCGCAGCCTTTTAAGAAAAAGACAGAGAAAACACAAACTTAACCGACCAAACAAAATGTTTATACAATCAATGCAAGCAAAAATGGGTCTGAGAAAACACCACTGACAAAAAAAACAAACAAATAAGAAATTAGGGGTCTTACTGGCGCAACAGAATGTAACAACTTCTCCCACTGATTGCTTGAAAAATTGTATTTCATGAGATCACCCAGTGCCCTGTTCAAGTCAAAACCTGAAATACAGAATCACTCATTAACAGAAATCAAATGCGCTTGAAAAAGCATTTTTTTTCCCCACAAGAGCATAAATACTTCCACTTAAAAAAATGTTCACTGTTTATTTAGAAAATTAACACTTTGACTATCTAATGTCATTTTTTCACAAGGCAGTGCAGTACAGCACAGAACAGCTACTCAAACTATCTATACCCTGGTCAGCAACCTGTGTTCCGTTTCCCATCGCATGTCAGAACCATGAAAGTCGGTTTGTGTGATCAGGTGACATGATAACTCAAGGAAACCTAAGGAGCTCTGAGTTCTTACTTACCTTTTAGTTTTTACCCTTGGGTTTATGTGAGAATCAGAGAGCAATTCTGGCTAGCTAATGTTTTTTTTTGTTTTGTTTTTTTTTTAATAGTGGTCATCTGACTCCAGTGACAATGCATTACAATTCTCTGAAGATCGTGCTGGACCACTTAGTGGTTTGCACTATTTTAGGGCTGCTACTGAATACTGAACTATCGAATATTTTTACTTTTAAGTATCATCTTAAATTCAAATATTCTATATGAATAAGGAATGGTTTATTAAAAAAACTATTTTCCTAACTATTATTTATTGTTACTACTACTACTACTACTACTAATAATAATAATAATAATAATAATTATATTATTATTATTATTATTATTATTATTATTACAAGGCAACAAAAAAACATCTATGACAACAATTATTGCCATAGCAAGCAGCATAAAATGTTATTATTGCTAATAGCTAATGTTACCTATACTAGCTACTTGCTTTCAATCTCGACAACACCACAAAGCAGATGAAAGTTGTTAGCTCACTATGAAACTTTCAATTAAAGATAATCTGGCTTCAGTTGCAAAATGTGAATAAAATGACACAGCATGGCTGTTATTAACATGTTGCAGTGGGGGTTGTGACGCTAATAAAGTTAGAACTGCCCCTCTCTGCAGCCTCTTCAGTGGGAAACACTGAACGAAGCCTGTTCGATAGTGTCCAAAGTTTGAGAAACTTTCTGGAGTGAAATGTCCAGTGCAGACTAACAACTTTGAATTAAAGCTGTTCAGGATCTTGTTAAAGATGTGGGAGCTGAAGTTGGCCTTCTATTTGCCAACTTGTTTGGGGTACATTCTGGCACCTATACTAGCTGTGGAACTTAGATTAAGAAGCTGGCAAACAGGAAGCCAATTTCAGCCTTATTTAAAGATGAACATCAACCATGCCCGCTGACCTTGGTTAAGCCTTCAGAAAGAAAGCTGTATGCCAATGTAAACACAGTGTTCCATCCTACGGCACCTTTAAACCACTGTTTTATAATCAGTGCTAAACCTACCTTTATTAATCCTAACGCCTGGTGCAGTTTTAATTTCCTTTTAAGTTCCTTTCGGCTCTGGACAGCCAGATCGCTAGCCAGCACGCTCTCATTTATTTTTGTTAATAAATGCAGTGAAGAGCAGGCTAGCTAGCAATCCAGAGCAGTAGGAAGAGCATTTGGATTGCACTAAGTAGAGCTGGGCGATATGGCCAAAAACATTATCACGATAAACAAAATTCATATCGTTCGATATCGATACATATCGCGATAAATGTCAAATCATGATTTCTTTCACGTTTGAAGGCTGATTTTGCTCCTGGGTGGTTAACTGTGGTTTTAAACTATCACTTATGGTCCGATCATGACAAACACACGGCAAACAGTGGAACATTTCACTAATCTGTCATGGAAGAGTGGGAGAAAGTTTCTGAGCTGTTTTTATCAGCTTGAAAAGCACAGCTGCAATTTTTGTAATAGTCATGATTTAAGAAAGAAAACAGATTATTTTTAGCTGTCTGGTGACGAGCACTTAGCTACCCCGTTACAAATGCTAAACAAGTGGCCAACAACAGAGCTAAACTCTTTAGTTTCTCAACAACGTCAACTCGGTTCGCAAGGTCACTGCTGTCACTCCTACCACATCCATGTCAGAGCATATCACAGTATTCAGACACCAGCTAGCGACGACTGGATTTCTCTATGCTACTGTAGTAGTTTAAGGGGTGAATCGCAGTATATCTGACATTCGCTGTGTAAAAGCATTATCTGCAGTGTGAATTTCTCACACCAGTCACAGAGTCCTCCTTTTAGGTATGTTTAAACTGAAAGCGGTGATTTTGTGTCTTGTTTGATCTACCGTATCATCAATTCACCGTGTTTTGCTGGAGCGCTGCTTCAAGTTAGCCAGCAGCTAAAAACAGCTAGCCTGGAAAGATAGCGCTCTCCCGCTCTCCAATGCCTCACAGCTTCCTCAGTTTACTTTCGAACATGAATCTACTTCTTTCTTTCACTTTCGTTGCTCGAGAATGCACTAATACTAAAATATGACGGTTTGGCGCTGTAACACGGCGCTGCAGACATGATTTAACACTGCTAAAGTTGTTAGGATGCACAGAAAGAGGTGAGTTCACTGCAGGACAGTACAGTTACGCCACTGACCTCGTCACTCACACTCAGTCACAGGAGAACAGATCGCCGGTCGCTCCACTCAAACAGGGACTGTATAACTCTGCATTTCAGCCGCTGCTAAAGTATATTTGGCCCCCTCCCTCTCTAATCAAATCGAAAAATTCGGAAGTGCGCCCTCTCCTGGCGACAGCAGAGCTTTCCTTGCAGTACAAAACGCCACCAGGGCTTTCGCTAAAACGTGGAAGTGTGAGAGTGGTGTATTATATCGAACATTTATCGAACCTGTCTTATCACTCTATCGAGGAAAAGTTATGTTGCGATACTTATCATTATCGTTTTATCGCCCAGCCCTAGCACTAAGCAATTAAAATCATCATTATCGGTTATATTATCAAATTAGGGGTCTAATACGGGCTATTAAGAAATGAGTCTTGACAGTCCTGCCTCTGTCTACTGCTGAGATATCACTGTGGCTTTGACAGGACAGGATCATTTAACTGACAGAAGAAAAGAACTAACCTTTAACTACTGACGTGCAGGCAGATTATCTTCCTCTCTTTAGATGCACTGCTACTGCACGCTACTGGTTATTTACTAGTGCTTAACTTGATAAGCAAAACTTCTTGTCAAACATATTTAAAAAAAAAATAATAATTCACTGAAGCTTTCATAAAAGCAGGTAAAAGTACCTTTTATTAAAATTGTTTTTCCGAGACACAATTATACAAATTTTCAAATTTATCAAATATTCGCTGCAGCCCTACACTATTTATAGCTCCATCGTTACTTTCGAGCTTGGTACACTTGGTAACTCAGCAAGAAGGGTAACCAAATTTATTCATTCAGCAGTGGAAATAAAAAAACAAAATATGCAATCACAGATTTGTAGCTGTACTGTGCCACACTGCTCCATGTAAAAATGGCGTAAGTTAACTGCTGCAAATGGCTTTGAAAACTTGCATTATCAAAAACCTACAATCATGACAAAAAAAATAAGATTTATAGCACTCTTCTCAAACAACTAATAAAATTCTTTAATTAATAATTATTAGTTAGTCATCAGTTAAAGTAAAATGACCGTGCCATCAACACAGAAGTATCAGTATATTCCATGCCAAACAAGAGATGATCTGCCAAAATATTAACAGAGTCTCATTTTCAGTGAATTTTCATAATCTTTGCCTCCTTCTTTAAACTCACCTCCAAACATGTACAAGGCCTTGGTGGAGGACAAGTAGACTCCAGCTGACGCAGTCCGAGGAGAGGCCCTCACATCTCCAGTGTTCACCTCCCACCACTGTCCCACCCCACTGTTGTCACGGAGACCTAGCTGACAGCTCTGTCCAACAAAGCCTGAGTTACAGAGGCAATGTTCTCCTTTCTGAAAAAAAAAAACGAGAACGAGAGAAAGAGAGAGAGAGAGAGAGAGAGAGAGAGAGAGAGAGAGAGAGAGAGAGAGAGAGCAATCACAGTTACTTTTCATTATACACTAAGATTCAGAAACTACTATTTATCTGACTTCACAATGGATAGTAAGAAAAATCATAACATACTGATACTAGTGATCATCCTGGAATATAATGAATATAAAATCTACAACAGTGCTGCTTATTCAAAAATACAATGAGATATCACACTGAAAAGAGAAGGCAAGGGTGGGCAATGTAGCAAAAATATAACATCATAATATTTTAATATATTTTTACAATACAATACAATAATGAATTTTTCTGAGGTTTGGTAGGTTGGAACAGAAAAAAAGTCTTTTTTAAATTTATCTTTCACATCCTATGCTGCACGATATCATTTTAAACAAGCCTAATTATGTTTTCTTAATAATGAAACATCCAGTTGTTGTACTGATGACATCCACACTGTGCTCAGAAAAACATAGGTAAGGTGTAATTTACTATGCCAATGATAAATACACTCACAATGCCCACCCAAAACCTAATTTGTAAAAACAGACAATTGTCAGTCATGAACAAGCCATTTATAACAATCAGACATAATGTCTGCAATAGCAGAAAGTGAAACAAACAACAAAATATCACATATATGATCTGTAATGACATGATTCTGAAGTATGAAGATTATGAAATAATAAAGTAAAAATTTTGGTGTATCTGCTAATAATGCTGTAGGTTGGTTTTACTTGAAAACGCTGACAGCTGTAGATTTTAAATACGTGTCTCATAAATCCCTGAATGCAAATTTTAAGCCCTGTTCCCTCCTCCTCTAATCCTAGCCCACCTTATCACAGTGGCCGTGTCCGTGCTGGGTGCAGTCTGTGGAGCAGAGCCGAGTGGTGCAGTCTGCCCCTCCCCAACCTTGATGGCACTGGCAACGGGACGAGGCCGCATCACAGCGCCCATGACCCCCACAGTCCCCGGGGCAAAGCGAGAACGTGTAGGTGGCGTTAAAGCCCAGCAAGTTGTAGTTGGCATCACTGAAGAGGTGGAGCAGCATCTGGAAAAGAAGAGGCAAGCATATGAAGGAACAGTACAGAGAGCAAGAATAGGAAGGATGGACAGAGGAAGGTGAATCAAAGAGGGAGTTCACAAGAACTGAGAGGCTGATGTTCCCCAGGATGTCTTGTGGACATCCTGTCATACAAAACACTGTTACATAAGCAGAGCTATAAAACAGACCACATAGTCTCTAAAGGCAATCTAAAACACACCACCAAATTGAGTACTAGTCTAAAACAGAAACCAGTCTCCACTTGCAGATCTTGGTTGTAGATCTAGGGTTTTAAATCTCTGGCCCCAATTACATTTCTTTAGGATAACAATGTGTCAGGAAATCTTCATTTACACCACAATTCAATTTGATCCTTTTGATATGTGTCAGTATTATTAAAATAAAGAACAAATTTAAAATGCAAGCTGGCTAAAGGATTTACTTACATATTAGCAGAATATAGAAAATAAAAACAAATTATATTTTCCCTTTTTAAGCAGCCTTCAGCAGTGCTGTTCTTCAACGCCATTTTGTTGCATTTATAAGAGTTATTTAAGTTGTTTATGCTCATGTTTAGTTCGTCTCGGGAGCGCTGTTTTGTTTCATTGTTTATCACAGTTTCCACAGTACGGCACAATACATATCATGAGAGAACATCATATCAGTATTCCTTTTATGCCAGTACACCACCCATCACTAATTCTACCATATTCCATTTTATATTATAATATATAATGCGACTAGAATGTTGATCCCAGCTTTCCACAAAAAGAGGCTAAACAAATCTTGATCTTGAGGTTACATGCTACAGGAAGGACCAAAGCCCCAATATCCTTTACCAGCTAATCTGATCTCAGGCATTAGACTCAGACACACACTTCTTAAGTAACCAAACAAGGCTTTAAAAAGCATCTAGGTTATCTGTATATTTTATTGATACAGAAAAATTCTGTTAAAAAATATTAGGACTTCTAAGAATTTTTTGTGACGATATAAAATTTATCAGCCTTTGTCTCAACACTGGATGCTTCTTATCATATGGTTCACCCATGCTCTTCATAAGATTACAGGAAAACACAGTTAATAGCATTACAAGTAAGAGCATGAAACAGTCTCTACAGGAAAATACAGGTAAGCACGTTACAGGCAAGAGCATGCACTCTCTCCACAACCAAAGTATTTAAATGACTCGTCTTTACCAAGAAACTCTCTCACTCATTTCAAAGGCATTATCTTATTGTTGTCCTATACTCCCCTGAAGTTATTCTGTGGTTAGCGTCATGCTCTTAATAGGAACTCAGTGTCTACACTGGTTTTCTCTACAAGGAAAATAAACAGACATTCTCAAATATTGCTGCCATGAGGTCCTTTGGTCAACAAAACTGTAGTAATATTTTACTATATCAGCATTTTTCCTCTGAGCATCACAGGATCCTTTAACTACATGGCCATTAAGGAGGCGGAATTAAATATAAGTGCTACATCAAAATAACCTATACAAATCGGCTGTCAAATGTGGTAGTTAAGTTGCTTTTGGCAGTAGTAGGGTAAAGTTAGAGTAGCTGATGTTACACAACAGTGTTGAACTGTTGACCAACTTTTATGCAACGTCATTTCAGTGTAAAAAACCACCTCTGTAATTGGACTCCTTAATATCAGCACTCTGTCTACACACATAGGCAAGAACAGTAAGGACAAAAAGCAAATATTAATAACAACGCTTCTTTTAAATGGGTAACACATTGTGCAGGCAATCTATCTCTAAAAGTACTGTCCAGCCTATGTAGACCAGTACTGCTGTTGAAGGTCTTAGACCAAGGTTTCTAGCTCTGGGTAAAAATTAAGCTAATCACCAAACATTCCCAGGTCATCATTGCAAGCTGACAAATATTCCTAGTGCACCTTTATTTGAGTAACACAATACAGATTTCATACACTGCACTGATCTGCAATTTGTTATATTCTTGAAATGTTACTTAGATTATAGTCATCCTAAGCGGAGCTATGGTGCCCTTAAGACGTAACAAAAAAATGACAGCTTCGTGGTCGAAAGCTAAATATCCAAATATCCCTAGATTACACAGACATCACCAAAAAGAGTCATTAATATACCAAAAATTTGTAGCTCACCTTGCCAGACTTTGCCTCTATTGGTTGGGGCAGGGTTGTGCCACTCAGACTTGCTAGAAGGGGGCTCTGATAGGAGTCTCCATCATAGATGAACAAGTAATCATATGTGCACTCTGTCTCCATGAAAGTGAAGTTGAGGACAATGCGATAATTGGTACTAGGAGCTGAAAGAGAAAAAAGGGGATTTTACTATGAATTGAATGTACTGCCTTCAGTAGCTTTATGACAAGATGAACAAATATCCCATCCATTTGGCATGGCCCTGTCCTGCAACAATAAATGCCGCACAGTGTTGATGTATGTAGACTGATGTTACTAACCAGCTAATATTGGAAGTATCTAGAAGTAAGATATTGCATGACTAATGAACATTAGTTCCATAACAATAAAAGGGATTTCCACTGATTTTTCAAAATGTTCTACATAATTCAGTGCATGAGACGTAAACAAATCATTCAGAGTGGTTCTAGAGAAATGTACAGGGCCAGAATTGTTTACAGTGGTGGTGATACGAACCAGACGCCCAATGCGTTTACTGCTCCTAAAAGCTCCTTCAATGAAAGTTATATATGAAATTGTTATAAATAAGCTGATGCCAGACATTGTTTCATTATAGTTTTGCGATATGCTTTTGTCTTAAAATATATTTGAACAACTATTCACTATTTAGCACTACTCATCATTTTCAGATTTACCATCATTTTACCATTACATCATTACATATAAAACTCTGAAGACAAGTAGGTTTACTGGTCACTTCGGACAGTAAACAAAATGGATACATTTGCAATGAACATTTGTAATGTTTGCAAAACAGAGTCTGTAACTTCCTCTTCAATGAACCATTTCATATTAAAAAGTTATAAACAACTTGTTTATCACACCTAAACAACGGAATTATCCAGAAACTTTTAAAACATTGGTAGAATTCCCCCTACACTTAAAAAGAGTACAGAGTCCACTGTTAAACATCAAGGCATACACTGTAAAAGCAGGTATCAAAGTCAATCTAAAGGAAAAACAACAACAGCTACACAATTACAAACACGTGCATTCAACCCATTTCTTTTGTCACTCACCTGTGATAAGCCACTCACAGTTCCCATTCACTGAATAGTTTCCTGGCCCATCTGTAACATATCCTGGGGGTCCCCTCAGAACTTGCCTTTGGCCTTTACAGTCCCCTGCCCAACATACAGGGGCCAGCAGAAAAGGCAAGAACAGAGCTGGAACAAGGGAACCCATTCTCTCCTCCAGCCAGATGTGGCAGAGGGAAATAGTGGGAGCTGGAGGTCTTACTTACTCAGAGATTGGGGGCCTTGTGAGAGAATGTAAAATAAGCAGCCATGGTTAGGCTCAATACCCCAAAACGACCAAAAATGTATTATTTGTCATGAACAACGTACTAACCAGCCACTGTTTGCGCATCAGCTATCCGCCCACTACTGACAAATGAATCATAACTGACCAGCGGTATAGCTAACTAACTAAACATTGTCAGAATAACAAATTGGGGTATTCAGCAACTGAACGGCAGTTATTTTACTGATAGAGGTGGAAAGGGTATCTCAGCAAGCAGAGGCAAAATTGGTGAACCTTTCGTTTTTAGCGACCACAGGGTTGGCATTACAATACCCAACCGTTAGGTTAGCCAAATAAAGCAATGTTCTTAAGACAGCTAAGCTAAATAACTAGCAAACACAATATAATGCATCTTCGTCAAATTTAGTCAGCGCTACAGCTAGGAAAATATACATAATTTCTAAAATCAAATTGCTTCCGTCAAATAAACATAGCTCCCAGTTTGGCAAGCCCGTTACACCACAAAGTTAGCTAGTCCCAGCTAACGTTGCATATTACTATTATTATTACTTTGCTGTGCTAGCTAGCCACATCTGCGCTAAGATGGACAAACGGTTTCCGTTAACTTACCAATGCCCGAGCCTTTATCTTCATGCTTCATAAGTATAGATTTGCTAATGAATTACATTCTGAACAGTCGACTAATCTTACTTATCTGATAGTACTCCTCAAAGAGCTAACTCAGCTAGCTGGCTAACTGTTACTGTTGTTGTGGCTGTGGATGGTTCCAGGAGAACGTCTCTCGGCAGCGCAAGACGGCGGCCTTAAAAAGCTCCAATTGAGGCTGGGTTAGCGAGCTAGCTTGCTAACTGGTCAAGAGCCTTTCCAGGTGTACATTCGGGGGATCTCTAGCTAGATCCGTTGCGATCAAAATTCCGAAAATACAATTTTATGCGCAGAAATAATCACAAGTCTCCGCTCAGGGACCGAAATTCGTACAAAGCGCAGAGCCCACAGCAGGACTGACTTAGCGACGTTAGCTTTGCTGTTTGTGTTTGGCAGAGACCCTTAGCAGCATCTGTGTGTGTTAGCGATGTCCGACTCGTGAATGAATCGTTCTATTGAAGTGATTCTTTTCAATAAATCAGTCGAACCGATTCACATGCGCGACGTAATCGAACCAACATAAGGACTTTACTATTACTATTTGACCTCAACATATCATGACATAAAATATTACTTTAGAATATATTATTTCTGTGAATGGGGGACTGAGGTATGATAGTTTTGGGTGGGTATGAAGTTCTCCAAAAAGATCTCCTTTGGATTGCAGACCACTGGACCACTGTAACTTGAGGAAATGGAACTCCAGGTTGAGTAAAAATGCATTACAGTTGGTCAAGTAAATGACATCTGTTGCCTTTGACCGCGTGAGCTGTGCTTTCCCAAAATGCCTGATAAGGACTTTAATGAATAGGTAATAGATAATTACTACATTGTAATGTGAATAAATCAGTATCATCTTTTCCAAGAGGTCTGTTTCCAAAGCTAATATTGCAAGAACAATGAATGTTAATTCTAGGACATTAATGTTTAGCAGTGTTAGTACTAGATGATGGGACGACTGGTCACAAATTTGCCACAAAAATGACATTTCCGCAGTGCGTGCTGCATGAAAGTGTCACATTACATTCAAAAAGTGTTCAGGATGCACTGGTAAACATCAAAACAGACACAGTAAAAGCAGGTATCAAACTCAGTCTAATGTTGTGCTTTACAAAATGTGGGTCATGACCCACTGGTGACTCAGTGTGGAGATACACTGTACAAAGTCATGCAAACTTATTGCCTTAAAAAATAAGCAAAGTTACTTAACATAATCAAGTTAAATAACTTTGTTATTTATAACTGAGTTACGGTTACATTTTCAGTGATCCACACTTCTGCAGCAAGTAGGGTTAACTCACAGCCTAGTCATTTCAAAATGGTTTCAGCTGAGCTGGCGGTACTCTACTTTTTCAGGTTCTGCTTTCTCTTGAATTAGTTAGGGTAATTTGAATCAAATACTCATCCTTGTGCAAAGCATTAGTAGCAACTGAAACAATACCATTATTTTGTATACAGTGGCATGCAAAAGTTTGGGTATTCCTGGTCAAAATTTCTGTTATTGTAAATAGTTAAGTGAGTAGAAGATGAACTGATCTCCAAAAGTAAATAGTTTTAAATGTAACATTATTCTTTCTACATTTTGAGCAAAATTAGTGCATTATTCTTGTTTTGTACAGTTTTAGAGTGAAAAAAGGAAAGGAGCACCATGCAAAAGCTTGGCCACCCCCAGAGATTTTAGCTCTCAGATGACTTTAACAAAGACCTTAATTAGCTTGTTAGGGCTACAGTTTGTTCACAATTATCATTATAGGAAAGGCCAAGTGATGCAAATTTCAAAGCTTTAGAAATACTCTTACTCTTCAAACCTTGTCCCAGCAATCAGCAGCCATGGGCTCCACTAAGCAGCTGTTTAGCACTGATGCCCACAAAGCAGAAAAAGCCTATAAGAATATAGCAAAGTGTTTTCAGGTAGTTATTTCTTCAGTTTGTAATGTGATTAAGAAATGGCAGTTAACAGGAACAGGAACAGGAGAGGTCAAGTTGAGGTCTGGAAGACCAAAAAAAAGAGAACAGCTTGTAGGATTGTTAGAAAGGCAAATTAAAACTCTAATTTGACTGTAGAAGACCTTCAGGAAGATTTTGCAGACTCTGGAGTGGTGGTGCACTGTTGTACTGTGCAGCGACACCTGAACAAATATGACCTTCATGGAAGAGCCATCAGAGGAAAACCTTTCCCTGCATCAGATGTTTGCAAAGGAACAATTAAACAAGCCCGATTTTGGAAACAAGTCCTGAGGACTTGATGAAAGGTAAAACAGAACTTTTTGGAGAACTGTCAAGAGCAGGGGTGGATTAATCACGATTTAGACATGTGTTGCAACCAGTGGCACACATGACATTTCACTGGTAGAGGGAAGAATGGATTCAATTGAACACCAGCCAATTCTTCAAGAAAACATCACACCATCTATAAAAAAAGCTGAAGATGAAAAGAGAATGGACATCAATAATGATCCTAAACACCTTAAAACCCACAATGGATTAAATTTAATTGAAAATCTATAAATACAGACACATTTTTGCCTTTGTGTTCAGAACATATTTGAAAATTTTTATCACCTGATAGCTTTTATGGCTACAGGCCAAACTGGTAAACCTGAACACAAAAACATAAAGAACAAAACATATAAAATGCAGCCAAACGTAACATTTAACACAAGAATGCGATATGACTCAAATATCATCATTTTGCGAACAGAACTAATGAAAATTTAATTAACATAAACCAGCAAAAAGAATGCTGGGATGTTTTTTGGCCAACAGACTATTTAGTCAGCAAGGCTTATCTTATTTAGTGTTACCAGATTTGCATTAGTAACTTTAACAGATGAGTACAGTTAGTGCACTTGTTATGCTTCACAGTGTGAGTGGGTTGTGAGGAAGTTCTCACAACTCGGAAAGCACTTCTGTGTTTTTAATGTGGCTTTTTATATCAGCTATGTGCAAATATGGTCACGCACATATGACATGCAGTTATCGAAAGTCACATGAACGACAATGCCCTGCTGAAAAAAGATGATTTGAATTGTTAGGATTAAAATATAATAGAACTGGCTTAACGGTTACCTTTTGCAAAACCATCAAATGCATCTGCAATCAGTCAAAGGTCACCTGTTAAACCATTAAAGTCCTTTATATTGTGATATCATGTAGTAAGATTGAGTAAGATTGCATGTAATTTTTTTTTTCAGTAGTTTAGTGTGGGTAGGGCCAGCTGATGTGCTTAAATGCTTAGAGTAGGTTTTTGAGTACAAAATACTCAAAATATCTTCAACTTTTCCACAAACTTGTTTTAGCTTAATTAAACAATGGTTATAAGAGTACAGTGTTAGGTAATATCCAATGACATGTTAATGATGTGTTTATAAATGTGAAAGTAGGAGCTGATTGGATTACATCTAAATACAGAACAAATAAGTATCATTGCTTCATTACTTTTCTACCCCATCTCTTTAAGCATCTATTAACGTAGACTTCTGCATGTTTAATTGCTTTACCATGTTAGCTATTGCATTTGTTGATTGAAAGAACAGCATATTGACTCAAGACATTGAGATTTATGATGAGCTGTTATTTATAATTGTCCTTTAAAGAATGGTTGCTCCGTTAACTTCCCCCTTCTCTATAGATGGAGAAAGAAGTCCTCCATGGTGACGTCCATACCCCCTCACAGTAACATTTAAATCAGCCCACTGTTGAAGCATCTGGAAGATTTGGATGGTGGTTCTGCAACGAATTCTAAAATTAATACTGAGGCAAAAATATTTCTGCCTTTTAATCTACTCTTCTCATTTTTGTGATTTTTACAATGATGCTGTACTGTTTATTCTGACATATAAACAACATAATCCAACCAAGTCAATGTTTTCTCTGATATTTTAGCAAAAGGGTAATGAGAAGGCCATGAGTCAGAAGGATGGACATAGGCTGCAGCACAGGTCTGTAATGACAACATAGTGAAAAAGACACAATTAAAATAAAAAAGAGGCAATTTTGTCATTTGTCTTATCTCCATTTAGTCCCACTTTGCTAAACAAATCTTGTTTTGGTTTACGGTAATGCAGCTACCAATGCAGTGTGTTTGAGGGTGGTAGGAGGGGAGGTGAAACATGATATCATTGGATATTAGTTGTCTCTGCCTGCTGGTGCACTGTGACATGACAAACACAGAGGGCGTTTTTGAGGCAGGGAAAAAAACACTACACCACAATCAAAGATTACAGGAAAGCAAGAATTTTGTCATTAAAAAGTTATGGTATGAGCAAGTCTTTATAAGTAATGCTGATATTGGCACAAAAAGTGGCAAATCCAAAAAAAAAAGTAACTATTTGCTATAAATGATTAAAAAAAATAACGTATCAGGCCAAAATCTCAAAACTGTTGTGAAACGTCATCTTAGGCATCAGGCAGTGTATTAATAAAGGTTTTATATAATAACTATGTGATATAGCTTTCAGAGGCATTAAGCACTTCAGACGTCTGGTTACTATCGCCACCACTGTGAATGATAATGACTGAGAACATTTCTCTAAAACAGAACATTTCACATCAAGCCTCTCTGAATAACTTTGTTCACATTAGTAGCCATTTAATTCAGCAGAAATTAAAAAAAATAATAATAATTGGTGGACTTTCTCTTTAAGATCCAGCTTTGACATCTCCTCCTCCTCCTCCTCCTTTCTTCTTTCTCCCAAAAAACACATGTGAAGAGTCATACCGACACAGCTGTTACGCAGTTAGGCACACTGAGTAAGCTAACAAAGAATAAAATGGATTATGGGCTTGACTGATCAAAATGTAATTTTTAATAACAGCTATCCTTAAAAAGTAACTAATATTTTCAAAGGTATCCTGACTTCGATTAAAAGTAGGCCTACTATATTTTTGTAAGATTATGTAATCCAACACTATTCAAAACAATGATTCAAGCAGACGCCCCGCCCCCCAAGAGAGCAGCCTGGAGCAACTCAAGTGAACTTGACAGCGAGGGAGGCTTTCAGGAAGAAGGCCGAACCAGCAGCGACTCTAGCCGAACCGGAAAAACGAGTCCTTGGCGAAACTAGGAAATCGGTTTCCAGTGGATCTTCGTACTCAGCTCTTAGTTTTTCGCTTTTTAACGTAAATGTCAGTCACACAAGAGCGAACCTGAATCAAAGAAAGCGACCACGCGAGCGGTTACAACCGCCAGGCACGGAGGAAAGTGAAAGTAAAAAACGTCCCTCTACTAGCAACATGGCTGGGAACATGTCGGACGAGGATATCTCGGAAAGACCGTCTCTTCTGGAGTCAGACCTGACCTGTCCGGTCTGCAAGGAGCTTTTCCGAGACCCCGTGTTACTGTCGTGTAGTCACAGTTTTTGCCGTGCCTGTTTGGAGGCTAGCTGGAAGCACAAATCGTCGAAGGATTGTCCCGTGTGCAGGAAGTGCTGTGACGGAGAGCAGCCGATACCGAACCGGGCTCTGAAGAACACCTGCGAGTCCTTTCAGAAAGAGAAAGGCTGGAGAATCCCTGTAGCAGCCGAGGCGCTCTGCGGTCTGCACCAGCGAGACCTCCAGCTCTTCTGCATTAAAGACGAAGTGCCCATTTGCGTCGACTGCGTGACGCTGCACAGCGGCCATGATTTTTTGCCAATGGCGGACGGGGTCCCGTTCTGTAAGGTAAACTGGCCACCGTTTCGATCTGCGTCATTACTTGGTCAGCCTAACTTTTATTTTATCATCTGGCGTTGGAGTTCAGCTCTTGTAACGCTCAAAACTCAGATAGGGGTGAGCGAAATATTATATCACGATACTTCGACATTTTCACGTTACACATCACAATGTTTCGTTTTTCTGAGGTTTAGAAGCTGGAACAGACAAAATAGAACCTGTGGTGCCACATATTAATTACAATAACTACAGTGATTTTTCTTCAATGCTTCACAGGCTGTGCTGGACTAAATCCAGTATAGTAAACAGGCCTAATTATACTTACTTTGTAATGAAACATGTAGTTCGTTTTCTTGAAGTACTGACGATATGCTCAGAAAAGCCTAAAATTAGTGTCATATTACCCACCCCTACTTCTACCCTAGAATCTGTATTACGTATTTTAGTTTTCTGTGCAGTAGCCCACCAGTGGTCACCAACCCTGGTCCTGGAGAGCTACCTTTCTGTAAGAGTATAGTTTCCACCACATTCTGCCACACCTGCTCCAACTAATGAACTTCAAAAGTCCTTGATTGGCTGGATCAGATCAGCATTGGGAAAAGGGGCGGTAGCCTATTAGGTACAGGTGGGAACTTAATTATGCAGGAAGGTAGATGTCCAGGAGGAGGGTCAGTGCAGAAGCCTATAGTATTTTGAAGAGCACATAACTTTAACAAAAATGTTTGCTTTTTTTAAATAGGTTTTTGAAGTACTGTGTAAGCCGGGGTGCACAACTCCGGTCCTGGAGGGCTGGTATCCAGCACAGTTTGGTGGTTCCCTGCTCAAACACACCCACTAAACCTGGCAGTTAACAGATGAGTGTAATCAGGTGTGCTTGAGCAGGTAAGTTACGAAACCATGCTGTACACCGGCCCTCCAGGACCGGAGTTGTGCACCCCTGGTGTAAGCATTGTTAAACTTTCAAAATATGTGTGAACGAAGCTCACAAAAAAACAGGCGGTTTTGGACTCACCATGGTTGTCATGTCACAACAATGTGCACGTTTACATGTCTTTTATATTCAGTCAGGGGTTTAGCTGCCATTTCGGATTGCAGATCAGCCTAAAAGGCACAGTAACAAACTCTGTCTTGTGGGTATAAATGTGTGCATTTATAAACGGGCTTCAAGAAAATATTCAGCTACAGAAATATCAGTGCAGAATGTGCCCCTCTTCAAGCTCATGCATTTTTGTTGTAGGAGGAACTCAATATGAAAATCAGCATCCTAACTCAAAAGCTGGAATATTTTAAGAGAATGAAGAAACGATATGGTGACACAGTTACGTTCATTCAGGTAATTGATGTTCTGTCAGCTTTCACCTACTGTGGTTTCCAGACAAAAACTTATTATTGCTAATGCTGTTCCTGCTAACGAAGAAAACAACTTAACGCTACAATTATTAAGTATAATTTAATATAATTGAGTGTAAATCTCTTGTCTCATTGCCTCGGTTGCCCAGAACCAGTCTGAGGAGGCAGAGAAGCAAATCAGGCAGGAGTTTGAGAGGCTTCATCAGATCCTGAAAGACGAAGAGGACAGCAGAATTAAAGCCCTGAAGAAAGAAGAAGAGCAGAAGAAACAGACAATTAAGGAGAAGATTGACAGCATAGCTCGTGAAATCACTTCACTCACTGAGCTGATTCAGTCGGTGAAGAGGGAGATGGGAGCAGAGGATTTGACTTTCCTACAGGTATGAAAGTACTAGTAGTGAAAACCACTGTATGTCATGTTAAGTGACCTTTCAAAACTGGAGTTACAGCTCATTCCTGACTAATTTGAAAATTCTTCTCTTTACAGAACTTTCAGACTCTTAAACGAAGGTAAGCAGTGTGCATGAATTCAGTTTAGTTAATCAGTTCTTTCAAATTTTCCATTCATTTAGTCTAATGTCCAATTCGACAATTGATTTTTTTTGTCCTGAGGGCACAATGACAAGTCAAAGTCTACTTTTTGCCCTCCCTCTCCATAGTGATAAGTAATTTAGTTATAATACTGTGCAAAAGTCAGAGATCAAGTTTTTTAAGAAAAAAAATAGGAAACATATATTTATACAGAAAAATACTCAACATCTAAATGAAATATTAATTTCCTACATTTATTACATCTACGCTTTGTCCTTTTCAAGCTTCCATTATTGCTTTCATTTTTTCAAAGACGTCTGCAGGGATAATTACCCACACCTCCAAAGTTCAGTCTTTAAAGATGGTTGCATTATCTGTTTCTCATGATCCAAGTCATCCCAAACCCATTCAGTGTTGTTGAGCTCTGGGCTCTGGGGTAGACAATCCATGCCAGGCCAGCAGCTTCTTTGTTTGATTTGTTCCTTTTTTTCCCCTTTTTTTTAGTAACAGCTTCTTGATAACTATACATCCTTTCACACTCATAGCTTCTCACAGAGAAAGGATAAGGAGAAACACCTATAGATTTTCTCCAGATTTGAAGCAAGAGTGTAGCTCGATTTCCTAGCGATTACTTCTTATTGATCTCTCAAAGATGAAAGCTTTGAGTACTGTTTATCTGATAATGATAGTTGGTCTACCAACTCTTGTTTCCAGTTGGTATAACTTAGTTGTTAAGAGTCTCAATTTCTCTATGTCTTTTACTAATTATTTGATCTCCAGTTTGGGGAAACCCCTGTTTTTTCACTTACTTTCCTTTGACTCTTCCTTATCTAAGTAGATTAATTTAAATCCAGTATCTTCAGAAACACGTCCTAACAACTGAATAACTTGTACTTAATAGCTGTTTTGACTGGAGATAAAGTAAACCAAGGGTCTCTGACTTTTGCAAAGTGCTGTTTTTTGATGTTCTCTACTTTTGCTCAATAATGGAGTAAGATTAAGGGCATGCGCATAACAAAAAGATATTATGGAAAGAAGAAGCATAGTCTACAGAGAGAAACTTTGTTGCTATGCAGTGATTTCTGCTGTGACTTTATGTTAAATTTTGAAAGATTTTAATTTTATTAGAAATCCTCTGCCTGTACCACACACATATATAATGATCTGTGGATGTTACAGAACGTAAGGTTCAGAAACATAGCTTTCATAATGTTGTGTGTGAATCAGTTCAACCAATTTATTGAAAATAACAATCAGAAAATATGCATCATAGTAATTCCTGTTCTCATGGTCTGAATCTAATTTATTCCAGGGCTCAGTGGACTTCTGAAGACCCTCCAAAAGTTCATGGAGCTCTCATAGATATGGCCTTGCATGTTGGAGCACTGGGTTACAAAGTCTGGGAGAGCATGCAGTCTCATGTCAAATGTTGTAAGTAGCAGTTTCAGTATCAGGAAGTGTGCTCTTAACCAAAAAACCAAAACTGTTAACGACCTTCTTACATGTACCATATAAAAGTGTCGGTATTTAACATTTTAATGGAGAGAACTGAGAGTTTTACAAAATAATGATATTTAAAGGTCTTGAACAATATGGTCGTAGAATTTTAACAAGTGATGTTCTGAAAAACCTGCTTGCAGACTTGCTCCTTGGAACAGTGGCATAAATATCTACCCTTATTTGGTAGTTTTATGGTAATCCTCTTTCTGTGCTCTACTTTCTAATGCTGTTTTGCTCACTAGGTTGTGTATAATGTACACAGGCAGAGATTAGTGAGTGCTCTGACAGTGGCAAATGTGTGTGCCATTTTTAGTCAGTATAGTGAAGTCTGACACTGTGTTTGAAATGGCACTCTGCTCATTATTTCCTACAACTGGGAAGCAGGACTAGGGTGCTAGTACTCTAAAACAGGAATCAGAATTTATAATGGTAAATAGTTCCATACACTATGTGGTTTGCTCATCACATTCTGGGGTATAAGCACCAACACCAATGCCTTGTCATCAGTCCTCTGTGAGTTCAGCAGGATGTCTCCTTACCCGCTGACATTTAAAATGTGCCAAACAGTGGCACTAAAGGGTAATTCCACCAATTTTTCAAATTGTCTGCATAATGAGAGAGCTAAGAAGTAAGCACAGTCGTTCAGCGTTGTTCGATGTGAAATGCTCCATTTTAGAGAAACATTTCAAGTCAGAATAGAAACCAGACATCTGAAGAATTTAATGCCTCTAAAAGCCACCTTACATTTCACTATGATGAACTGTTTACTATTAAACCACTATGAACGTGTGTGTGTGTGTGTGTGTGTATATATATATATATACACACACACACATACATTTTTGTTGAAAGGACAAAATGTCTGTTCTTAACATTTGGGTTGTGACTCCTGACCTATCATCCAGTAGTGTTTTTGTTATGTGCCGCCACAGACTGTCCGGGCGCTGCACTTCCACACTTGCAAGTTCCGCCTTTTGCGTTCCATCAACCTTACGTTATAAATTAAATATTTAGAAACATTCACATTTGTGAATCGATTCTGAATCGTTCACGTCTGCATTGCGATGCATATATATATATATATATATATATATATATATATATATATATATATATATACATATACATATATATATATATATATATATATATATATATATATATTAGGGGTGCAGAAAAAAATCAATCTGGATGAGCGAGACATCTGACCGGCTCCCTCTGCATTAAAAGCCAGGTTAGGTCAGGAGTCACAACCCAAATGTTAAGAAGAGACATGCTGTCCTTTCAACAAAAATCAAACCAGGTTGGGAGCCACAACATTTAATGTCCAGTATGTCTCAGTATGTGATGATGTCCTAGTATAGACTAAACAATATAAACGAAATCGCAGATTTATTTTGCTCTGCTTTAAGCTTCGCCTACAGCCGCTTTCCTCCCATTTCCGCCAGAAAACTTTTCATCAAAACTAGAGCAGTTTCTTGTAAAATGTCTCTCAATGTTCGACTATTTTACGAGGCTGAAGTCGCTTCTTATTCTTGTTTGAATTTACCCGTTCCACCTTAAATTCTAACTGAAGGGCCGAATGTAAATGCGGCACCACTTAAGGTGGAACGGGAGAATTCGAAAGAGAAGCGACTTCAGCTCCGCAACTTTTTAGTGTGTGACAGTCTCTCATTGCAGATTTAACGTACCAGGAAACCAACTACGCTGCTTATTAATGCGAATAACGCATCACTGCTATGTGACCTGCAGTCTGCATGCCGGTTCTCGCCGGATCGATAATCGTTTTATAATCGCATCGCAGCCCTCTGAATCATAATCGAATCGAATCGTGAGGTGCCTAGAGATTCCCACCCCTTATATATATATATATATATATATATATATATATATATATATATATATATATATATATATATAGATAGATAGATAGATAGATTATGGTCCCCAGACATTCTAGTCCTGAGCTTACCTATCAGAGAGGTCACTCGCAGACCATACATTGTCTTCTATGGGGTGCATCCATTAAAGTACATCGTTTGGACACTGTTACAATGCATTGTGGAGTTTCATGTATCAGTGTATGAGTTATTCTTTACTGTGCATTCAAACATGACCGCTTGTCAGCACAGCACAGTACATTAAGTTGGGCATAGGGTGTGTTTCTCAACATGACATGACTTGTACAGGAGTACATGTACTTTTCCTTTTGTAGTAAGTGAACAGTTGTCATCATTTTGAGCTGTCTTGTTACCAATTTAGGTGGAGTTCAGAGATTGTGACCTCACAGATACACAGTTTCACTTTCCAGTTTTTGTGAAATACAGAGACAAATGTTAGGCTTGTGAATTATTGGAGTCAGTCGATACGTGTACAGAAGAAATCTATTCATAAGATGTTTTATTGTGTATAATGGGGTCTAGAAGTCTGGGGCCATTTGCAGAAATGCTTCTATTTTGCAGTATTTTCTGATTAAACCAAGTTTTCTGTTACAAAGTAGAATCTTTCTCCCAGACTTTTGGACCCCACTGTATATTGAGTATATTCATAATACTGCATTGATGTGTAAAACATAATCAGATTAGGTCAGAGCACAGCAGGGAAACTACTAAAGAGTTATGGATGGGGCCTTTATTGGGGGGGTCTGGGAAATGTTTTTTTAATGGCCACAAAATGTCTGTTCAACTTCTAGACTAGCAATTAACACAAAATGGATCAAGAAATATGACTATTTGGTGAAGCTGGCATACAGATGATATGTCTCTTCATAGATTGTTTTAAGCACGGATTGAATATGACTTAAATGCTCTCCATCCACTTACAACAGAAACAAATCAGGCAATGTTACTGAAGCTGTCTCTCTTAGAAAAGCTGCAGATCCTAAATATGTCATTTAAATACACAGACTATAGATTACTACCTGAACGGACTGGCTCCTTCAGCTTATTTCTTTCCCTCTCTTTGCCTGTGTTTTGTAACATAATATTTTTTATTGAACTCAGATTTGCAAGAACTCAGGGCTTGAGTTTGAACAGGCAGAATTCTTACCTGACTGGTCTCCGACAGAGCTGCCACCTCTCAATTTCCATCTACAGGTTGAGGAATTGAGGGATATGAAATTGCATTACTATCAACGCTATATGACCTTTTCACTGATATGAACTCACTGTATACTACAATCTACTACTACTACTGGTGAAATTGTTTCGAAATACTGAAGAGAAGTATGAGAAAATATGATGAGCTTTCAGTAAAGGTGTCTCACTCAATGACACTCTAAATGTCTGTCAAGTTTCTTAAAATTCATGCTTAGAATAAAATAGGTGGCTCTTCGACTAGGTAAAATTAGTGTTATGTCGCCTATCCCCTTTTCTTTACCTCACATGAACCTGAAGTGAGCTTTGGAACAAACTGTAAAAACCCAGTAGCCAGCAATATTGACCATAATTTGTTGCCAATCCAAGGCCTGAATAAGTCCTAAAGGTTTTTTAGACAGCTTTCAGCCAAACTCATGTGAATTTGCAGAGCAAGTAGAGGTTAGAGTATCTAAGATATAAAGGAATATGCAGGTTTATGCAGTAAAACATGATTCAGTGCTTCATGGATCTGTACAGAACTTCTAATCTTCTAATCTTCATCTTCTCTACAGTTCCTGTGATCATGGATCCAAACACTGTTTCCCCCTGGCTCTCCATGTCTCCTGACTATGCGAGTGTGAGGGACAGTCCTGAAAGGCAATCCTTCCCGGATAACCCAGAGCGCTTCGATCCCTGCGTGTTTGTCCTGGGCTCTGAGGGGTTCACTTCTGGGCGTCACCGGTGGGAGGTCCATGTGGGTGATAACCCCAAGTGGATCGTCGGGGTGTGCAAAGAATCCGTGGCCCGCAAGAGGAAGTTCACGGTGACCACGACTGGAGGGGTGTGGAGCATTGGGCTGAGCAAAGGCGTGTACAATGCCTTGACCACACCACGCACTGTGCTGACCGTGGAGAGGAGGCCAGAGACGATCCGGGTGAAGCTTAATATGGAAAAAGGGGAGGTGTCCTTCTGGGACGCAGTCAGTGGAAAACATCTCTGCACCTACACCGACAAATTCCCTTCCAAACTCTTCCCTCTGTTCGGCCCTGGGCTTCACCATACACCCATGGCTGTCCTGCCTGCCAAACTGACTATTCACAAACAGTAATGCTGCATGCTGTTTAACCAAAGAGCTGCTCTGCCAAACCTGTATGGATCTCACTAATTTGGTTTATGGGGTTCATGTTTCTTATACTTACAAGAATCCTTAAAAAACACAGCAGCTTTTAAAGGAAGATATCTGCTTCTTTTAGCAGAGCTGAGTGCCTTTGCGATCTTTCACTACAATCCTGGCAATCTGTTATCCTGCACTGTTTAATGTATTCTCTGTAAAGCACTTCATTATTAAAGGAATACTCCAGTGTTTTTCAACCTAATCTGCTGCTTATGTAGCATACGGTTGATTTAACGTGGATAATCATTTTGATGGGTTTAGCTGCATTTAGTGGAAGAACAGAAAACTTGGTGACTCAAAACATGCTTATAACAAAAGCCAAAGGGCAAGTTCTTTGGCTTTTTTAATAGGCTAAAAAAAACGCTGGAGTGTCGTTGTAACTGATTATTTAAAGCAGAAATTTTAAGCATGGTTAACACAAAACTGAACAGCGCAGCAGTTTGAAACCTATGCAGCGCAGTCGTTTTAAACTTCTAGTTCTGCTGGATTCCTATTCAGGATTCCTCGGAATCCTGCAGAACTACTATTTACTGGAACAGAGCAAGATTAGCAATATGCAAGGGTGGCTAGAAAAGAAATGAGAAAACTTAGCAGATAGAAACAGGAAAGACCTAGTTTAGTTTTGGCAACAGGTTTTTAATTCTACTTTATGCAGTCCTTTATGATAAGACTTCATAAAAAGTCATGTGCATAGCATTGCATATTAAGCTATTGACATCTTTTTAGATCTGCAACATGCTGTTTCTTTAGTTTCACTGATTTCATGTTCACAGTTGCTCTTTTTTGTACATCTGCATGTTACCAACAGATGAATTCACCTAATTTGTCTGAAAAATGAGCAGAAAGCGAAAAAACAGCACATGCAGTATTAGAAATGCATTTTCACCATTGCAAACAGGAAGACAGCAAAACAGGAAAGTGGTACTGGGATTCAGTAAAAGGAAACAAAATAAAAAGGGCAGTTGTACCAACTGTTCAAATTTCTACATAATTCAGTTGCTAACAAAGTCATTCACAGTGTTTTGGTGTGAAAAGCACCAATATAAAGAAACACACTGAGTAAAACATGTTCACAAAGGCAAAATAAACAAAATAGAAAAAAACACCATGACCCCTGGATCCTATCACCACCACTGTAAAGAGTTCAGACAATGTTAATTTCTCCACAATTCACAATTTCACATCAGTACGCATTGAATGTCTTTGTTTACATCTCAGCAATTGAATTGTATAGACATTTTGGAGACGTGCCCTTATTATTGTTATAAATCAATGAAATTGATTAGCTAATCCATTTTTATTTAATCCACCTTTTTTGAAATTAAATGAAAATTTAGATGATGTTTTGGGTTGTATTATCCTGCTAATTACCTTTAGCTGCATAACTACATATAATAATCCGTATGTGTTCTGCTTTGTATGTCTAAAATAAATTGAATGATTGTTGATGTATTGAGTGCTCTTTCTTGAAAGTACTGTATTATTGTTTCTGATACCTTCAAACTGGATTTGCTTGATGATTCCTGTTATGTCTGTAATGAGGATTATGTAAGCTACAGACAAATATAAGAGTAAGGGCTGCCCTGGGGATTTCATTTGCATGTAATTTCAGCATGCTGTAATTTTTTTATTAATCCAGTGCTCAGTCTAATTTTATTTAGCTAGTTTTAAATTTCCAGGTTTGTTTGGATATTATCCAATTTCAGCATACATGTATGGTGTTTCACAAGGTACGATTGCCCACTGAGTTTGATAACTTTGGCCAAAAGTGGAAATTGTCCAGTGTCTTTTTGTTTTGGACACACTTGACCTAATAATGCTGCTATATTGTGAAGATATTCATGTTAAGGAGAAAAAAGGAAGCTGTATAAATCTGCATAGATGTCTTGCTGTTCATGTATGTTTAAAGATCCATTTTTTTTTTGGAGGCTCCCTACTCACTTATCTCAGTTTTAACGTCATAGGGGCTTCAGTTGAGTCACCTCCCACATCATCACTGGGTCCTACAGTAGACAAATCAAGTGAATACGGACAAACACTTAATATGATCAGGTAAGGTAATTGTTTTGCACTAAAACTGCCCGTTTTTATTTTCATGTTTGTTGTATACTGCTAATGAAATATTGGTAAGAAAGAGCTTTTGATATCTAATGATGTTAATGACTGAAGTTGAAATAGAGCTAGAGCTTAATTGGATAATGCAGAGCACTAGTTACCTTGACTGCAGTTTAGTCAGTTCAGTGAAAAATGTGACACATTGAATTGACAGGAATTGACATGCAGAATTTCTATAAGAGTAAAATATATTACTTTTTTATACTTTATTTTTTTTTTTTTATACTTTTGGCAATATATTTGCAAATTTAATACAGACTGCAGCAACGTCTTCAGTGTGAGAGAAAAGGGATGTTAAAAAATCCCTCCAGCAAACTGATGACCACATCTAGTTTATAAATGCTGACATATATGCCAATGTATGTAAATATATTTGTGCATTTAACATCACTTTAGCAAAGCTTCTGGAGGCTCTGTGTAGATGATCTACAGAAGTTCAAATGCTTAGCAAACTTTAAGATGAATCCAAAACTTACTACATTGAATAGGATAAGATGAATCAGAGTTACCACATGATGTACAATTACTGTTTATTTGGGGTGGATAAATGTGCAGAGGTTATAGCAGATTTTATATTTGATAGTTTAAAATTTCAGCAATTAAATAATAATTTGTGTGCTAAGATGTGCAGAAAAAAAAGATGTTTGCTCCCAGTAGAGGGTATCGTATTATTTAGAAAATCAACAAATCATGTCATTGAACCACATGTGTGCAAATTTTTGCATATGACCTTTTATACATCTAATATTTATTCACATATATTGCAAGCAGAGTAGAGGAGCTGTAAAGTGTGTTGTTTTTTCAGCCGCGCCTATACTTATCTACAAGCTCATTTGCAGACTAATCCCTCAGTACTTGCTAAAGAAAGAGTGGGGAACCCATCATCAAATGACAATAAATTTAGCTTCAGATCTAATCAGAATGTATTTTAGTCCCTGAAGTGATGGTATTAATGAATGGTGCATTTATGAATTTTGACTGCACAGTGAGCGCTTAGCTTATTTGTGTCAGTGTGTGTACGTGTGTGTATTTGCGCGCGCATGTGAGTGAGGCACTTGGTTATCTGCTTAAAACACCCATAGCCCTATCTCGCAACAGGGCGGTGCTGGGTGGGGGGGTTGGGGGGGTGGGGGTTCAGGGCAACCTACTGTCCCTCACACATGCAAACACACATGCTCACATTCACTCTTTAGTGCAAATAATTATCAGCCAGCTTGGAAATAAATGCAATAAATAATTGAAATCAGCTAGTAAACTACCGGTTATGTTAAGGATGTATTGAGGGTGGTCTTTGAAAAGGCCAAACAATAAAAATGACCTTATCTGAAAATAAACTATATGACCAAATGTATGCAGAGATGTGACTATCACACCTATACGAGCTTATTGAACATCCCATTATAAAAAAGGCTTGAAAAGGCTTTCTACAGGATTTTGTTTGTGGGAATTTGTGCCCATTCAGTCAAAAGCGCATTTGAGAAGGCCTGGTTGAGGTCAGGGTGCAGACCAGAAGTTCCTCCGCACCAAACTCCTTTAACCATATCTTTATGGACTTCACTTTGTGCACAGGGGCATAGTAATGCTGAAACAGGAATCAGCCTTCCCCCAAGTGTTGCTGCAAATTATATAAACCTATCTAAAATGTCTTTGAATGCTGAATTTGGGGTTGAGTTCAACCCCTGAAAAACAGCCCCAGACCATTATTCCTCCTCCACCAAACTTTACTGTTGGCACTGTGTATTCTGGTAGATAGCTTTCTCATGGCATCTCCTAAACCTAGCTTCATCCCTCAGACTGTGAAGCATGATTCAAATTTCCAGAGAACACATTTTCACTGTTCCAGAGTCCAGTGGTGACATGTTTTACATTACTCCAGCCAACACTTGCCACTGTGCATAGAGATCTTAGGCTTGTGTGCAGCTGCTCAGCTATGGAAACTCATTTCATGAAGCTCCTGACACACAGTTCTTGTAGGAATAGATTGTTTTACTGAACTATTCCTTTAAAATATGCATAATCCTCAAGCAAACTGGAAACTAGTAACTTTTCAATCACTTTCGAAATTTTATTTAATGAATTGATGTTTAATTGATTAATTGTTGCAAACCTAAAATATTTGTATACTTTTTTCAGCATTGCAGTTTTGTCTGCCACAACTGAAGCATCCGTTTGCAAGTGAGCTGTCTAGGCAGAGGCAGAGAACGGAGGAAAAATGTTCCGTTGCCGAGTGATTCTTTTGGATGACACCCACATTGAGCGGGACCTGGAGGTCAGTCTTAGTTATTTCCCCCAAATCGCAGTAAGCACCCAATGTCTCCTGAAAATCACCAATGTGATGGTTTGTGTGTGTTTATAGAAAAATGCAGTGGGCCAGGTGCTGTTTGATGACGTTTGTGATCATCTCAACCTGCTGGAGAGGGGTTACTTTGGCCTGGCAGCATGGGACTCCTCCAACAACAGGGTAATCATTTAACACTGTTGAGTAGCATACATGTACATGTTCCCGCTCGAACATGTAATTGCTTGTCTATTACTTATCAATATGTTTTATTTTAAATGTAACAATAACTTCATAAATAAATATTTCAATAATTAATAATTAATAATACAATAATTATTAACTATTACAATTAATAATCTGTCTAGATGTAAATATTGTAAACTAGACACTGGAAGGTGTTTTAGATATTTATTTTTATTTATCTTATTTTATTGTACATTTCATAAAGTGATTTCAAATCTGTAAGAAGTACCTGTTCCAAAACTCATTCAGACAACTTTCCCTTTTTTTCATGATATATGTTGTTGGGTGTGAGAGGTTGACATACAAGATGCTGTTTTCCAATATGCATCAGCTCATTCTTTTCAAAACTGATTATAAATCCAAAATTGTTACTTTGAAAAATCAACAAAACATTTAGTTCTTTGAATGTGTAAAATCCATTACAGTTTTTCATTCTCTTTCTTCAGGTGTGGCTTGACTTTTCTAGAGAAGTTCACAAGCAGATCATAGGTGTGTAAAAACTTTTTTTTAATCTGTGGTGTTTGGAGCTTCTTTGTAACAAAATGTTTGCATGCAGTTCTGCTGATGTTGTTCTGTGCTTGATCTGGCTTTAGATCATGATGCTACATTCACTTTCAACGTCAAGTTCTACCCACCTGATCCCTCCTTATTGGCCGAGGACCTCACCAGGTCAACCATTTTACCATGTCCCACATGTCCCATATATATATATATATTGTTGTTGTTAGAGGAAAACCTCGCATCTCCAAAATAATAACTTTACAGGAGAAGGAAAAATCCTACTTTACTTTTAATGTAAGTCAGTGGAACCAGATGCTTTTCCAAGCCATTTTAGGTCATTTCTTTCAGTCCATTCATCATGAAATTTACACACAATGTAAAGGGCAACATGCATTTTCAAACTATGTCAAAAGCTGAAAAACGACAAAATTGGAGATACAAGGTTTTCTTCCAACAACAGCAATATATATATATTATGTTGCTGATATACAAATTATCAGAATCTTTCTGTTTCTGATCATTGTTAGGAAATTTGTCCCCTATAGAGAAAGTAAAACAGAACACATATCACACATGAACAATGATTATAAAACATGTTCTCAACATATTGTTATATTATTTCACTGTTTTTTTGTGCAGATATTTACTCTGTCTGCAGGTGAGGATGGACATCATGACCAATCGTCTGCCCTGTCCATCAGATATGCTGACAGTGTTGGGTTCATACATTGTCCAGTCGGAGTTTGGAGATTATGACCCTGATGTGCATGGGCCGGGGTACCTCAGTACTATTGCCCTCGCACGCAATCAGACGCCAGAGCTGGAAGAGAGTGTGGCTGAGCTGCATCGCACATACAAGTACATTACATATCCACACACGTACACTGGCAATTAAAAATGGCCTTTTGATTTTTTTCCAAATGTTTATTATGTGTATTCTCTAACTAATTTTACAAATTTCATCTGAATGATGGCATTACTGGGATCGCAGCCCCTGGAAAGGGGTCAGTTGTTCTAATTTTTTGGATATCTTCACTGTAGGACAGCATTCGTAAGAGTACAACTATGTAAGCTTTATATGACAAATGACATAAAGATATATAGACTTTTATAAAGGCTTATTCCAACAAGCATGTCATAAAGGCTACTTTTGTCCAGTTTTATTTCATTTCACCTGAGCCAGTGTTGGAACCAATAATGCTTTATAACATTGTATTTCAAGGCTAGGTGTTTGCAGCAAGTAAATGCATATAAACACACAGTACTTACACAAACAGTTTCATTTTCTGTATGTGTGTTGCCGCAGATCAATGACTCCTGCTCAGGCTGATGAGAATTTTCTGCAGAATGCCATGACGCTCCCCTTGTATGGAGTGGACCAGCATCCTGCTAAGGTAGATTGTCACAGTTGGAACAAAATCTCCTCTCTAAAATTTCATTTTAACGCAAGTTAATGGAACAAGATCTAATTGTAAGTCATTTTGGAAATGTAAAGGACAATTGGCCTTTTCAAATCATATGTAAAAATTAAAAATGGAGATAGAAGTTTTTTTTTCCCAACAGCAATGGTGATATGATGATGCATATTATTAGGAATTTTCTTTGGCCATCTTTTTCTTTGTGTCAGTGTTACAATAAATTCTAGGCTTATTATAATCTTAAAGCTTATTACTAGCAACTACTGTAAATTATTTAGTAACAGCAATGAAACCTACATGCAAGTTATGTACAGACGAGTGGCAAATTAAAGGAAAAACCAACATAGTGTCTTAGTAGGGTGTTGGGCCCCCCGCAAGCTGCTAGGGCAGCTTCAGTGCACCTTGGAATCGATTCGCTCTGCAACTATACTGGAGGGATAGTACTATATTCTTCCAAATAATGCTCAGTCTGTCTCCCTCACTGTACCTGTACCAATACACACTCTTAGTTTACACTACACATGCACTTGCCCAGTTGTCAGTAAAATGGTGAAGGATGACTCATGTGACCATATCACCTTTTTTTGCACAGTGCCTATGGTTTTTGCACCCCCGAACTCTCACATACAATACAACATTCTGTCACCTAATGAACAGATGCTCTTCTGTTTTTCCTTACATGTGCTCTTTCCACAATTTCCAACACTGTTTTTACTGATGTCTTTCCTGTAGATCTAAATGCAGATGTTACTTTAGTCAGTGTTCTTATTGAAACGCTAGCTGGTTGAAGCTCTGGCCATTCAACAGTAATACACTCTATATCAAAGTCATTTAGAGCTTTTCCTCTTGCCTTCTTGATCCAAAATCAAGGCCAGCTGGCCCTGCTCAGCATTTTATACATGCCACGGAGCATGGTAGGACATTAATTGCTTATTTGTATCATGCATTTTACCCGTCTGGAGGCATCTGCACTCGTTGTGTTGCTTCAAGTTTTTCCCTTAGTTTGTCCCTGTCTGTAAAAGTAAGCAGTTAAAATATGGACTCCATATGCCATAGAATAATCACTTTAGGTTCCCCAAAGAACTTCTCAATGGATGGTCATTTCTGCATAATTGTTTAGTCTGATTTTACCAACACATTTATGTGAAGAATCCTTCAAAAATTCAGAGAACGTCCATATAATGTAAAGGTTCTGTATCAGTTAAACTTTCTACATACATCCAAGCAAAGAACCATTTAAGAAGCTTTATTTTTATGGTATATGGTTAAAGGGGTCAAGGTTAGATATTTTCTGCTTGCTGTTTTTGTTTGTGTAGGATGTCAGTGGAGCAGATGTGATGCTGGGTGTGTCTGCTGATGAAATTGTGGTGTATGAGGGCAAGACAAAGACACAGAGTTTCCCATGGTCCAGAGTGCTGAAGATTTCTTACATCCGCAACAAATTCCACCTCAGGATCCGCCACACACAGGTAGCCAATCCTGATGAGATATGAATGTTCACAATATGTACTACAGAGAAACCAGCACATTCACAGATGTAACCTTTTTATGCATTTACGTATTTATAATAGAACGAATTTTTATTTGAACACATTATTAACAATATTTGTAAAATGTGTCTACACCTGTCAAGAGTGTTTAAAGCAGAAACAGACTTAAATCCCCCAATAAAGAATTTTAAATACATTAGATTGTGGATTTTTTAATAATAAATTGCTTGTTTGGTTCTTAAATAGGACGCTACTGAAAGTGCCTTCAACTACATTCTGTCCAGCTACCGAGCTTCTAAACGCCTGTGGAAGGTTGCTGTGGAGCACCATGCTTTCTTCAGGTAATTTACAAATGAGTGTTGTAAGATTTAAAAAAAGTTGAGATGGTATTCTAACATAATTGAATGCATTGTTATGTAAAGGTGTTGTTAACTCAGTTGCAAATATTAAAATCATCTCAGTGATCCTAAAAAATGCGACTTGGTCTTAAAGCTTTTATTTTCTAGCAGTAGCTGGACTAACCGTTATAAACACTCCCTGCATCATGTGAACCATTTTCCCATGAACCATTAAAATGAACCATTTTACTTTCAATCACAGTTAGCAAATAAGTATTTACCTTATGAGGTCTCTCATGGCATATATGCCCTGAAACACTGTTAATCTTTGATCTTGCCCCAAAGAGAGAATCAGGAAACCAGGATACTGGAAGATGGTTATATTGTAGAGCTCTCCATATATTTGGTTAATTAATTCTCACTTGTAAACCAGGGGGCAGCCTTTGCATTAAGCAAAGGTAGGCAGCCATCTAGGGCCCCCATGAGCCAAAGATCCAATCAAAATACAAATTAGATTGAAAATACAAATTAGATAGATTGAGTGTTGATGTTAAATAACCTGTTGTAATACATATATATATATGATTTTACTGCAATCTCAAAAACAGAAATATTTTAAGAGTTTTAAGAGTGCCAAGATAGCATTTTGTGCTGTAGACAGTTGCGTCACTAATTTAAAAATGTGCACCCAGGTAGGCCCCATAAATCTGCCTCTGATTGAAACAAGCACAGAAAGTTTGCTGAAAGTGCATATTCAGGACTTCCCATCAATACCACATTTGTGTGTATAAGATTTGGGTTTGTCATTGTTTGACAAACAGAAAAAAGTGCAATCTCAAACCTGTCCCTACAGAATGTAACCTGAATGTAAATGTAAAGCATTGTGTAATGAATTATGTAAATATGAATTTATATTTAAATAGTATATCAAAACAATAGACCTGTTAGGGTTAAAGACACATTAACATATAATACATTTGTGTCCTAGAAACCACCGACAAGACAAGTATGAGGGACTTGTGCAGCTAGGCTCCAGGTTCCGTTTCCGTAGGAACACTCATACCGAAACTCTAGAGGCCAGCTCCAACATCAAGCGGCCCGGTCCACCCGTCGCACACTCTGCCATCAAGAAAAAAGGTGTGGGCATATATCTGTGTGTACATTGATCTTTCATAATGTGTGTGCACAAGTATGTATTTCATAACACTACCGACAATGATACCTTCCAGCAAAGGAAAGCATGCTTCAGGGTTTGAAGAGTCCAACCCGAATGCAAGATGATTGGTTCGACGTGTTCGAATTTGACCGCTCAAGACCCACTTCCATCCCAGGTAAAAGTCCAGTGTAAAATGATCTATTCAAGTTCAACTGTTAAGCATTGGGTGGATCTGTTATGCTTTGGTGTTGTGTGGCAGCCAGTGGCACTATATTTTGGATGGAAATGGAAATAAAATAGAAATATTTTGTTGCTGTCAAAACAAAACCTTGTATCTCCAAAAAGTTAACTTTACAGGAGAAGGAAAAAAACATTCTTAACAGTTAATGGAACAAGATGTCATTCATTTTGACACAGTTCCAGCTGGCCTTTACAAATGAATGAAAAACGACCAAAACAGGCTTGCAAGTTTTTGTTCCAACAGCTGTGATGTGTATGAATGTATGTATGAGTGTACAAGAGCACTTGTAAGATCTAGTAATCCCTACTTTGTGTCTACAGAGACCACCTATACTTACCAAGAGACTCTGGCATCCACACAAGTGGATACTAAGACTCGCAGACACAGACATAGAGACATAAAAAAAGGTGCAGAGACCCTTGAGGAAGAGGAGGATGATGAGGTGCCAGAGGAAGAACAAGAGTGGTTTCAGCTGCTGGGTTCACGTTCCTTTCCCAAACAAGTCTCTCTGACTTCAGGTACATTCACTCTTTCCTTTTCCTCTTCATTCTTAATTAATCTTAGTTGTTTTAGTGTCATAAGCTTTGTAATGCAGTAGTTCTGAAGTGAGACATACCCTTAAAGGTTCCTTAATGGCTTAGATGTACAGTCCTTAGAAAAAAACTTTTACATTATGTATATGTTCTTTAAATATGAATATTTTTGCCTTATTATAAGAATTTGGTGGAGTTAGACCAAAGCATATTGCCTAACAGAATAAACATTCTGCAGATACTGAAAAATTAGAAAGTGCACTGCCCAAGTATTGGAAGCACAATTCTGAAGACTGGATGGTCCTCCTCTACCCCAAAATATCTGAAACCTCTCTTTGGGAACAGCAGGCAGCACCATGTAAGTTACCAACCATATTTTTTGTTCCATTGAAATATTAACAGAACATAGACGTAATAGACAAGAGACCTGCTGGACTAATCTAAAAGAGCAGATGATGGAGACGGTTGAGATTAGCACTGATATTTCTTTTCTTTCACCCCAGTGTTTCCACAAGCTGGACAGCAGGAAGAGGAATATGAAAAGCAACAATGGGAGGCGAGAACTTCAGAAGAGAGCATTAAGATGGTCAAAATAAGAAAAGATGTTCAGTTTATGAACGAAGGGCGTGAAGGATTACAGACATTTATAGAGGAAAAGCTAGTGGAAGAGGGTGATGGAGAGAGATTACAGAAAATTGTTATTAACGAACAGAGAACACAGGAAGAAGAAATGTACGAGGAGCAACCTGAAGGGGTTTTTGTTGAAAGAATGATAAGGAGAGTGGAAATAGTAGAGAAGATACAGGAGGTGGTGATAGAAGAAGGTCAGACTGAAAAGATTAAGGGATTAGAGAAAAGACTGCTAGAAGTGGAGACTATTGGACAAAGACTGCAAGATGTGGAAGACCTGAAAGTCAGATTACAGGAAATAGAAATGTTGGAGCAGAAACTGCAGGAACAGGAGGAGCAACTACGAGATGAATATGACGTCTGGTACATTCTGCTGGATAGCAGGCCTTTAGTCTCCTCTGCAGGTATGCCATCTTAACAGCTCTAGAATGGTCATCATAGATGAAGGACATGTTCTAAAACATTAAGGCAGTGCATTTGGAAGATGAGATTTACACAGTTGTCCCCTTAGCCCAAATGTAGTCGGTAAGCCAAGGCACGTTTGGTGTCTTGCTTCTTTACTTTTGCACTGGAGCTGAGGCTAATAATGGAGTTAGCTAGCATTGTACAAACCGTATTTGTATAAGCAACCATAAACATGTCTTGGCTGATTGACTTTGATTGGAATAAAGGAAAAACGATGGAAGCATATCAGTAGGGAAATTCAAATGAAAATGTAATATGTAAAATGGCAATATTTTCTTATGTTTGAATTTAAATTTTCCACTTGCATGTGCAATTTGGGCTCAAATGAAAATTCAAATTCAGTTTTACCATTTTATATTGCCATTTGTTGCACTAGTATTGACATTTCATTCACTCAAAGATTTAGATGCTTTATAAGCAACTTTATGTAAATTAAAATGTATTCCCAGAACTGCATATTCATACCTTATGTGATTGTACAATCATGTTGTAATGCATTTGAAACTGAAAGGTCTCATTGAGATGGCAAAGCGGAAAGAATCAATTAAACTGTTGGAAGAGGAGCCACTGCAAAAGGTCTCACCAATTCAGGTCAGAGATGTCTGGCATATTCTACTGGAGCTGCTTCCACGATCACAGTGGGCCACACATCTTCCACGGGCTCCTTCAGGTACAACATTAACTGCACCAGATCTTATATTTGTTGCTTCTTCACATAATGGATTACCTTTTAAATAGTAAGAAGGGTTACTGGATCATTCTGATATTGTACAGAAATTAGTAAAAGTGGGTCCAATGGGTCTAGGTACAGGAACTGCACACCCTTATATACCCTTGTAAAACGCCAAATTTTACATAAAGTAAAAAGGGTTTCATTTGGTGCGTATAAGAGATCAAGAAAGAAGAAGAAACTGTTAAAGCAGCAAAAAAAGTTTGCTAAAGATCACTTCAGTATAAATCAAACTGGAAACCTGGCAAGATTCTCAATAAATGAAAACACACCAGTTGATATATCACACAAGTCATGCTGTAAAAGCAAATGTCAAAATTAGACTGTGATTTTTTGACAACACTTTTAGCAATATTATGTCATTGGATGCAGGTCTTGTGTTAGTTATTGTGTAGGCTCAGCCTCAGGTGCTCTGCCTGCATTGATTTAAAAACTGAGAAATCTTGCAAAAGGCACACACATTAATATATTTCTTTTGCTTCATTAGTGGAGGAAATTGTCAAGGCACCAGTAGCAGCAGAGGAGAGAAGATGGGAGGAGATGAGACTGCAAGAGGAGAAGAGGCGATCAAGTCAGATGAGGATAACCACACAATATACCTTCCCAGAAGGGGGGGAAAGGCAGCCAGAGACAGATGAGAGGGATGACTGGTTTTACCTGCTGGATGCTTCTCCTAAAGAATCAAGTAAACACTCACAAAATTCACATAAATGCCCAAGAGGCCGATCTGCTTTGCATCAGGCCTCATTACCTTAAGCCTTAACAAAAATAAACAAAAGACAGTATGATTAAATATGCTAATGCTAAAAAAAATTACCAATATTAATAATAACAATAAAGAAGTCTTCTCTCAAGAAATGTAGTTCATTATCTATATGCCATGGTTGCCAAGCAACATATTAGTGCTGGGCTGTATATTGGTACACATATTGGTATTAACTTTCACTATCACATCAAATACTGCGATTATTTATTTGGAGAGTATTGTGATATTGAATGTTATTGATGCCACCCACTGTCAAAGATTATTCCTTGAACAGCACAGTGGTTTTTAGTAATATCTTGGCACATTAATACAGAATTCATTTGATGTGTGCTTTTATATCTATGACAATTGAGTTGTTTTAAGTGTATTTGAACATAGCTGAGCCAGTAAAATTTTAGAATCAACATGTAGGTTTACCACAGCCTCACATGTGTAATTGTACATCTTGTTTGTTCCAGTGCTTGGCAGAATCTTGGAAGTTTATGAAGAGACCACAAAGGAGAAAGTGAGGCTAGTTGAAGAGCAAAGGAGCTTCATAAAGATAGATATGCCTTTTGAAATGGTGCCAAGGGATCCAGAAGAGCTGCAAGAAAGTGACCGCTGGTTTCTGCTTTTCGACCAAATACCTTTCGAGAAGAGAAGTGTTCCTTCAGGTAAAGATATACATCACTGTATCACCCCTTGCATGCGTATAATTCTGTGCTCTTAAAGGAAATTACGGTATTCAATCATTGGTATTTAAACATGGTTTGATGTGAGACGGTGTGCTGTAAAGAAACCTACAGACACAGATTTATTACAAAGGCGATAATGGAAACCATAGGTCATGATGTCTACAACACATATGTACCCTGTTTATTTATGATCTAAAACAACCAGTGAACCTCCTGAGGTTTTATGTACAATGATAATGGAGTAGAAAATCCAAAAAGTTTTCTTCAACTACTATTTTGCCTTACAGTGCCTTGAAACTCTGTACACAGTAGTACTCCAAGCAAATTATTTATATTGACTCTTGTTCAGGTAACTGGCTAATTGAACCATTATACCTTCTACTGTTTTGACTCACTTTGCCATCATTCGAAGTTTGGTCTTTGCAAGTGATTTCTTATTTTATGGTGTAAGGAAACAATTAAGTTATATCACCCCCTGCGCTTCCTGTCGTCTATTGCAATCTGCCAGAATAACGATGAGTATCATAGGAACGTTACATACAGCATAATGGAGGGTATTTTTAAGAAAACAATGCACCGACTAATCATTGCAGCTATAGACAGCACAAGGTTGATTCTGCTCTTTTCTAGATGGTTCTCGGTCATTTCTTCCTTCATCCTGTTTTTGTTGCCTGTCTCTTCAATCTCTGCAACCACAGATACTCTAAAAAGAAGAATGGAAATAGAAGAAGCGTGGAGGGTAAAAGAGGAAGAAAAGAAAAGACAGCAAGCACAGAAAATGTTGCTGGATGAAACCATGCCTCCAAGAGAGGTGAAGGCCGTGCTGCCAGAGCTTTCTGCTAAAGAATTAGGTACATACACTTTTTCTTGTTTACCTGTCTTTGTGTGGACATTTGATTCCAACATAGCTCTGCTATCTGCAACTTGCTAATAAGTTGTTTATTAAAAATCTGTATTCGGATAGCATCCTAATTACCCACTTAAACCACAATCTGGATCCAAAGCTTGAAGTGTCCAAAGATATGGCTCACCAAGGTTTCATTTGCGTGTGAGGTACACAACTCCATGCTGAAGCAAAAGAATGTCCAATGTCCAGAAACTTCCAACCTCAGAGACCTTCTAACCACACAAACCTCAACTAAACACACATGCTCTCAAGCACTATGGAGGACAGAGTCTGCTAAAATGAAAAATAAATAAAATAATAAACAGTAAAATAGCTTAAATCTTGAAATGAATGTCAATACATGTAAAAACAAGAGCACACATGGGGCAAAAAATCTTTTCGCTAGCCCAGCAGTGTACTGCCCTCTCCGTTCCATTAAGGGCTCAGAGTGGGCAAAATGTTGTCCCAGTGTGGAGTGACACACTGTGGGCCTGTGTCAGGTTATCTGTGGGCAAGACCAGTGGTGTACTGCCCACCCAAATCTGTTAAAGGCCCACAGTGGGCTAAATAATGTACTGACTTACAGTGGGCCAATACAGTGTTATCTGTTTTCTAGCCCACATGGGCATGTTTGCAGGGTAGGAAGCAATTAAAAGTCATATCCACCAAATACTAATGAAGTAAACTCTTAAACAACTAATAAGCCGATATAGTAAATAAAACCTAAAATAAATTTGTCTCTTAGTTATTATTTTGAAATAACCTCTAATGAAAATAAAGCACATACCCTTAACACAGAAAATGTATGGTAACATGAAATGTTTCAGTTTGTGAAAAATTTAGTTTGAATGACTTTAGCCTAGGTGTATGTAAACTTTTAGGTGTATGTAAATGCTCATCAGGGTACAAACAATGTAAATGTGCCCTCAAAGGTCCAACAGTGGTTTTAAGGTTCAAATGTGACCTTAAATACATTTTATCTTTTCACAACCTAATGTTTTAATGCAGATTAATAAAATAAAAAGCCTGGAGACGAGACGGGGTGTGTGGAGTCAATACAACTTAGAAAGTGTAATTTCAATAGACTAAAGGCACTGAGATGTACCCTTGAGGGCACCAACCCAGTGGCAAGAGGGGTACTGCCCCAGTGACTGTTTTGTACCTTTTTTTTTAGAGTATACTGTAGAAAGAATCAAGCCAACAAAATTAAACTTTTAGACGATTAGACTATTAGAGCCTAACACAGTGCTAAATACAAGTGGGCAAGGGGGCAACAGCACCAGATTGTTTAGTTAATTTTTGTTCATTGCTTTTTCATTGGCTACTCTGCTGCAGAGGTGTCAGACTCATGGTTTGCAGAGGAGAAGAGATTAAAAGAGCCGCAGGAGGAAAGGATCCGAGAGGAGGAAAAGAGAAAACGCGAGGCAGAGGAAAAGAGAAAACGCGAGGCAGAGGAGAAAAGAGTTCGTATAATCATGCAGAGAGAAGAAGTGCCTGAGATAGAGGAGGGTGAAGACTGGTTTATCCTGTTTCAGACTCCTTTTATAATAAAAGGTAAATGGTTAATTGTGCTGTTGAGTAATCATTTAGATTGCAATCTCTAATGTCCTGAGTTCTAATAATAACCTCCCCTCTCTATTTGTCCATATCTCTCATTTTATCTCTCTGTCCACCTCTCCTCTGGATGTAAACACAGTGGCCAAGAAAGCCGACGAGGAGCAGCTCAGGAAACTGGAGGAGTGGAAGAAACGAGTGAAGATCGAGGACAGGAGAAAAGGCGCAGCCATACAAGAGGAAAGAGCAGCTTACAGGGATGTAAAGGACGACTGGTTTATACTTCTGGATGCTTCTCTTAAAGACCAAGGTAAACACACACACCTATACATATACACATGCAGTCACTTTATTAGGAATTATTTACAGTCTCAGGCAAAAGTTTGAACACCTTTGGTCAAAAGTTGTGATTTTCTAAGTGAAAATAAATGAACACTTCCTCTACATGGAACAAATTTTAATATGATGGTTTTCTGCAAATTTTAGTGAAAAAATTCTTTTTTTCATTTATTTATTTATTTTTGCTGAGTTTAACATATTGATAAATATATCAACATGAAACATGAAATATAAAATGTGCCATAACCTTTGACAGGCCATATTTATATATATATATTTTTAACAACATGTTAAATTCAGCAAATAAACAGTAAATGTGCAGATGTGTGTTTTCTGCAGAGGACGTACTTATATTCACTTAAAACATGTAGGTGCACTTTCTAGTTACTGACTGCAAAGGTTTTAATAATAATTATTATAATAATAAGAATAATAATTTTATTTATGTAGTACTTTTCATGCCAGTGGCAGCTCGAAGTGCTTTACAGACAGGTGATAAAACATAGTTGTACAAGAAATCATTAGTATTTATTTAGAATCAGAAGAAAATGAAACAGATCAAATTACAAGATAAACACCACGAGAGTTTTAATTAAATGCTGAGTTAATGAGATACGTTTTTAGATGCTTCTTAAAAGTGAGCACTGAGCTTGACTGTCTAATAAAAGGTGGAATTGAGTTCAACAGTGTAGAAGCATTATAACTGAAAGAGGCCTTTCCATGTTTTCTTTATTTTACAGAGGGTATTTGTAGAAGGCCACTATCTACAGATTTAGTTTAGTTAGTTCATTTTAGTTGATATTAGTTATTTTTAGTTAATTTTTATTTAGATTTTATTCTTTTATTTCATATTTTTAGTTGATCATGAAGATTTGATCTTTTTTGTTGCTTGAATTACCTTTTTTGTTTAGTTCTTAGATAATTCTTTTAATTTTTATTGTTATTTTTAAAATTATTTTAAGACCTCACCTAACTGTCATATTTGATTCTATTATTTTAGTCGATAATTTCAGTTGATCACTAGTTTTCCTGTGACACTGACGTGGTAGTATGTACGGTGCTGTTTTATACAGTATCAGGCATGGCAGTATTGCTGGGTATTTAAAAACACTTCAGTGTCACTCCTGAGTTGAGAATAGTCCACCAGCAAAAAATATCTAGGCAGCAGTGGTCCTTTGGTCAGAAACTGGTGACTGATCAAGGGCTAGTGGATGACAAATTGTAACTCAGATAAATCACTGTCTAACTGCTACAAGGTGTACCAACAAGGTGCCAATAATGACCCAAATGATATCTGGTCAGCAGTGGTCCTGTGGTCATCTCTTTAAATTGATAAACAGGGTAAAAGGGGAGTGGTAAACCATGCAGCGACAGATAACACAGTCAATAATTAGAATCCTACATAGTGTCGTTATGTGGTAAATGGAATGGCCAATGAGTACAGGCACAAGATAGGTGCACCTGATGGTATATTTGTAATATTTGAAGAAATATTGGTGAAAATCAATCTCAGCTCTGATTGATATTCTTTATACCTCTCTTGGTCCTTTTTGTGTCTGTCCCTAGAACTCAAGCCTCCTCCCTCCCTCCCCTCTCCAGTCATTTCCCCAGTTGTTGTGCCTAAGCCTCGCCCAGAGCCTAAGCCCCTTCTAGAGCCCAAGATCAGCCCAGAGCCTAAGCTCCGCCCAGAGCCTAAGCCCCGCCCAGAGCCTAGGCCCCGTCCAGAGCCTAAGCCCCGCCCTGTGCCTCCAGCTGACCAACCGCTGACCTCCACTCCCACTGCACAACCTGTGCCTATCCCCAGACCAACCTATCTGGACGAGTCACTGAACAGACTGGACATCACGCAAGAATCGGAGGTCCGAAACACACACACACACACACAGCAGTATTAATACAAGTCTGTATGTACTAATGAATATGATGCATCCTATCCTAAGACTAGGATAAATAGTACATGTTAAGAATGTAAATCCAGTTCACACAACTATTGATTTCATTGAAAATTATTTTCTGTATAAAACTAGCTTTAGTCTGTTCCAGTTGGTTTTAAGTCCTTTTTTTCCTTTACAGGAGGAATCAATGTCAGTCCTTATCAGAAAGGTTAGGCACTCAATCTCTTCCCTACTTAATCCACCACCAGTCTACTTAGTGTACATTCTAAAACACATACAAACCAAGCAGAAATGCAGAAGGCCAATTACACAGACCCAGATTTAGTGTAAGCCTAGACAAAAAATAATTTGTTAATTACCATTGGCATAACAGTTTAGTCCAGGTCTAGACTTAATCCACATGTGGGAAACTGGCCAAAAATGTATATATATTCTTGTTATTTACCAAAGCTTCACTGTTTGCCTCCTTGTTTTTACTTTATCACAGAGAATGATGAAGAGAATGGAGGGTGAAAGCATTTATGTCCGTCACAGCTTGCTAATGTTGGAGGTTTGTGGACATTTAAATGGGAGATTCATTTTGCTTGGGATAGTTCATGATTTTAACTTCATGAATCCGCAGAAAAGATGAAGAAAGCGCATGTTTACACCCATTCTCTTTCTAAGGACTTAGATGTGACTCAGGAAGTGGTGCTGAAGCATCATGCCAGTGTCGGTGAGTTAAAGCGGATCTTTATGGAGGAAGTGCCTGTGCCTGGCCCCACCGAGTGGGACAAACGCCTCTCCACACACAGCACTGTCCACATTCCCCAGATAACTGATGGCCAGTACCTCGTCACCATGGACACAGTGAGTCTCACACACTTGATCTCCTGTTTCGAGCTTCTTCACAATGCCTACAATGCTTACAATGCAGTTGCATTGACTCCATACACCCTATCTTGAATCATTTCATATTCTTTTTCCATTTTAAAACATGAAAATGTTTCAAATATTAGAAAAAAGGTACAAATGTGCCCCTTTCCCCTGTCAAAGTGTACATTTGAAAGTCATTTAAGGTACATAATTGGATCTTAAGACCATTGTTTACCTTTAAGAGTACATTTACATTGTTTGTACCTTGATGAAAAAATATATCTGTGCAAGTATCGTTTTTTTTTTCTGACAGTGTACTGTATGAAGTCAGTAGTTGATTTATTTGATTTGTTAAAGGGGAATTGCACCAATTTCTATATAATTGAATATTTAAAATATAAACAAAGCCATTCAGAGTGATTTGATGTGAAATGCTACATTCTAGAGAAACTTCAGAACTGTTCACAGCATTGATGATAACAACCAGACATCTTCAAGTTCGAATAGAGAAAGTTATTACCTGAAGCACTTACAAATATGCTGCCTACAGACTGAAACATTATTTTACAATGATTTTGAGAAGACTTTCGCCTAAAATGTACATTTTAAAATAAACTAATGGCAGAGATGGACTTGCAAGGCGTTGGAAGATAAAGTAGTCCCAATAAAACTTCGCAGGTAGTTTTGTATAGTAAATAAAATGGCTATATTTGTGTTGTAGCTGTAAACTGTAAAGAAATCAGAGTAAAATCTAAACCATTTTATATCTAGCCACTCTGAATGACAGGATTAAAAATAACAATATATAAAAAAAAAAGTTCCCTTTTAAATTATCTAGAATAGACTTGCTTATGTGTTTTCCGACATTGTACAACATACTGTTGTCTATTAAAATGGACAAAATAAATTGCATTGCTAAAAACAGTAGAAGCAGCCTTAAAATCTGGTTGTTTTTTTTTTGTATTTTTGTCCATTCCTTTAATCTGTGAGAATCCTTTTAACTCTTTTATTTTCTTCTGCAGATGGAAATGGAATCAGTCATTATCAGAAAGGTTAGGCGCTTACTCTCTACTATAATATATTATGGTCTGCATCAATGCAATATTTGTAATGATTTAAATTTTAATCTATTTACTGCTAATACGTCTTGTATGTGTTTGCTGTACACTTTGCATACAAATCCCCAAAGTGAAACACTGTCAAGTTATCTCAAATTGACTGGTTTATGTCATTTCTAATACTGTTTAACACACTGTTGGACAAAAGTACAGAGTTTAGGCTTCAGTATGGTTTCTACTACTGATTTTAGCTATACAATGTACTTTTGTCCACTTTTATAGTGAACAGGATGTCAGTGTCAGAAACCACTGTGGAAGAGTTTATGTGGATGAAAGAGAGAGAATGAAAAGAGTCTCTCATCCATCTCCGATATGGTTGTACTTTTCAGGTAGAAGAGGATGAATCAGCCATGTGATGTAGCTTCAGCATGCTTACACAAAGAAAACCATCCAACCATCTATTTATTAAGCCAGCACTCAAAACTCTTTTTCTACTGAAACATTGTCACAGATGCTTTGCAATTATTACTTGTGTTTTTATTTCACTTATTCTGCATTTTTAAGAATTTTTGAGAATTGTAGTTTCTTTTTCTTTTTTAATTGTATTTGAATACCAGTCTATATATTGTGCGCATTATAATACCTGACGTGCTTTGATTTCTGTAGCCTGTGTGAGAAGCTTCATAGTGAGTGAATAATGTGTGTTTGTAGCAGAATGGATATAAGTTGTTGCTGAAGCTGTACGCCTGTCAGTATTCAGCAGACACGTTTTGAAAGCTCTATTACTCTAACTGAAAGGTGAGTCTTCCTTTGTGCTGAAAATGTCATGCATTTATTTGATTCAAATGTTTGAACTGAATCATTTACACATTCCACACAGTGAAATATATTGCCTATATATTACATATGCAGGTACACTCACTGGCCACTTTATTAGGTGCACCTATCTAGAGCTTTAGCTGGGCCTGAAACTTTGGTCCAAACACAAATACAGCCAGAGAATTATCTGGCTGAGCCTGACCCAATGCACAGCGTCACATTTTGAGTCCAAACTTGACCCGAGCCTGACAAACTTCTTTTGGAACCAGAGCCGACCCGAAATGTCTCAAGTATTCTCATCACCCAAAATGCTGCATAAAGCACGGCAGGATAGCACCGGTTTAATTAACACGTAGCAACAATAATAGCACTCATTAGATCACAGACCAATTAAATAAAATTAAACAAAATTCTTCAAGCAACTACATTCCAAACATATTAGTCTGAATAAACTTTAGTCTGGATATAATTACATGTTTTGCTGATTTTCTAAATGAAAAGAAGTTAACACATCCTCCATAAGGAACAAACCTAAATGGAGCCTTTTGCGATCTGCAAATGTTTGTTTACAATTTCTATTTATTTGCTGAATTTAACATATTGGCAAAAAAACATAATTATTTTAAACACATATTCTGGCAAAATTTTACATTTTATTCTTTTCAATATGGAATTCTGCCAACAAACAGTACTTGTGTAAAATGTGCAGAAGTGTGTTCTCTGTAGAGGTTGTGTTTACTTATTTCACTTAGAAAATTAATAAACCATGTAATTTGACCAGTCACGGCCAAACTTTTCCAAACAATGGTATCACAGGCAATTAGCACTTACCTGTTTAATTCTAACGCTCTTCTTTACATAGAATAACATGTTGACCATGTAAACATACTTTAATCAAACTTCCTTTTGGCTGAACTAACCTGACGATCGATTTGCTGTTTATTTCCTGTGCATTGTGAACCTTGGTGCTAGATTCAACAACATGAGAGGATGCCAGTTTTATTTCCTAATAAAATGCAGAGTAATATTTGTGAAAGGAGAAAAACAAAAACAAAGTGGGTGACGACTGTAAGAATTCAAACATGACATTTGAACCTGACCCAAACCTGATACATATTTCGAAAAAATAACATTCAAATCAAATATTTCAAGCTCAAGTATCTACACTTATAGTCCACTTTAATTTATTCCACTTACCACATCCATATATATATGGTGTTGGCACGTTAGTGTGTATTGTGATGGTATCAGTGTATCAGACACAGCACTGTTGCTGGAGTTTTTAAAAACTTTGTCCACTTACTGTCTGCTCTTTTAGACTCTTACCTTCTTGGTCCACCTTGTAGATGTAAAGTTAGAGATAGAGTGCATCTGTTGCTGCACAGTTTGTTTTGGCCATCCTCTAGACCTTCATCAGTGGTCAGTTTCTGGCCACAGGACGCTGTTGGCTGGATATTTTTGGTTAGCGGACTATTCACAGCCCAGCAGTGACACTGGTTTGTAATAAAAAAAACTTAAGCAGCACTGATGCCACTACCATGCCCGTGTCACTGCAGCACTGAAAATGATCCACCGCCCAAATAATACCTGCTCTATGGTGGTCTTTTGGGGGTCCTGACCATCAAATATGTTAAAATGGGTCAAATTATGCAGAAAAACAGATGGACCGCAATCTGTAATTATAGAACCACAAACCTATATGGTAAGTGGAGCTGATAAAATGGACAATGAGTGTAGATGCAAGGTGGGTGTACCTCTTAAAGTGGTCAATAACTATAGATATACAATTATATTAAATGTCTCACAGCATTAATGTTGGCAAGAATTGTGTTAATGTCACCTTTTTAGATTCATATAGCCAATATTTTTCATGTACATATCCACTTGTTGATACATAAATATTTATAAAATGGAAAAAATGGAACTAGATCAATCTGGATTAGCATTACAGAGAAATACCACATTTATTTCTGTAGGGTTACAAACAGTGCTCGATTTGAGGAGGGATGTGAGAGGATGCCACTCCCTCTGTCAAAAAAAATGTGAAAAAAACATCCTCTCCCCTTTAGATTAACGTGATGTTTTTATTATCAATAATTTTCACTTCACACATATGTATGATTTACACAAAATGGGAGATCTCAAGTTATAATCAGGCAGGCACTTACAGAAGGGGTGGTTATTCAGAATAAATTGCTTTTTCTTTTGTGGAGTGCAAAATGTGCACCAGTTATCAGGGTTGCGAGGTTCACAGTATTCCTGCCAAATTGGGCTAGTTTGAAAATGCATCTGTGGGAGAAAAACGATAAAGTTTCAGCTTCTGGTGGGCGGCTTTTTAACAAACTTCAGACTGGAGATTTTTTGCTGGACCTGGCAACCCATCCCATTGTACAGCGAATGCTAAAAAATACAGCAAGAGCAAAAAAAAAAAGAAAAACAGATAGGGTAACCAGCATTAAGAGATGTTGTCAATACAACTGAACTCAGTTTTAGTTTAGGGATGAACCTTAAGACTGATATTCTAAATGTTATTCTTAATTGCTTTGGAAAGGTTGTTGCTGCTTGAAAAACTAACATGTCAAGAGGCACCAATAAATTATCTAGCATTCAATACAGTAAGCAGCACTGAGTAGCTCATGTCTTACACTTTTCTTGAGGATGGAAGGTGACTGTGTTGGTTATAGTTCAATCAAATGAATTCAATGCATTATTTTTTCAGTGTGTGTTTTTTGGGGGTAATTCTCTAACCTAAATAAAAAAAAGAATATGTTGAATCTCAAAATACTGCCTCAAATTTTATTTTGGAGTTTACAGTTGTTTTTCTTCCATTGTTTCAGCCATGCTTGAGATATTTAAACTGAACACCATTCTGGTGTTTATTAACACCTGTGCGCAGTGGTCCAGCTAGGAAATCCGTCGCTGTTCTGTTCATGACAATAATCAAGTGGCCATCTGTCATCGGAGCAAACTCACGCTGAAAACGCAAATGATTTGGTATGAAGACTGCAGGGCTTAAGAAAGAAACTCTAAGCCGTTGTACTGATTGGTGAGTCACTGGTCACCAGACTGCCTGACTGGGTTTGGAGTCATGCCACTGACTGCATGGCTGCTGCTCAGGATTATTTGTCAATAATGAGACACGGGATTAATCGCCACTTTTTGACCTTATAAATTGGACTGTCATAAAGCACTGGCTTACACACTGAGAACAAATAGCCATGTCTCAGAGAAAGAGTGCTGATCTAGGACCAATATGAATAAACTGTATTTGTCTCCAAGGGGCAATAAATTCCTGGGCATGTCACCAATCAATACAGCAACAACAGACAGATCACATAAGCAGATCACTTTAGTATAAGCTAAGCATAAGCCGATCCTGCTCTGTGAAGTCTGATAAACATGAGCTGGTGTGTGTTGGGGGGTGGTGACTCGTTGGTTAGTCTCTTTTATGCACCATCTGACATTTCTGTGAAGTTCAAAGTCTTCACTTTGAACAAAAGTGTACGCACACACATAAATGCAGTAGCCTATTGTATGTTAGCTTGTAGAAAGAGACAGTATGAGACCCCTGACAAATATGTGAAAAGATTAAATACAGTGGCCCAGAGATACAAATCATAACAGCATTTAGGAAGCAAAGAAAAGACAAAAACACCACAACAATAGTGGAGAACACATTAAACACATAAAACATTAAAGCAAAACACAATAACGTCAATGGAAAACACGAAAGCATTCAAACAGAACACAACATTATGAGAAAACACAACAACATTAATAAAGGATGCAACAACATCAAGAGAATACAAAAGTATTGTGAGAACACAGCAATATTCATGGAAAACAACAACGTTAAGGGAGAAGACAAAAACATTAAGGCAGACAACAATAATATTAATGGAAAACAAAATTCAGGCAGAACACAACAGCATCAAGGGAGAACACAAAAACATTGAGAGAACAGCAATATTAAGAGAGAAAACAACAACATTAAGGAATGACACAAAAACATCAAGAGAACACAAGGCATAAATCAACATTAAAGCAAAACACAATAGCATTAAGAAAGGACACAACATTAGGGCAGTGATTGGACCTCGCAGAAGGAGCATTGAATGTGTTTTAAAAATAATTTAAGCAAATAGTTTCAAAAACAGTATTTGCAGGATGGTTTATTAGAAGAATATCAGGTAAATAAGGGTACTGAAGTGCATTAAAGTACTCTTTGAACCTTAATGCAACACTGTGTGAGATTTGGGGATTTGGAGACCTCTCTGGTGGTAATATGTAATTGCACACCATGTGCGGAAGAACATTTTGTAACGCCGGTCGTGTTTCAGACCACCACAAGCAGATGAATGTGACTTTTGCGAGTGCATTGAAAGAGCTATCAAAGAGAATTTGGTAAACGACGTGTCTTCTACTACCACTTGTGACAGCTTTCTGTGAGGTAGCTTCAACAGACATTAAACTTCCCAGACATCTGGTTCCTATTACCACCACTGTGAACAATTAAGACTTTGGTAAGTTCCTCTAGAACAGAGCATTTCACATCAAGCAGGGCTGTCAGATCCTGTTTTATGAAAAGAATTAATTGGTGGGGCTGAAGTGGGAAACTGCTAGATGCTTCTGTTAACTAATAGAGGGTGCATACATTGCTTAGTAGTTAAAGTTTCACATTTTAAAGACTTTCTCCATTTTAAATTGAAGGTTTCTATGTAAAGACTAAAAGGTCCTTACCTCATTTAGGAGTATTTTATATACGTACATTACCACCATGTGACCCCACTATATCCTAAAATCACCACTGTGTATAGCATCAGTAACAAAGTTCTAATAAATGTCTAGAATTCATTATACCTTAAAACTGAACATATAATCTCAGGGTGTATTATTTTACTTATGATTTTATTTGCTCCATGTTTATAGAATTCTTGAAACACGGGTAAAACATCAGAAATATGTTTTGGCAAAAAGGTTATAATATTTAAATTCAAATGGTACATGTTATTACTGTATATAAAATAACAAATATTGTTAACATAGCAAGTAATTTTACTTTTGAGCAGTGGATACAAACACAACAAAAGTGCAATTACACTTTGGTCCTTAAATGTTTTATTCTTTTAATACAAAGGTGCACTTACATGACTCAATGTTTTCATTCATTTGCTTGTTTTGATTTATTTGTTTGTTATTTTGTCCTTTTGGCACAGAAAAGATTTTCCTTACCTATTAGGCTCTGAAGACCAACTTGTTGTTAGACTTAGATGTCATTAGAATTCTCTTCTCTCTTCACTCAGACGAATATAGTGTCTGCTGTCGTCTTCTACAAATTCAATCTAACAGTCTACAAACAATCTAACAAACACACTCATATCAGTCATCAAGAAGGCAATGTTAGTGTTGGTTGGTACAAGACGTTTGACAGCTCTGAAATGAATGTGGAACAAATGTTATTTCTGCACAGTTATGCTAAGCTGTAATCTCTTTGCCCAGAATGCTCTCTGTTAGGAAAATGAAAGAAGATAGGGTCCAACATGGCACACTTAGCACTCTTTTGATACACTATTTGGCCAAAAGGTATGTGGCCTCCTGGCCATCACCCCTATATGAGCTTGCTGGACATCCCATTCCAAAACCACGGACTTTAAACCCAGCCCCGGACCCTTATCCCTCCTCCACCAAAATTTACTGTTGGCACTATGCATTCCGGTAGGTAGCATTTTCCTGGCATTTGCCAAATTCAGATTCATCCATCAGACTGCCTGATAGTGATGTGTGAATCATTACTCCAGTGAACAGGTTATGAGTGCTCCAGAGTCCATTGGCATTGTGCTCCACCGCTCCAGCTGATGTTTGCTATTGCGTATAGTGATCTTAGGCTTGTATAAAGCTGCGCAACCATGGAAACTCATTTCATTTCACACTGTACTTGTGCTAATGTTGCTTCCAGAGGCAGTGTGAAACTCTATAGTGAGTGATGCAATGGAGGATAGACGATTTTCACACACTATGTGTGAACTTGGCGGCATTGTCTTCTGCTTTGAGGCTGAGCTGTTGTTGCCCCTAGATGCTTCCGTTTCACAATAATAGCAGCTGACAGAAATTTCACAAACTGACTTGTGGCAAACGTGGCATCCTGTGCTTGATTTCATTCACCTATTAATGAGTGCGGCTAAAACACTTGAATTTAACACTTTTGGCCACATAGATATATCATTAGCTATGATGGCAATTTGTGTTCTGCAGGAATCATACAGTTCATTTTTAAGTGCAGACCACACCATCAACACTCCTAAAAGGTTACAAAAAGGGTTCTTTTGAGTGATGTCCTTAGAAGAACCACTTTTGTTTTCCCTCATTCATTCACCCATTCATTCATTTCCCTCATCATTGCTGTAAACGAGATGGAACCTCCACATAATGTAAATGTTCTCTACCAATTAAAGGCTTCTCCTAGAACTGTAAGTACAAGCCAAGAACCATTCATTAGCAATTATCTTTAAGAATATATGGTTAAAGTGTGAGAAGAGATATGGGACTGTAACCCATCAATTAAAACTTTTTCAGGAAACAAAAGTGTTTCTTCTCTCACCTCTTAAAACCTTTTTTGGGACCTTTCGTTTAAAGAATGTAGAAGGGCAGATATCCTCTTTTGCTTGCACTTAGAGGAAGGCATAAAAGTCATGAGTCATAGTGAGGAAATGAGGTGGTGGTGGAAATTTTGTAACAGGAAACAGAAGGTAGAGAAGGGAATGTAAAATTGCATACAAAAGTTTCAAGTTAAGTGTCAAGTTAAGTTTTCGTTGATTTTCTAAATTCAAAAATAAGTACACATCCTCTACAGAGAACACGTTTCTGCACATTTTAATGCACAGTTACTGTTCATTTGCTGAATTTAAATTGGGGAAAAGCAAAAATGTGGCATGTGCAAAAGTTATGGCACATTCTATATTTTATGGTTTATTTTTTCCGATATGTTAAACTCATTAAATGTTAAATAAACAAAAATTGTTCACTACAATTTGCAGGAAAATGCCATATTTAAGTTCTCCATTCCCTGTGGAGCATGTGTTAACTTGGAGTGTTAGGCGTGGTCCTTCTCCTAAACTTCAGTTATTTCCTAACTTCCTTTTCTGTCTACCGATCCTCAATCTCTGTGTACTTGCATTCTCTCATTAGGGATGAACTGGATTGCTCTATTTGTGTTGATCCTACATTTGTAACAGTAGCCACTGCCACCCTGGTCTGGTAAGTGCGCTCTGGAAGGGGTGGAGCTTCTGGGCAGCTTATAAGGCAGTTGTTCAACTTGATGACCGGAAGTGTTAATGTAACTACATCCCTGCCATCTGTGAGAGGAGATGCCTTGTCCAGATCAAAGTTCACCTGACTGGAGTTGCAGGAGTCAGAGGAGGGGGAAGAGCACTTCAAAGTAGGAATGGTCATCCCCTCTTGGAGGCAGTGGATGTTGAGATCCGAGAACACCAGTGCATCTCTGTTAATGCTTGTTTCTGGCTGCAGGTATCTTACTGAGCTGGTGTCCCCATACTTCTCCGATTGAGTTGGTAAAGAGTTATCTTTGCTTCCTGTATTCCGTCTACGGTGGCGGTCCCAGTCCCGGTCCCGGTTCTCGTAGAGGAGTGTGTTGGCACAGATGAAGATGAACAGGCCTACCCCCATGATGATGGGACCGACCAATTTGAGTTTCTCAGCGGGTGTTCGGCCGGTTGGAGGGTGGTGGGACACTGGCCGCCGGGTGCGATGAGGCCAGTAGCCGCCCACAGCCACACCAATTCCTACCAGTAGCAGCACCCCAGCAAACAGCACACAAGCTCCAGGAGCTGAACGTAGACGCAGTCCACCAACCACAGGCCCAGTATTCTCCTGAGGGACTGAAGTGTCGGACTCTAGACCAGACACACCTTTTACCGTCGACTCGTCCTCCCCAGACATTCTGTGAGAAATAAAGGCGGTGAGAAAGAGGACAAGGAGTTTGCAAGGAAGATCTGATGGTATGCTTGAGTTTACCACAAAGAAGTTGCACTTGAACTAATGACAGTCAAGTTGTGATGTGGTACCCTGTGAACACGGTAGAGCAAGCTAGCATCGGCCCATCCCAATTAATATATGCAAAACTTGGGCACCTCTGTCAAAATAAACATTTTGTTAATTTTCTAAGTGAAAAGAAGTATGAAACCTGAATATGATATATTTTTGCAAATTATAAAATAAATATATTATTTATTTTCTGCATTGCACATATTGGGAACAAACAACAACAAAATGTGATGTGCCTAAGTTTGAGTGCCCTTCAGACAGTACTTAGCAAGACCCCTATAGGCTGAAATCACAACCTCCAAATAGTTCTTATAGCCAGCTAACAGTCTTTGTATTCTTGATTCTTGATTTAGACACATTCATAGAATGTCTAGCATGCACAAAATGTCTGAGAGATGCCCAGAGATTGTCAACATATTCAAGTGTAGGGATGGTGAAGGCCATTTCAAAGCCTTAACCTTCCTTCACTTAAAGTAGTTCAAGATTGATTTAGAGGTATGTTTTGGATCATTGTCTTGTAAATGCTCCTTCTCGTTTCTTTATTGCCTGGGGGAAGGATTTGATGATATTTTGTAGGATCCTTTCTCTATCCCAAACCATTTCCTGTGCCACTGGCTGCCAAGCAACCCCAAAGCATAAGAGACGTTTAACAGTTGGTAAGGTGTTTTTTTTCATCAAATGCTGCTCTTTTTTCCCCCCAAACATACCTTTGGTGATTGTAGCCAAATCATTCAGTTTTTGTTTCATCACACTACAGCACTTGATTTCAAAATGCAGTATCGTGTTGCATACTGTACACATTGACTTTTGTGATGAGATCACAGTTTAACTTCTGATGACCTTCCCATGTAGATGGAAAAACACAGCAGAGTCAGCCAGTGCATTAATATTCCTGTGCCAGATAAATCTTCCTGTAGGCTCTTGGCAGTGATGTGGGAGTTTTTCTTTGCATACCTGACCAGTCTACAAGCATTTTTTTTTGTTGCAGATCTTGTCTGGATTTTCTTGTGTTGCAGATCTTGTCTGGACTTCAGCATTTCAGTTCCATTTCATAATGACACGTCACATATTTTATTATGCTCTTTTTCTACGGCTGACTTTAACTGAGTCCTAACAGGTCAAATAAGCTGAAACTGTACAAAAAACATAACACTAACATCTTATTTCATTTTTTCCACTGTATTAAATTCAGTAAATAAATGCTAATCAGACATTAAAATGTGTGGAGAAGTGTCATATTTAGGTTTTTACCCTTCACATATTGCATTTCTTTTGATCAGGGGTTCCCAAGCTTTTGCATACAACTGTGTTTATTGTTCATTTGATAAACTTACCCGTTGCTAGTGAGCACCCGAATGCAAACAACTGACAGACATGTCGGACAAGTTGAAAAAGAGCATGCAAACGTACCTTTAAATGAGCATTATTAATTACTCAACAATTATATACTGCATTATATCACCACAAAACTTTGTTTTTCAGTGGTTGAAAAAGAGCTTCATACGAGCTGTGTGTTCTGGAACATGCCCTCTTGTGTGGAAGGTATTTCATGTTACAGGAGATACAGACAGGTGACAAAATAAAGGAAAAACCTGAATAAAAGAGCAGAGAAACACAACAGGTGCAGATGCTCTTAGACAGGTCAGCTGCATGATACAATTAAGCAATTATCATCCTACCATGGACTGTGGCATGAATAAAAATGCTAAGCAGGCTCAACTGTCTTTGATTTTTGGATCAAGATGGCAAGAGGAAAGGATTTAAGTGATTCATTATTGGGGCATTGGATGACAGGAGCTGTAGTTACAGAGACTAACTTGCTAGTAATTAAATAGGAACCATGATCAAAGTAGCATCTGCATTTTGATCTATAGGTTGGAAATTGTGTTTGAAAGTGCATGATCAATGATACTGATGCTAGTGTTCCTCTGGTGACAAAGAATGTTACTTCAGGACATGATCAGCCTGTCCACAACTACACAGAACAGAATATTATAATTGGCCTGCAGTGCATAATACGCTATGGCCTTCATACTCAACATATCTCCACTCAACTGAACACCGATGGGAGATTTCTCTCCATCACCATCATCAAAACAACAAATTGAAGGAATTTTTTGTGGCTTGTGTTAGCCCAGCACCTTCCTAAGAACTAAAACACTGTATGGTGGTTTCTCCTTTAACTTGTCACCTCTCTGTACATACTACACAGGAAAATAGATATGACTAAATTGGAAGGAAAACATTGTTTCAACTACAACATATTCCCTGGAAACTGTTCTAATTCTGTTGCAAAAAAAATTACATCTGTGAAAAGGATCCGAATAGGAAATTTCCCCATTCCTTCCAGATCTTATGAACCGTCACTACCTGAATATAGACAATACCTGCAGTTCCAAGGCTGATCCTGGTACACTTGGGGCCATATTACAGAAACTTCTAAACTCTGAAATCTGTTTCGTCACCATGACAACTTTAGGATAGAAGCTATACAGAACAACAGTTCTTAAGTTCACAATCTTTTCCTAACTCCAGATAAGAAAGAGTATTACATCCTAATTAGACAAGATTTCCAAAAGAAATTTGAAGACAACCCCAGAGAACTTCTGTATTAACTGTCCGTTTCTATGACAGGCAGCATAGTTCACTATAACTAGCATAATGATGTTACATTAATCTACACTGAAAACAGTGCTTTGACTTAGCTCCACCATCCCCTCTTATTACCTTCATGTGTTAATATTGATGAAAACTCGTCAGATAAAATATTACACGGTTGGTGGTGAATAATGAGGAGACAAACGTATGTCTGTTTATTAGGAGGAATAACTTTAGCGTGGTCGGCTAAAGTATTTGGAAAGCTAAAACTGGTAAACAGCATGAAGTGATGTCACAATATTCTTAACTTCAAGTTTTTCGCGCTTTGGTTTTGTTTGACCTTTTTTACATCTGTAACAGTATCTGGTCATCTGGCTAACTAACTTGACTATTTTGATGACGTATTTAAGTTTCAGCTGTTGCTAGGTAACAGACGTGACAGTTGATTGTCGATGTCGATCGAGCAAATGAGATTTCAGAGTGAGGACGTTTCAGTAATAAGGCCCCAGTAGTAGTAGTAGTAGAGTAAAGTAGAAATATACCTTTCATTACCATTTTAGGGTGCTTGTGTGAGGCTAATGATCTATGCAGTGTACCAGTTTTGGTAGTGATGGCTGAATACTAATTACACTGTCCTAAAGGTAATGAGTTACGTAACGTTGTTCTGTTACAATACATAAAAAAGAATCTATATAAAATACATTCAGACAATCACAAAGCATATTTCATATGTATCTATGCTCTAATCATATATATTATGTCCACATTCATTCTGCTACTGCTGTGACATACAACAGGATCACCACCAATGAAACACATTCGAGCCCAGTCCAACACTGATGCTTAGCTTATCACTTGTAGACATGTTTACTACTGAGGAGACTGTTCAGTTCGACCATCCTTCAAAAGAGCTTCACACTAAGATAAACAACTGGCTCATCATGGACATTTAACAGCCTCGTGCTTAAGCAGGAAACCATTTGTTGAGTCCCTTATTAGAGTCCATTTAACAAGTGTTTTCTAAAGGTATTCTCCTAAAATATAGAATGTAACTGTATTCTAAATACTGCATTTTCAAAATGTAATGTGGAATGAATACAGATGCTTAATTTCTGTATTATTAATATGTATTCCCAATACTGGTATTCCATTATATCCCAACCCTGTATACTGGGCAATTACAAAGCAGGTTATAAAGCAGCTTAATAGGTTTTGCTTTGAATACCCCATCAGTTGGCCTCAAGCAGTGTTCACCAACATTCTTCCTGAAAATCCACTCTGTAGAGCTTAGCTCAAACAATTATTCTCAAACACAGGTAACATGCTACAAATGTGCTACAGCTAATTAATCTTTTCAGAAGAACCTTGATCGGGTAGCTCAGGTGTGTTGGAGCTGAGCTCTGCAGGTAGGTGGATCTCCATAAAGATGATATGTAACCACTGGAAAAGAGATTTAGACAACCGTAAGGCTTAGTTATCTGACCGTTACATCTCGACCCATGGAATCTGACCTTTCCATTTAGATTCAACCACAAGCCCTTATCTAAACACAGCCCAGGCAGGGAAAGGGGACAAGAAAAACACATTTAATCTAAGCATTCCAGGATAATAAACATAGTCAGGATATGAAAATGCCTTTGCTTTTTGAGAAAATAAGTGAGAATAAAATTCCTTTTCCAAACCTCTTTCTTTCTTTTGCTTAGCAATTGTCCATGTGTTGCTTTAATTAAATATCTTTAGATTAGATTTGCCTTAATTTAATGTTTCAACTTTAACCCAGCAGACTATGCAGAGGTCTATCCATAGCTGTTTCTGAGAGAATAACTAACTAAAGGTCAGCATGATTCATGAGGCTGCGTATAAAGAAGCATAAAATGATGGCATGACCATTTTACTGTTTATGTTTAAAGACAACAACATACACAACTTTCCAGACACAGATTAAAAGACTAGTCCTGGACAAAATGACTATGTAACCACGATTCCCAGCAATCTTTGCTTTCATCACACTTTTTATTATCATTTCTCAGTGGATTAAGGATTTTGCAAAAGCCTACAGTATGTAACACATCTTTCCTGCTCTTTTTATTAAAGGGAATTATGCCAGTTTTTCAAAATGTCTGTATAATTCAGTCAGAGAGATGTAAGTAATGCCATTCAGAGTGATGTGAAACAGTATTTTAGAGATATTTACTGACTCAGATTTTTTTTACAGTGGTGGTGATAGGAACCAGGGGTCACAATGTCTGCAATGCAAATATATATTATTACTATATTTTATATCTAATGAACTTACACGTCTTCTGAGATTCATATAACGTTTACAATGGTAAAATAGTGGTAAACCTGAAAAGAAACTCTTATTTTTTGCCTTAGAATGCCCTGCATGTGCCTCTCTGCCATGAATGGATGTCAAAAATATGTTTTAGACCAAAACCTTATTACAAAACTATTGCAAAACAGTGTCTCAGGCAACATATTTGTATCTGCTTCACGTAATAACTTTCTGTGAGGTAACTCTTTAGACGTCTGGTTCCTGTAAGTTTCTCTAGAACGGAGCATTTCACATCAAATTAACCCTTTATTTATACATACATTTAGAAAAACTAGTGGAATTCCCTTGTAATGTGGAGATATTGACCTGTGTCTACATCTGAATGTTAATGTCACCTCTCCAGCGAAGAATTTACATTACTTTACATCAACTTGTGGAAATTGGTCATGTGTTTTTCTTATATGTATACACAGGATAGCCTGTATAAAATACATTGAAAAAAGGGTAATGCAATAATTAATCAAAACACCTGAACATTTTATTTGTCTTCAAGATCTACTCTTCTATTCATTTAACTAGATGCGTTATGATAGGGCTCTTGCCTTTTAAATCATACATCCTTGCAGATTTACTGTGGCTCTGAATGAGACTAAATGTACAAACATAAATGTAAAAAGCCTACCTAAAGATATTGAACCTTTCACAGCGTCAGTTCTCTGTGTCCTTACTCGGTCTGGTCCCCGTAAAGCCAGGCCACACAGGAGGTCTCCATTGGTCAGTCTGAGCTAGTTCACAGCCAGAAAGCCACTTTCTTCATTCTGGGGTTTAGCACTGTGGAAGGGCTTCCATCGTTGTTCTCTTCTAGCTGACGAGAGCGACAGATGTGCAGGAGTGACTTTAACCCCAGTGACGTAGAGAAAAGAGAGAGAGAGAGAGAGAGAGAGAGAGACAGAGAGAGATATGGGTGGGGGTGAGTGTGTGTGTGACAGAGAGAGAGAGAGAGAGAGAGAGAGAGAGAGAGAGAGAGAGAGAGAGAGAGAGGGAGAGAGAGAGAGAGAGACTGGTTAAGGGTCATGGGAAGATTTGTGCAGGCCTGCTTGGTCCCACGGTGGGCACACTGACCTATTCTTAGAGTCACTTGGGATTCCAGCTTATTTTACACACTGGCTCTTCATGGTCACTGTTTATTATTCATTCTAGAGATGTCAAACTAATCTTTATTCCTAGCATGGAAGGTACTTTTCATCTGAAATCATGCTATTGAAATCCCAGCTGCTGTGTCAGGCTCAGTGAAATGTCCTTAGCTCTGAGGTCACTGAGCTGTTGTACTCAGTGCATGTATTGATTTTGGGAGTTCATTAGAAAAGTGCTTGATTTATGGTGTTTTGTTGAGTGTGGGCTCTGTTTTGCCTTAAATGTGACTATATCAGTACCAAAGATCAGTTTGAAAATAGACTTGTGAGAGGTTTGGGCTTGAGAACTGACTGACTGTATGTGGTGTAATACATTTTTCTTGTATTTTATTTTTTCCCCTGAACTCCACTTGTCCACCATGCTCCTAATTCATTTTAAGTGAGCATTTTCCAACCTTTCTTTATCCCTTAATATTAATCAGGCTGTTTTTTCACTGTGCCTTTAAGACTGATCTATAAGACGAATGAACTCTGCTCTGATTGGCTGTTCTGTATTGTGCTTCATTTAAAAAGCACTCAGAGCTCAAACACTTAGAACTTCAATATGAATGGGCAGGGCTGATGTAACTGATGTAGGTTGAATAGGTGGGTATATGCAAATGAGTTGGTTCTTGTGACATCATGGAAACAATGAATTGAGAATAGGCTGTTTTTGCAGTTTAGTTTCCATATATGGACTGTATGGATTGGGAAGTGATTGTTATTTTAAATATGTTCACATAATACTTAAAAACCCTTCATTTAGAAAATGGAGAATTTTAAAAAAGCAATTCGGTTTTCCATGATTTGGACCCTTGAATAATTTTCATACTAAATTCTTTGCCTTTCTTAGGGAAAGCAATGACAGTATGATGTAACAATGTAATGAATATTGTCACATCATACAGTAGTGTTCATTGTTTAAATTTCCAGTCAAATGGCCATTATGCACAAGTATTTTTTATTTTTTTTGCATCAGGAAAAGAAGCCACAACAACTCGCAAACCTCAGCTCCAAAAACGTTGAGACAGTAAGATCCAAATAAAGCCAGAAAGCAGTGATTTGTAAATCTACTTTAAACTGTATTTAAGCGATAATTGTACAAACACAAGATATTTAATATTTTACCTGATCACCTTTGTTTTTGTAAATATGCATTAATTCTGAAATTGATGCTTGCAACACAATCCAAAAAGCTAGGACAGGGTCAATTCAAGACTAGGAAGGTTGTGAATGTACAAAAAACATCTTAAACAGGTGAGGCAATCATGAATTGTCCTACTGCACATGCACATATCATTAGTGTTGTATAGTAACAGTTTTTTTGATGTTTTATTTTCTTAGTGTTTTTAATATTTATTCAGCCTTATTTCAAGCGTGTTTTACAGACCCAGCTAAATGTTATTACTTACCCTCTGGTAAGGGTTTTTAGGCTATCGATACATCCTACCTATAGTTTTAATACTGCTAGCGTTTTCTGATAATTTCTGGTAATTTAGGCTATCAAAATATCCTACCCTCAAGTAGCTCAGCTCAATCAGAGTCACCTCTTTTGGCTCCCATACAGCTTTTCATTCAGAGGCGGTTTTTTTTTTTCCTTTTTTTTGGATAAATCAAAACTAGTCAACTTAAGAATATTTGTCTATTATTTATTTTTCAATTAAAACCATAGTCTCCTTTTAATTAGTAAAAAGTGCATTCAGTTCAATATTTAAAAAAAACCCTGACCATTGAAGAACAAGGTGAAAGGGGGCTAAAAAAACATGCAGAGAAACAGAGACTACAGTCTGTAATTGTAGAACTTCAAAGTGCTCCTATATGGTAAGTAGACAAGGAATGTAGACACAAGGAGGTGTTTTTAATAAAATGCTTGGTGAGTGCATGTATTCACATATACCACACAAAACTAAATAAACAAAGCTGACACCAGGTGGCTTATACCAGGCTGTATTTCAGAGCTTAATTTTATTCCATTAGTTCAGACTTTTGAGCACTATAGTTTACATTTTGTCTTTCATGTCTGTTCATTTTCAATTTAATCTTTCAGCAACTTTTGTCCTGTACACACACATTCAATCAGGTCCTCCAAGGATCAAAATACACACACATCTGTAAGTCATTCCTAGCATGTGGAGGAATTCACTGTACATCAATTTACAGTTTTTAAACGCATTTCACAAAAGCACAATTCTCATACTAATATACAACAAGAGACATTCACTGTAAGATTTTCCCCAAACTAAGAGATTCCCTGACATATAAGACAAAAAAAAACCTCACGCTCTCTCCCGCTCCTTCTCCCATACTTTTACATTACTCACGCTTGTATAGACACACGTGCACACACAAATACACAGACTCAGACACCTCACCCTAATGGTCTTCTGTACACTCATTCTGACCATTTCAGGTGCGATGCGTGCTCATTTACAAAGATCGGATTTTTGCATCATTTTAAAAATTACTTTGTACACTTCAAGTAAAAGGTCCATCAATGTGGAATTTGTTCACACGTCCAACACCACTTAAGCACACATTTAATAACCATAAAACCATAAATAATATTGATAATCAACCAACATTACGGTGCCTTAGGACCATGCACTCTCCAGTCCAAAAAGTTCATAAGAATCAATCGATCAAATATAAGAGGAAATAAATTAAGTTAAAGCAGGGGAGATGAAGTAAATTAGGAGACAAATATGCGGATAAGGATACGATGGGTTTTGTCTGTGCAGCAGCATGGTTCTCTCACTGTAAATAATCTGATTGCTCAATTTTCCCATAGAACAATCAGTGTAAACCAGTATTTCAAGAGAAACTACCGTAAACAGTCTTTAATTTGCTGGATTACCTTTCAAACAGAGGGCAGCCTCAATGATTGGCCACAACTTGCCAGTATCATTAATGTATGGACTGGACATAGTTGGAGCAAGATGCAGGGAAAATGTTTTAACACCAGTCTGACTGGGGTGTAGTTGTGCATGGCTGTGCTGAGCCTGGTTACTGTGGGGGTGGGGCTACTCTTCATCCACACTTTTCAGCATAAGGATGCAGTTGTAGATTTTAAGTGCAGGGCCAAGCTTGATGCTTAAAATCTTTACGATGTCCGACTGAGTGAGAAGGAGGAAGGCCTCACCATCAATTTGCTACAGAAAGGGCAAAAGAAAAAAAAAAGTGCCAAATCATTTTCATCAGCATTAAACAATATTCAAGAACTACACTTTAGACAGTTCACAGAAATGATCAGTGCATGAAATGTAAGTGACATATTATTTGCCAAAAAATTGATAAATGAATCACTGAAATGGCTAAATGCCTATTCACCCCAAGTATGACATTTTTAGGAAGACAAAAACAACTGTGACTGTTTGACGTAGTGAAACCTTCATACCAAGTCCGAAGCGATTTTTCAAATCACTCGGAAAAAACAGGATTTTGATGGTATTTTTTAATAGTGTGTTGCTTGCCATATGAGCTTTTATGCTCTGCAACAAGCAAAAGTTTTGCTGCCATCCTGATGCACATTTGTTTGGACTACAACCATGACAAGAAAGCTCTGATTGGTCAGCCTGATTTAATGCATCCATACAATGCAGAAAATGAACCTGGCTCTGAAAATGAAAAAAAAAATAAATAAATAAATAAAAATGAAAAAAAACAACATGGTTGCAGTTCCTTAGTTTCAGCTACGTAATGTACAGAATTATTATGCATGTTTGCTTCATCCATTAAAATCGGACTATGTGAGAATAGGCCTTAACGCCACAGACACAAAAGACTGGAGGTTTAATTCTCCATCCAATTCTCCATCAGTCCTTACGGTTACAACACCAATACTACATTCAGCAGACACTGAAAGTATCTCTAAACAACAGCATCTGGTAAATGTGTAAAGTTTACAATCATTCTCATGACTGATTTAGTTACGTAATGAATGTGAAAATCAATGATTCATCCTCAGAGTTTTAACTGGTCTAAACATTACACTTTATATATGGGTAATAGTGATTACTTGGTTAAAAATGTAAAAATTATCCATTATTAGTATCTGATGTTGATTGGTTATCATTATTGGTCCAGCAATATAACTTAAAAATAAATGCTTGTATACTACTTGTATATATTACTTGATTATTGAATTTGGAACCAAATTCCTTGCATGTGTCAACGTATTCGGCCAATAAATCTGATTCTGAAGTGAATAGATTCTCTTCTCTCTCTCACTTTTTTTTTTACCTCACTCCTGAAAATAGCAGCATGTTCCCGGCAGCCTGGTAACTTCCGTACAAAACTTGCAACCTGACAAAATGCAGCACAAAAAAGTAAATATATAAATAAATAAATAAATGTAATTTGTGCAAAAGACCTGATTATATCATTATGCATATACTGAACACCCTTAAAGGAAGAGTTCAGCAAAAGAAAACCATAGTAACATGCTTTATCACTTACCCCAGATGTAGCTGATCAGCCAAGACATGTTCAATATCATACATGTACTTCTTTAGTTTACAACAAGAGATGCTAAGCTAACGTTGCTAATAAACAACAGACTTTGATTGTCACCAACTCATCTGCATAACGGCATGCCAGAATCTTAGTTTATCTGCTTCGAAAATCTATTGAAAAACGTTGTAATTTTTTTAAAAACAATTCTGTAAAATGACATGGATGAAGTTTATTTAAACCAAAACTGGAACTTAGCATCCACCCCACTTAGTAGTACTCTGTCTCAATGGAGATATCATGTTTGTTTTTAAGCATAGCTGAGACTTCTTAACTGTAAGACAGTTAGCTAAAAGTTACGACTCTTAAAATGATAAAGCTACAAAATGAGGTGTAGTGTTCCACCTTAAATGATGCAGCAGGTACATCCTAGCACCTGCACAGATACCAGAATGTAACTACTCCACCGTTCAAGGTGTAACCTTGAAATTCAAAGAAGTTGGCAACTAAGAATCCAGCTCATGAAAAACTCTGTGTAGGCAGTGATTTTTGTAACCAGTACAAAATATTCTAATATCTACAGCTGTTCCAAGTAAAAAAATATGACGAGAAGTGGGTTTTAAAGGAAGCTTTGTTTACTTTTTCTCTACGTTCACTGTCCTTTTTGTGTTCACTAAGCTAGTATAACTGTCATGCCACAGGCAGCTAACATGCTTGATAAATGTTGCTTTACACAGTTTGACTACGGAACTAAATAAAGCAGAGACACTTTACCTCGGTTGGAATTTTTGTATTTATAGACTAAAGTAAGTCATACCACAAACTAAGATCTGGATACATTTTAAGAGACATTTTTGAGCATGTATTGACAGAGATAAGTTTGGTAACAATCCAGTAAACAAGTCCAGTGTTTATTAGCAATGTTAGCCTAGCATCTTGTGTTGTCAACTAGAGAAACACATGTGAGATATCAAACATGTCTTGGCTGATCGATGGCATCTGGGGTAAGTAAGAATTCAGGTTAATTTAACTTTTTTCAATGAATTATCCCTTTAATGTTACATTTGCATTTTTACCTCTTCTGTGCTCCATTTGGCCACTGTCTTGGCACTAAGGCCTAAGGCTTCAGGCAGCAGTTTGCCGTGCTTCTCCCAACAGTGCCGAAACTTGGGTGGTTCCCAGCCACAGAACACAGAGTCATGCAAGAACTGCTGCAGAGAGTCTACAAAACACACCAGTTAGGGCCTCAGAAGAAGTACAGAAATAGTTTCATTACACTATGTAATAATAGCATCAGGTAAGTCAAAGATTCTTGGGGCTGAGGACTACCTTTTCCATTTCCTTCATGCTTCACCTGATGGGGCTTCACACATTTGGTGGCAGTGGTAGTCCTACAACAGAGAGAGCAAAAACAGAAATTAGACACATGCCCTATTCTCACTCCTTTTGGTATCAGTATGATTTAAGGCCTCACGAACCTGGCTGGTGGGGAGTTATCTGTGTTGTCAGAGGGCTCCTGGATGTTGCCAGTGGGTGTGTGAGCTGGCATTTGAGTGAGCGATTCTGTGCGCCGGTGTCTTGGAGGTCCACTAAGAGTGATCGGTCTCTCCCCACTTAGCCTGTCTGGTAGAAGACCTTCCTTATTCAGATTGAGTTCAGAGTACGGACAGCTCACCGCCCTGAGAGAGAGAGGGAGAGGGAGAGGGAGAGGGAGAGGAGAGAGAGAGAGAGAGAGAGAGAGAGAGAGAGAGAGAGAGAGAGAGAGAGAGAGACATTCTGTGCAGTGAGCCATTTTGTGATTATGTACAGTACATACTGTGCAAGTCTTAAGCACCTAAGCATGTAGTTTAAAACCAGGCTCTTTGTGCTTGTAAAAATATATCATCAGAATAAAAGCAAAGGGATATAAACACAGTAAATATATATATATTTTTTTGTTTCCAAAAACATACTTGATATCTGGAGCGAGTATAAAGAACAAAGACTGGTTCCAGCTGTCTCCTGGATGCCCCCTGCCATTGCACAGATTTGTTATATTCCATTACCAGCACACTTGGTTTAACATACTGAAGTATTGCTTAGCCAAATCAGGTAATAGGTGAGAACTACAAATAATACTGGGCTTTGCTAATAGTTAACACATAGTAACCCATTTGACATACATAAAATCATTACTTACTGTATTAATGGTATTTGTTTTTGTTCTTATGTTTGTGTTTATAAATAAATACTTATTGCCCTGTTAAACATATTTTTTAACAAAATTTCTCAGGTGCCTAAGACTTGTCTGCAGTACTGTATGTCTTTTACTGATCTTACTGTTATACTGTTATGTAAAAAATGTGAGTGAATGTCAGAAATATTAACATGGACCATATTTTAGTTGACAGAAAAAGCTTATATGATGCTGTGAAACTACACTGTATATTTTAAGGTTTATTATTAGATTTGAAAAACGTTCTACTAAATCAACACTTGAGGGCACCATTTAGCACTAGATAAGCAGTTCTGAGGAGTTGTACAAGTTATCAGATACAATGTAACTGAAGTGCATTTTAAGGAGTAAATCTGTTTATGTTATTACTTTAGAAGTAGTTCTGTTGATTTAAATTACTGCAACTGAAGTTTGAGAACTACCAGCTTGCATAGTACTAACTGTAATAACACTGGAAGCAGCCAAAGAATTGCAAAATATCATGCTGTCTACTGTTATTCGTATTAATTCTGAAAGAAATGTGAAGTTTGTAAGCAAACAGTATCAGATCTGGACCACTGTCAGGTAATACAGGTAAAAATTATCAAAGTGATTAAAGAGGTCACACATGATTGCTGGCACAGAGTAAAACTGGTAGCCCTAGCGTGCAAAATATGAAAAGAGTGTCCATTTCATTAAGTGCTTGCACTGGTTACTAACGTGTAATGTGTTCCATATCGAGGTCCTTTGATGTGTCCTACACCGTTGCATCCTGGAGTAGGGCAGCCTTGTCCTGGGGGGGCTGGGGGTTCACTGGTACCTGAAAAGCAAGTTTCAAAACAACTTTTGATTCACAGAGGAATACAAAATTTGTGCGCAAATGACACGCAGGCCAGAGTAAAGGTATGTATGCCTTTTAGAACATACACTGATGTATGATATTGCATGCATGTTACCATTGGAGTGCTGTAGAGGATGGCCAGTCTTCTGGCACCAGCCCACAGGATGCAGGTCAGCGCTATCTGCATCCAGCCAGTAATCATACTCATCACTCCAGCCATCAAAATGGACCTGCAATAAATACAAACACCCAAACAGTTAATATATCACCTTCATCATAATTTAAGTGCACAAGCTCGTCTCTCACAGAGCATGTCGGTAAGACATGTTAACAGTGACATGTTAACAAACCATAGTAAAAATACTACAACTCGTTTAAAAAATTTGCACATTCTATTCTCAAGATTTTCTTTTTTATTAATTGGAAGGTGCAAAACCTGTTCTGTGCACAACATGAAGTTTAAGAAGGCTAAGAATTTGTGGTTTGTGGCAAAGTGCTAGTGACAGAACGCAGGCCTAGTAAGTGAGTAGATTTACAATCTGATTGTTCTTCTATAATTCATTTTACATGTATATTGGTTTGTGTGGGGAAGAGGGGTGGAGGAGGGCTGGGATGACAATTAGGGGGTTGTGAAATATTTTAACCCCCCAATAAAGGAATGCAGTGTGAAAAAGGTTAAGAACCTCTCATCTACTGTAACACAATACACAAGGATTCCAGCACAAACAAAAGGTGACTGTAAATAGCTATACTATGAACAAAGCATTAAGCTCATTTTCAGACCCACAGAATTATAGCTCAGATACAGAGCCAAATTGTTTAAGTGTACATAAGCAGCATAGTGGTGTACCTTGACTCTGTGATCCTCTGTGTCAGATATGGTGGATACACGAATGAGCATGGGGTTGCGTTTGTCCACTGCCTCCAACTTCATCCCCCCTTGGAACCCATGTGGTGGTCTCTGGAAAAATTCAGTGAATGTTTTGCTATAACAATCAAGAATCTCTTTATGGCTGTGACCGGAATGGATACATACTCTCTCATTAAATTTGTGCTATGTAGGGGAGAACTATTTAGTTCACTACAAAGAATGTATCAATCTATTAATTCCAACACTTTTCTATCATCAGCCAATCTCAATACTCAAACATTTTGCAACATGCTGAAGAAAAGAAATGAAAAACTTTAATATGGTACACATTTGATTCTTGGTCCATAGCTACAGTAACATGCAGGTACCAATCAGTGTTTATGCTGTATGATGAACAGCACCAGGGTCTTCATTTCAATTGTATAGAACTGCTGTTTTTTTGTAGTATTTCTGCAGGGAGTCAAGAGAGTCTGATAAGTTTTATTTTCAGTGATTCAGCAGCCACACTTAACATTTCTCTGTCCGTTGCACAGTAACTAGTCGCACTTGCAAGCTACAACAAAAATGGCCAACGTACACAATAGTGCCGTAAAATGCAAACAAGTATCCATTACAGTCACGGCCTTTATGTTTTGTGAAATCACACATGTATGGTTCTGTTCATCTACTTAAATACAATGGTTCAATGATGTGAGCATGCTTAGTCACACTCACCTGTTTAAAGGCTCTAGCAGGTGCTGCCTGGGACCCAGTCTCCTCCAGGTATTTCTCCCATGAGAAACTTTTCGGGTGCTTATACTCTTGAGAGACAAAATCACAACCAAACATAAGATACACAATCCACACAGTACATGTGATAGTCTATTTCACTTGTGCTTGTATATGGATCATTCTAACAAACTGGTTCAAAGTCAAAGTTGAAAACAAACTTCAGACTTCACTGTCTTAAACTTTAGACTAAAATTCTTTAATGACATTATATCTTTATATATGTTTATTTTACAAAAACAAACAATTCAATTCAGCAATTGCCAATACAAAAAAAATGGCTCTGAAATTTTACAAAATATTTTAGTAGTGACAATTTTTAGTAACTATGAGCACAGCTCAAAAATGCAAAAAGTTTACTGAGCTGCAGAAAGTGTTTTGGTAGTGACTATTCTTAAGGTTACACACCAATTTTCAGACTCTGGGACACATTTCTTTCAAACCAATGGGATCTACCTGATCACCATGTGGCCATAACGGACAGGGATGCAGTTTCACTTCCTGCTCTAAAAGCTTAAATAAAAATCTTCCTATACATTAAAACGTGGGAAAACATTTTTTGAATAAAGTTATTTTATTTAAAAATTAAACTTGTTGTAAATCTAAGTCTTTCAATTTTTACTTTAAAGGATTTTTTAAAAAATCATTGGGAAAAAAAAATAAGTATCATGTAAACAAGCTGAAATTTAGGGGTTTGGGACAGCCACTATAGAAATTATATTATAAATGAAATTTAAACTGTGGGACCGCATTTTAAACTAATGTGATACAATTGTTCATATTTGCAGCATGACGGGGGAAAACAGCTGAACACTTAGATGCACACATACATACATACATACATGAATAAACAAACCCTCACCAGCAGGTGTGGTCAATGTTAACTCTGCCTCCTCACAGTACCCAACCGGATGAATATATGGACTGCTAGCATCACACCTGGCAACAAATTGTGGAATAAATATATATATGTATATAGTGGAGTCTAAAAAGTTGAAACCACAAATAAAAATACTTCTATTTTGCATTCTTTTCTAATACATACGTTTTTCATGACAACTTACATTATTAGCATAACAATTTAAGTAAAAGTAGAGCCTCTAAACTGTTTATATAAATTTCAGAATTTGTTAGTATTTGTCCCCCTTTTGCTTTAAAGACTATGTACACTCAGGTTGGCATGGACTCCACAAATTTGTGCAAAGGCCTCTGGTAAGAGTCATCTGAACACTACCAAATATTAGTAATCAAGGATACTGATAACCGATATTTGTGGCCAACATTCATTTACCATAAAAGTGATGTTTGTAGTGTGAAAGTCTCACTCACAGCTTGCATTAGATGAATATTAGAAAGTTATAAAAATAAAGTGCTTTGAGCTTTAGACAGTATAGGCTGCAAAAATATTAACAAACATTTTAATAATAAAACGATAAAATAATAACAAATAGATCTTAATGACATTGACATTTACAAGAAAAACTGAGCCAAAAAAGGGTTCAAAAACTTCAAATTCCAAAATTTACACAAATATATTTACACATTTTTAATGTAAAACACATATGTAGTATGAGTCACTGACAGTGTTGAAAGGGCCCATATCAGTCGCGGAGCTTGGCTTTTCAGTAAAGATATAGACTAAAAACGGCATAAAGTCTCCACTAACCAATTATATAGAACTATAAATGTATTACAGTAAGCCTCTAAGCAATCATGCAGTAAAATTGTCACTACTTTCTAAAAAGCAACAATGAAGGAATATGAATGTTAATGTGTTTACTTAATTTTGTTGTTCAACCAATAAATTATTTTAGGTGATAACAAGCACTAGAGTCGGATGCCTGTTTAGCCTAAGCAGAGTGAAAGAATCTTTGGAAGTAGCGAGCTGCAGCTGTCTGCACTTTTAATGAGCAAAAATAGAAATGAAAACGACCAGAAATTATGTATGACTTATTTATTAAATGTAAAATATTTTATTATTTTACAAATAATTTAACACTTTCTGGAGGCTTGTATGCATAGTTCAAAAACTTTTTGTTTAATTACAAGTTTAAATAAAAAAAAATATCAGATTTTCAATGTGCTCTCAAATTGTAGACCTCACTGTACATAAATGAGTGCATGCACACACACACACTGGCACGTGTCCACAAACACACAGTCAGGCTTACCAGTAATCATATGTATCATCCCAGTTGTCAAAGTGGATGAGGAGGCGATTGTCCACGACAGCAGCAATGGTTGCTACACAAATGAGTGATGGGTTTTTCCTGTCGACAGCTTCTAGCTTCATTCCAGCACGGAAGCCTGAGGGGGTGACTGACTGCAAGGTGGCATTACAGACATTATTAAAAATAAACACAAAATATAGCCGCGAGCGGCAATGAGTGGGTTCAAGCATGCAACAGCAGTACGGACCCTCCTGCAGGTTTAGCTCATTAGGTCTAAAAAGGCCTCAAGCTTTCGGTTTAGCCCATTAGGCCTAAAAAGGCCTCAAGCTTTTGGTTTAGCCCATGAGGCCTAAAAAGGCCTCAAGCCTTTGTATAGTAAGTCTTTGTATAGTGAAATCTTTGAATGAATAAGCCAAAATAAAAGACGAGCAGTGCAATTTTTGACATAACGTAATTAGAAAGTTGTTCATCTTAGTGGACTAAGTCACATGGCACCAATTGTTTATATGTCGACCTTGTAATAACATTGTAATAGCATTTCAATTGATTTTTCAGTGTTATTGAGTGCTAAAGCGGCCCCTAAAGGCCTATCTGGACCAAACTTGGCATACTCCATTATAGTCTCAATTTGTATAAATATACAAAGTTTGGAGATGATCTGACCAATGACTGATGAGTTATAGCTGATCAGGCTAGCAATGCCATGGCCGCAGTAATTAATTGATTGATCCACATGATCCTGAGTAGAAAAGTCAATATCTTTTTGATAATTATTGAGGATCAGTGTCTTCTGAATCTTATGGTACTAATTTGATGAAAATTGACAGAAAATCCAGAGACTAGTTCGGAAGAATAGGTTTTTCACATTATGCAATTAGCTCAAAAACTAAAGGGGTCGGGCAAAAATTGACTCGGGGTGCACTTGTTCAGCAAGTTGAAAAAGATGAAAAGTTGAAACAGAGAACTAAAGTAAAGTATGAGCTCAGTGAAAGTGGGTCAGAATTAGTGAAAAGGCCACAATATGGTATCATTCTTGATCAGGGGCCATATCCAAAGATGTTTACCAAGTTTTGGTCAGATTGACCTTTTGACCTTTGTATAATAAGCCTTAATATAATGTAGTCTTCGAATGATTAAGCCAAAATACCAGACAAACAGTACAATGTGTGACAGAACATGTACTTACAAAGTTGTTCATGTGAGTGACCTGAGTTGTATGGCACCATTTGTTTATATGTCGACCTTGTAATAACATTGTATTAGCATTTTAATTGATTTTTAAGTGTTTTTGAGTGCTAAAGCGCCCCCTAAAGGCCAATCTGGACCAAAATTGGCATACACCATTACAGTGCAAATATGTAAAGGTCCTTAAAGTTTGGACAGGATCTGACCAATGACTGTTGAGTTATAGCTAATCAAGCTAACAATGCCATGGTCGCAGTAATTAATTGATTGATCCACATGATCCTGAGTAGAAAAGTCAAAATGTTTTTGATAATTATTTACCTACACATGCCAAAGAATTTTTCTAGACCAAGTTCGAAAAGATTGGATCAAAATCCAGGGACTAGTTCGGAAAGTAGGCTTTTTAAACAGTTACCGATTACAAAAAAAACTATGCAGTTTTGTAATATACATTGGCAAAATTGTTTGGAATAATGTACTACATATGATACACAAGGATGTTCAAGCAAACTTGTAATAAAATAGTAATAATATGTAATAATATGCTAATTTATGAATAGCGCCCCCCAGTCAATTTTTTTTCAAACTTGATTGGTTGTTAGAAAGTGGCTATATGTAGAGATCATTCAAGTTTGATGATGATTGGTCAATGTTAAGCCTGTCAAAAGCCTGCTAAATGTTGATTGGCCGATGGCGACTATGTACTTCAATTAATCAAATTGTCCTTATGGATTCACTTATAGTCTGGCCAACAGATGGTATGTGCAAAGTTTCAGCCTGATCAGATGTACGGATGCTGAGAAACAGCCATGTAGCATTAACTCTGCCCCCTAATGACATACGCGCACAAAAATCGAATGGCTACCTCAGAATCTTCTCCCAAATGTGTCTGTCAAGTTTGAAATTTTTTGGCTGAAGGGTTGTTGAGTTACTGAATTTTAAATTAATTCTGAATTATTTTGAATTTATCCAGAAGGGTTCATTTGCATATGACAGCCATGTTGTTTAGAAAAGTCAAAATATTTTTGATAATTATTGACCTTCAGGCTCTTTTGAATTTTTTGACACCAATTACTTGACGATTGGGCAAAAATTGGAGGACTAGTTTGCAAAAGTAGGTTTCGCATATTATGCAAATTAGCTCATAATCTAAGTGGGCGGAGCTAAATGGTCCAAATTGCAAAGTTGTTTGTTTGGACCCATAGAACCAGGAAAAAAATGTGTATTGTCTGCGAAAAATCTGGTTTAGGAGTTATTAGGCAAAAATGATTTTTCTGCGCTATAGCGCCCCCTTGTGGCCGACTGGGCTGATTCCTTGCGCCTGAGTAGCGGGAGGGACTACTACCTATTGACCAAGTTTCAAGTCTCTAGGACTTACGGTTTGGGCTGTGCGTTCCGTTTCAGGGCGGAAAAATAATAAGAAAAATCTTGACAATTCCAAGAGGGTTCAACGCATTGCATGCTTGAACCCTAATTACAGTAAAATATCGCCTTGTTGTATACTGACAAGGTTTATCTTTCCAAACAGCTAAAAAGCAGTGGAGTGTACTCATAAAACATATGTAAATATTAAATGAAAGGATAGTATAACAAAGCGTCACTTACCGTATTAAGACTTTTAAAGAGGTGTTTGGGTGCCAACTGGCCTCTACAATTCTTAACATACGTATTCCAGTTAAATTCTCCATCTCTGCAACCTACAAGCATAAACACACCCACACACACAAAGTAATCGCAAATAAATTCCACGTATTGCCAGCTCGTGCTTTAAATGCACACAGGTATCACAATGTGCATGGTACTACTGCATCACACAGCTTCTTATCAAAATAGGTCTGTGTCTCGAGTATGTGTCACTGTGAATGCAATACAACATATCACTACATAATTATTTTGTCATTAACAATCTAGTTCTGCTACAAAGAACTAATGGTGTAAAAAGTATAAGCTCTGGCCATGGCTTATTTTGTGCTCACTAGTTGCAATATGTCTGCCTAAAGAATCCACTTTAATAGAAGAAAAAAGCTTAGCCTAATGGCAAGAAAGGAGCTCTCTATCTTTAGCTTGTCACTCCATTGTCACCTCATACACGCTGGGCTGTTTCCACTACGCACCTTTGGGCAATAGCAGCTTGAGGCCCATCTTTTCACACCAGCCTGGTGGCTTCACATCCCATGAGTCTGCATTCACCCAAAAGTCATAGCACTCAGGGAAACCATCGAAATGAAGTCTTATTCTATAACCTTGAACCTGAGAGGGAGAAGACACATGACAGTCAAATTCCCTTCATGTAATCACTTCCCCTCCCCTCATTACTATATATATGAATAAGAACACTACAGCATTACAGCAGCAAATACTGCTAGTATTAAATACTTTATTTGAAGTAATTCTTTATTTAGAAATGTCCGCAAAAACACTTTTATGACAAAAACATACATGCTGCATAAAAATAAACAGCCACTACAATCCTGCTAGTGCTAATGCATACCATGTGGCAACAGCCAACAACCTTTGACCATGCGTTACCTCTGCCACAGTGAGCACACAGAAGAAAGCAGGATGACAAGGGTCCAGGCCCTCCAGCTTCATTCCAACTTTAAACCCATTCCTGCTCTGAGGAAAAGACTGGTGCTGCAACACAAACACACATACATGTAAACATTCCATCCTAGCTAAAGGAGTCATCACATAAATCATATAAAATTATGCACTTAAATCTTTAATCTGTAGGTCTTACCTCTTTAAACAGTTTCAAGGGTGCAGCCACTGCTTTCTCCTCCTCTAAATAGGCTGGCCAGCTCCAAGCCTTCTTTTTCACTGGAGCTGCTGTTACTATGGCAACAGCATCACATCAGTACATTGGTAAAAAGCCTTTTTTTTGCACGTGTTTCAATGAAAAAAGATGTTCACGTCTCAAACTGTAATGAATATATTCTGTTCAAACTCAAGGAAAAACAGTTTCATTCAGGGACATCAGGAGATGTCATATTGCCTAAATTGTTCAGTGAATGTGTGTCTATGGACACTTACCTAGTCTGGCAAGTTTAGCTGCTTTTCTGCCTTTTGAGGTTTTAACCTTCTCCTAGAACACAAACATAGCTTGCTAAGCTTGAAATAGGTATGAACTAGGTGTGTGTATGAACGTGTGTAAACATGTGGATGCACATTACCTCCTCTTCTTCTATATTTTCCTCCTCCTCATCCTCAGACTCCATGAACATCTTCTTCTTCTTTCGGACTCGTTTACCTAAACGCTCACCTTCTCCCACATCACCTGGAGTTGACCTGTACACACAAACACACACATACTCTAAATAAAACATTCACTGAAAAGCACACACTCTCAGTGACTGATACAGGCATGTACAGGCAGTGACTGATAATGAATGGGCAAATGCATCAGAGCAATCAGGCTGGAGGAATCAGGCTAATTAGTCAAATTGTAGCTTGAGTTACAGTGCATTTCTATGTGCATGTGGGTGATTGTTTACCTGCCACTGCTGGGCTGCACACAGGCAGGACTGCAGAATTTCCCCTGGAGAAAAGATGACTGAGAACCAGAGTGTCCACAAGACTTACATCTGGCCACCTCTGTACTGGGGCCCTCCTCAGAGCCGGTGCTCACCGCAATGGAACTGTCTGCTGTGCCAGAGGGAGCTGTTGCAGCACCAAGAAAAGAGAGAAATTTTGACACTTTTCCCCATGCTGTCCTAAGCTCCCTAAACTTTCAACACAATGGTAGCAAACTTTTATGGTAATAGTTAAGGCAGAGGAAAGCATTATACACTGAAGACATTTGAGTTTGAGATCAAAAGATGAATGAGACAAAATCAGAATATCAGCTTTTATTTATATGTTAAAAAGAATAAACCAACATGACGAGAGAGCTGTCTATGGGTGAAAAGCAAGCCATTTTGAAACTGAAAAAAGAGTGAAAACTGATCGAAGCCACTACACAAGCATTGGGCCAATAAAACAAATGTCCCGAAAAATACAGACACCACTGGTGTGCTAGCAACCAGACATCAAACAGATGAGCTAAGGAAAACAGCAGCAGTTGATGATAGAAACATTATTGTAAGAGCAATACAGAAAAACCTAAACACAACAGTCAGTGACATCGTTAACAACCTCCACAGGGCAGACGCGATGGTATCACAATCCACTGTTTTTGACTAACTTTGAGAGCAGAAATAAAGAGGCCATTCCACAAGATTCTAACCATTCATCAGAAGTAAGAATCGGATGGCCAATTTGTGATTTGCAAAGAAATATAGAGCCACAAAATTTCTGGAGCAGCTCTATGTACTGATGAGACCAATTTTAATCTCTACAGATGTGATCGAAAGGCCAAAGTGCAGAAAAATAAAAGTTTTGCTTATGATCCAAAACATACAAACTCATCAGTCAAGCAGGGTGGCGTCATAGCTTGGGCTTGCATGATTGCTCCTGGAATGGGCTCACTAATCTTTATTGATGATCTAACTCATGATGGTAGCATCAGAAAGAATTCAGAAGTCTACAGAAACATTCTGTCTGCCAATTTACAGAGAAATGCTTTCAATCTAATCAACAGTAAGTTCATCATGCAGCAAGACAATGACACAAAACACACAGCGAACACAACAAAGGACTTCATCAGCTGGGAAAAATATGGAAGGTTTTATACTGGTTAAGTGAATCATTAGACCAATCATAAGTCAATCACCAAAACTCAACTGAGCATGCACTTCACCTTCTGAAGAAGAAAGTAAAGGGAGAAACCCCCCATAACAAACAACAACTAAAAGCAGTTGTAGCAAAAGCCTGGAAAGCATCACCAAAGAACAACGCAACAGTTAAATGATGTCAGTGGTCGCCAGATCGACAGTTGTTTCAAACAAGGGATATGCAACCAAATATTAAGTGTTATTTTAATTTACTTTATACCTGTTTCTATACTTTTGCTCAACTACCATCAAAAGAGCCACACTAAGTTGTTTAGCACATCTAGATGTGAACAGCAAAAGCTGAAATTTGTCTTCTCATAAATCTTCTCATATTCATCTTCTGAGCTCAAAAACAAAAGAACTGACCTTGCTGTTCCAGGCCAGTCTGCAACACTGTCACATCAAGGGTTGACCAATGTATTTTGAACATGTGTTTTTAACATACTACAAAGCAGTTACAATATGTAGCAATACAACAATGTAGAATTTTGTCCATACTGTGCCCACGTCTTACTTACCCACAGTTTCTGCAGGCAGATCTGTGGCTGTCTGGGGCTGCTGTGTCTGATTTGTAGGGTTGAGTGGTTCAGACGGAGGAGTGCTGTTGGATGGCGTAGTCTCAGTCTGTGGGCATACAGGTTCCTCTTCTTTGTCTTTAGGCTCAGGCTCTGTTACAATCTCCAGCGTGCCAAATTCTGTCATCCGGAACTTAAAAACAAAAGGAACACTTATATACGCTAACTTCGTTGCTTTGAGAATTTAATGGTATATTTCATCCTCAGTTTTCAGTCATGTAGCATCCATATGCAATAACCATCGCTTATGATAACTATCATACACAGCCTACCATTTTTTTTCCTGCATCACTGAAAACCACAACTCTACTATCTCTGCCTTTTTGCACATGCTAGACTTTCTATATTTATATATAGTTGGTATGATACTCTTGGTATTTCTGTTCCAACTGTACTGTCTGTCCAGTACTGCACTATATGTACCACCATAACCACCACTGTCCAGCACTGTAGCTTTTGTCTGTTGACTGTACTACGCATGTTGCACCAGTGAGAAAATATTTTGGTATAATGACAATAGGATTTCAATCAAACTAAATTCTTGAACACTTGAATATATGTTCAGCTGCAGGAAGCTGGAATGACCAGAAGAACTTAAGGACCCACTGACATGCTCTCTCACTATGGCTACACTACTTCCATGTCATTGTGCAGTTTAAGGCAGTTCATTCGCATGAACAAAATTTCACATACACATGATGTATGCTGAGGACTTTTAACTTTGTAAGTTATAACCTATGAATAACAGGTTTATATTTACATATTCCATGTTGTAACAGCCAGTAAGCCTTTGTAGGTACAAGTACTAGCAACTCTCTAACAATATGCACAAAATATTCATTTATATTTATTCAATCATTAATGTTTCCCCAATATTTACTAAAATAAAGCTGAATTAAACATTCCATTTGTTTAATCACACATGACAAACTAAGCATCAAGGTTACTTTGTTGTTTAAAATGGTCTTTTAAACAAGGTCTCCTTGTTTACATCAGACAAGTTATGTATGCCAATCATCTGCTACCCAAACTGTTTGACTGTGTTTTCTGACTGCCTGCCCTCATCAAATTACATAGCCTTCCCATATAAATGTGCACTCATTTTTACACTTTATAGCTGCTGGACAAAGTTTCAGACTCAACACAGACGTAACTCACATTTAATACGCATGGTAGGTACCATGCTGCCTGGCTGCAAAAAAGCATATATTCTTAACATGTAAGCATAGGGGTTGGGCAAAAAAACACAATACTTCCAAGACAATGTTACGATACACTATAAGCATCGCAAAATTTTGTACGTTGAAACAGACAAAACAGAACCTGTAGTGCCACATACAAAAAAAAAACTATAATAATAAATGTACAACTACACTAAACTGCACTGCATTAAATCTAATTAAACAGGCACAATTATTATTACTTTGTAATGAAACATGTACTTAGTCAGCGTTCTTTAAGTACTGACGATATCCACAATATACTCAGAAAAGCTTGATATAATTCATCATGATAACAATAAAATATCATATTGCCTACTTCTACTTAAGTATGTTATTTTTTGTATTTGTCTAGTCACATGCTAATTTGCACTCCATGACATGGCCTTTTACATGATGCATATGATACCTACTACCTTGTGACCAAGGTCTCTATGCCTTGCATCCTCAGCATCCACTCTTGCAACCTGGATCCCCACGTGTCACATATATTTTAGATAAACCACTATGTTAACGTCACTGTACCATTATCAACACAGCATTACAGTCATTATCATTGTAATGCTGTTCTTTTGAAACCTGACACAATGTCCTGTGAATTAAATGTTAATTAAAAAGATAAAAAAATAAACATATGATTAATTGATAACCCATGATGTAGGGCCAGTTTCCCAAACAAAGTTTAGTTTCAGACTAAACCGTAGTACCAACAGTGAATAAACAATGGAAATTCTTTGTAGTCTAGTATTAGGCTTAATCTCGGCCTGTTAACAATATTTATGTCATTGTACCCTGATGTCACTGCCAGGCAATGTAGCTATGCCGTCCTTCCAGTCAAGGGCAGTCATCATGTCAAACTCTGCTCCTGGGGTAGAACCATCACTGGGAGGTGTGTCCGTCATCTTCCCCTGAGAGAGAGAGTCAGAATTTTCAAAGCGCTTAGAACTTGGGGATGAAAACTCACTTTCTTTTTTAAATCTGTATTTGACCAATAGAAAGAGACATGTTTACGCACAAATCTAGACCAAGCTGTATCACACAGAACACTGTGTAGCCCCCAGAATTCTGTGTGCATCACCAAATCTGTGCATTTTACAAGATTCTTTAAAATTAACAAAAAGCTGAGCTTGTTCTTTAACTTGTTTGCTGCGCATATATATCTTTAAAACTAAAGCAAAAACCAAAACTGGTTAAAACCCGGCCAACCTTAGAGTTTTTGTGGCTTAAACGTCAGTCAAAAAAGGAGCACATATGTGATTAACGTATAATGCCTCCTACACTTACAATAATGTCTGCTATTGATGTCTCCTTGAGCACTTGATAAGCATCCTACCTTGTGATCTATATATATATATATTAGTATTTTTAAACCATATTAAAAGTGGACGCCACTGAAAACACGATTCTCTACAGACCATCACTCTCCACAGCCGTAGTTATGTCTTCTGGCGTGGCTTCTCAAAGCGGCAGATAATGTACTAGTAGCCTTTGTATGCTCTCAGTGCGTCCTCAAGTCTGCATAAGACCCAAAAACTTGCTCGCAATTCCGAGATGAACAGCTGGACCGAACACTCGGAACATTTTTTGTAGGGGTGCAGCCAGAGAAACGCCCGCAACTGCACTTACGAAAGAGCTGCGCGTGTCTGGGTCGTCTCCCCGCATGGCCACCGGGGGGCGACCAGTGTAGTCGGTACGGATTGCACCAAGCACTTAAAAATACGGACAAAAACACGGATTTATAAATGTTTACGGTGGAATTCGCCGAGAAACACGCCCAAAAATAAACTCTTGCAGTTCCAATGGTCGCACTCTGGGGGTCCAAAAAGGGGGCAAGCGCGTGAAATAAAAGTTAGACGAACAAGTTCAGCTTTCCGTTGTTTTAAAAGAATCTTGTGAAATGTGTAGGTTCGGTGATGCACACAGACTTCTGGTGGTCCCTTAGTGGAAATGTCACATACAGTCATGTTTTCTGCTGGAAAACTACTCGTTTACGCGTGTTAACATTCGTACAGTGGTGGGAACACTGTAATAACGTTCTTAAACCCATCGCTTGTTTTAAATCAAACCCACCTCAAAACAGCAGCGTTTACAGTGACGAGGCGGCCGTGCCCAACCCAATGAGGCACCAAACTTGTTCAAAAATGTTTTGTTTCTCAGGTTGAAGTGTTAAAGGGAATTTTATTCCGACCATAAATAAAGTGTAAATGCCCGAGCGCCCATTATTAGCATTCGGCAGATACAAAATGGCGGAGGATAGCAAAGGGCCGCCGACACGTTTAAACTACATAAATTACCGGAGTTGTTCGCTCCAAGTCATTCAGCAAAGCCTTTACTCAGTACAGGAAGGTCGAGTGTATAACTTGTTCTGTTGCAAGTGAGTGTTTTTCTCTCACCCGACAAACTCCTCACTTTCCCCTTGTCACGGAATGTCGTTAGCGCCTTGGCTAGCCTGGCTAGCCTCTGCTGCCTGCTTAAACCCGACTGTGGTCCAATTCAAACGGGCAGCCGGCTAGTGAGTGCAACTAGCTTCAGCTAGAAATGTTAGCAAGCGGACCACAATATGCGAAATATAACAGTTTCGTGTTGCTTCTCAAAAGGAGAAAAACATTCACAAAGAGGGTTTAAAGGACTTGCCGTTGACCGACAAGCAAGAGAACGAACTCCGGCGTGTCTAATGCAGGGGAAAAATAGCGAAACGCACGCTTTTAATTTCTTCTCCACAAACTTGTCACTTCAATTTATCTTTATCGCTTTAAACGTCGCTGCGAACACTTAGGATAGCTGCAAACTGTTAAACAAGCGCTTCCCTGCGCACCTGTACCGTTGTTTGTTTCGTTAATCGTGACATTACGGCGGTATTTTAAAGAAAAATTGTGCAACTCACCTCGTTTCTCTTTTAACTCTTATTTTGAGCTGGATGGTTTGGGCGCAATGCGCATGCGCGAGGTGTTATGCCCCTTGCCAACTTCGGGGCTCGATAAACTTCAACACAATCAATAGGCTGATAACGTTGAAGATGGAGAGCTTTGTGAAAACGAAGGAGTTGTACTCTCCACAACGTCACTCTCCTTGTGCACTTGAGCCGACGACAGCACGCAGTCGGACCACAACTCTGTGTTTGTTCCAGAAGCACTTCTATTGTTGTTCAGAATAGAGTGATGCGCCCCTCTGTGCCCCAGATGCACTATGCTCTTTCCAGAGTATCATTATTCCTTTATCTCCCTTTCCTTGAGAAGAAGTGGGGCTGTACTATGGACATCGACATTCTGGCCTGTGCATTTGCTCTGCTAACTGCCTGAGCTCTGAGCATCGCTAAAACAGTGAAGTTTTCTTTCACCAAGTCAAAACGAAAGCCTTCAGCTACTCGAACGATTTGGGGAATCCGCTTCTTTTGGTTTTCCTGTCACTTATCACGTGCTCGGCTCCTCCGCCGCAGACCTATTCACTAACGTTAAACAGGCCTTTAGTGCGCGATTAATAGATCGCATTTGTTCCAAGTTGTTTTCATCGTTAGATTTAGCACGCAAGGTTTAAAAAAGATTTCATACAATTAGCAGCAGAACGTGTAAAAATGCACTGACGTTTTTTACGGATTTGACAGCTGCAGTGGGTGCACTGCGAAGGCAGAATAGTACCCAAAATCCACCACTAGATGGCGCTGTGAGCATATAAATATCGGAGAGCGGCTAAACTGACACAGCCTTTGGATTTTGGATTTGCTCACGTTACCCTTGCTACGTTTTAATTTCAGGAGAATGCTTAACCAGAAACACACACACACACCACTCAACGTGCGCCTGTATTCTTAGGAAAAAAATCTTTACAATGTAACAAAGTTACGAGGAGCAAAATACGGACACCACACCTTGATTCTGTGACCTACAGTAGTGATGTTCACTCGGCGGACTCGCTAACAGTATTCAACTATCAGACTATGAGTAGATCTACTTAGACATTCTAAGTTCTCGAAAATGAAATATTATTTTACATCTTGAGGCTACATCACTTGTGCAGAAGCTAGTTAACATTTTACAGATATTGCACTAAGCGTGTCTTCACAGTTCTAACCCTGTCAACTCAAACTCTTACAAACATTACAAAATAAAAGTTCGGTCTGTGATGCAGACAAAGTAGCCGAATAACTTACAGCTTCCAACAAATTGTCTTCTTAAATCTTAAATTTCACGGTAAAACTATAATACTCCTTCATTTATGTGTAACTTAACATATAGACTATCCACCTACACATACAGATACATATATAATATGATAATCATATAATGTGCCTACAAACAGAATTTAAATAAAAACAATTTCACAGTTGAAAAAAAAGATGCAAATATAAAGAATCAAATTTTGATTAAAGTACCAAGAACAGAGTGAAAATAGTAACTGTATGCAATCACAGTGGTCCAAAAGAAAATATTAAATTAAATTAACAGTTGTATTTTGGGTAAACATTGTTTTTCACATTCTGATGAAATGTCTCTTGGTTTTGAGTAATCATGGGTATTGTAATGTTCCAGTTCAGTGTCCGCTGGCCTGCATGGACAGTGAGGAGACATTTTAACTCATGTAACTGAAGCCAGGGAAGGTCATCCCAGCATCTTCACAGACACCCAGAGATTGTGGCACAGGAAGATTTGTGAAGGCAGGGTCAATGTTTGTCAGGTCATCAGGGCCAGACTGAAAATGAAAAGGAGATTAGGTTCACACTAACATATGTTCTTATTACAGTTGTCTAAAATCTTTAGGAAGTGGTGAGTCAGTGGAGAAACTTATTATTTTTGACATGGACTCTCAAAGACCTGCAAAGACACTGCAAAATGAATAATGATGTAAAAAACTGAAAGCAATGCTAAACACTCTATATGAATGCTAAAATGGCTTTATATATTTATTTTCCCAATGTACAGTTTCGCTGGACTCACCAGTGAAGGGACAAAGGGGGGCTGGATTTTCTTTGCCACAAGATCATCCCACCGGATAGATGAGAAGAATGAGTGATGCTGCAGCTCTGCCTAAAAAATTGAAGAGACTATGTAATGTAACTGATGAGTATGTCTGGTGTTGTTGTATGTTCATATGTGTCTCTGTGTGCATGTAAATTTACCACGTCGTGTTTAGCGCCTAGCCTCTTAGCTCTGTCTCTGTTTAGCAGTCTTTTGAGAAGATCTCTTCCAGCTTTGGAAACCCCAGCCTTAAGAACCAGCGGCTGAAACATGATGTTGCTCAACATCACCATACGGTCAGCACTGTAGAAAGGTGGCTGGAGAGAGAGAGAGAGAGAGAGAGAGAGAGAGAGAGAGAGAGAGAGAGAGAGAGTTCATCAGTCACTCCATTCACTAGACAAATGACACTTGAGTTCATCCTCAAAGCCACAGTTTTCCTATCTGATGTCAGAATTTTGCTTCTTTAGTTTTGTACTGGAGCTACCAGGCTAACGTAACTGAGTAATGGAAGCTCACAGGCACCCATTAGTATTGTGCAAACTGCATGCTTAAATCATCACACATTTGCCACAAATGGTGCCGAGTTGCTAAGTAGACAGACTTGATTATGTAGGTTCTGATATAGTAAGACATACTTTTATCTATAAACAAAAAAGTATGTCATATTATTAAAAACAGCAGTAGCAGCTATAGACCTCATTTTTGTGTGTGCTTTTATTATTTTTTTACAGATAACATTACGTACACATTGTTTAAAAACCACATAGGCCTATTTGAGATTAGGTAACAACTTAGGGCAGTTTGAGGCAAATATGTGATGATTTAGGGATGTGGTATGTACAACTGGTGGCTTTATTATTGCATTACATTAACCTTGTAGCTCCAGCATAAAAATAAAGAAGCAAACTTCAGGCATCAAACATCCCTTGGTTCCTGGTTAACTGACTACATTTTGGGGTACGTGAAAAATGGTGTAACTTTGCATTGCATAAATGTTCTGTTTACATATCTAATTTTCTTTTACACAATCACTCACCAGACCATAAAGCATTTCATGCAGCACAGCTCCCAGCCCCCACCAGTCCACTGTTCGGTCATACTCGCGCTGCTGGAGAACCTCTGGAGCCAGGTACTCAGGTGTTCCGCAGAAAGTTCTGGTAGTCGCACGGCCGACTATGCCCTCCTTACACAAGCCAAAGTCTGTTAGGACCACATGGCCTGCAGAATCTAGCAAGATGTTCTCTGGCTTGAGGTCCCTGTTTAAGCAAGAGCAATACAGAAAGAGTAAATTCACTTGGGCTGGATGTAGATGTGCTTGTATTAAAATCTGTGAGGCACCAAATGCCCATACAGTGCTACGAAAACATAAAAATTAGGAACATTTTGCTGATTTCCAGAAGAAAAACTGTTTTGTTTAATACAAAATTAATATTTCGATTGAAAACTAAAACTACCCTGCAAAACAGATGTGTTGTCAAGAGAAAAGAAAGCTATAAGATTATTTAACTTATTTCTATACATTTTTATGTGTTTAAGTAGTTTTATCCAGAGAAATTGTTATTCTATTGGCAGATAATTTTGCCATTTCTCCAGATAAAATATCTTAAAAAAGGCAAAAAAATGTGTGTAGCCTATTTTATTCTTATAATATTTTTACAAAAACCCAAAAATTAGGCATATTAGATATGTAAACTACATTTAGGATGATTTATACTTGCCAACATATAATTTATACAGTGCAACAAAACCACAAAGATTCTCTTTCAGTTACTGATATTAGGTCTAGGCTTAGATTTCAGTCTAGTCTTAGATGTTAGGCATGACAGCATTTAGCTTAAGAAGTATATTTAAAGATACAAGTAATACAAGTGTCAGTGTGTACCTGTAGACAATATGCAGAGAATGTAGGTATCCTAGAGCACTGGCCATTTCTGCAGCATAGAATCTGGCTCTGGACTCGGTGAATACACGCTCTCTCTGCAGGTGGTAGAAGAGCTGCCAACACACACACATACACGCACACTATGACATTGTAATATAACCCGCCAGCATTTGTTTTCAACAAACACAAGTGCCCATTCATAAACTGTGTGTGTACACACCTCTCCACCACTGGCATAGTCCAACACTAGGTAGAGCCGATCTCTGGTCTGAAAGCTAAAGTGAAGTCTCACCAGGAACGGATGATTGACAGTCTTCAATAACACGCTCCGCTCACAGATGACATGTCCTTCCTATCAAAGACAACACCATCAATATACACACAACCATCTCCATCACGTTACATGCATAGAAAAACACACACACAGAGTAAGACTCACCGCATTTTTCTTCAAGATCATTTGCTTCTTTAAAACTTTGACTGCATAGTACCTATCATTCTCCCTATGTCTGGCCAATAGTACCTGAGCATGGGTGGAGAGAAACAATATTAAAATAAAAACTGTAGGGCTGTCACCATGTAATCAAGTAGTTTACTGATGGTTCTGATGATTGAGCAGTCATTAAAAAAATACTTAAAACTGAGTTAAGAAAACAATAGCACAACCATGCACAACCTTTTATAGACTTAATAATGTTAAAGTAAATTCCACCGATTTACCAAAATTCTACATAAAGAAAACCTTAAGAGGTAAACAATCCAGAGTAGTTTGATGTGCAATGTTCGGTTATAGAGAAACTTACTGAACTAGAATTGTTCAAAATGGTGGTGATAGGAACCAGACTTCTAAAGTGTCTCAAAGAAAACCTATTTTGTCAGATGTACCTCTATTTTTCAACATTACACATAAAAACTCACAATACACACCTAGGTTCACTGATCAGTGCGGGTAGTAAATAAAATGGCTATATTTGTGTTCAGACATCTTGACACCACCCCTGGTTCCTTTCACCACCATTGTAAAAGAAATCTAAGTTTATAAAAATCTAACTTTCTCTACAATGTTACAGTTACAAATCAAATACTCTGAATAACTTTGTTTACATCTCAGTGACAGAATAATTCAAAAACTTCCCCTAAAAAGTTTTTAGAAAAAAAAGGAGAAATTATATATATATATAAATGCATGTTCATAGCATTGTCTGCTTCTTCCTGTGAGAGAGACCTGCTAACTAATCATTGCCAATTCATCAAGAAGGTACATTTTAATCAATGTATATCAAGAACAATTAATCACCGAAATGTGTTGAAAGTATGAATGCTATGATCGTGTTACAACAGCAATAACACAATAATGACGACAATAATGTAGCTAGTCTTTGTCATATATTGAGCTCAAATGATAACTGCTATACATAACAAAAAGAGACTTTTTACCTTTCCAAAACTGCCTGTGCCAATCACCTTCAAGTAGTCAAAATCAGCTGCTGAAGCCCTGAATCAGAATCAGAATCACTTTATTTCACCAAATGCATTATACGTACAAGGAGTTTGTCTTGGTGAGTGCACACAAGTGAGTATTAACATAGGAATAAACGTAAGTGTCTTTTGGCCTGTGCACCTGGTATGTACAGTGTGTAGCCTAAATATGTCTGCCACACAAAGATAACCTACTTACCGAGACATTTGTAGCTCCTGTGCTGTACTGCTGAAACACAGCTATTTGAAAAAAGAACAATGTTAGCAGAGATCTACCTCATCCCTATGTACAATATTAGACCAGACACCCACAAACTGCCCTCTGTAACCCCTACGTTCAACTTCATCTTCAATCAAAGTCAACTGCCATTCAGACTTATATTACATACTTGCTGAACAGATCTTATGAGCTCACTTACAGCAGCTGCTCCGGCCTCGTCACACACACTGCTGCCCTCTGGCCGTAGAAAACACTCTGCGTCCATACTGGTGGAAGGGACAGAGAGAATTACCATTAGGGAAATCAAGAAACCCAATACATTTAAACTAGTGTAAATCAATCCATGCTTAAAATATTAAGTGTTTTTAAAGTACATACACAAAAAATAAATAAATAAGATGATGAGCTGCTTTTTGTCTATTTCTGTATCCAGGTTGCTATGTGACACAGCACTGAAATTTTCCAAACCAGGCTAACCAGGTCATGTTCTCAGAAGCGGGGTGTCTGACCTCAAAAGGCCAGTTAGTGTAAAACCCCGTTCACACGCTCATATACTGTATATGCTAAGAGAAAAGCAAGTGGGATTGAGCAAATTATAATTTAGCTCATTTCTCTTTAAAAACACAGCACCGTTCACATTTAGCAACGTCAACGGAAAAAGACCATTCAGGGGGAACTCACTGCCGGTAGATTGGATGGCTGGTCCCAAGTTTCTGTAGTAGGTCAGCTGACCCAAACTTTCTCTCCTTGATTAAAGCTGTAATTTTAAATAGGTTAAACATTATAAAAAAAATCTGGAGTTACATTATTTTTGTACCTCAGGAGAGGCCGCATCAAACACGAATGAACAAAAGAGTTTTAAAAAAAAACTCCAAAAAGACAACTTGACAAAAACTTCTAGTAGGCTTAAAATAAACGGTTTCCTTTCACTCACCAGCAAAATACGACACTATCCCCTTCATTTTAGTGTACGTCACGGGACTTTTTGTCTTTTTCACCATTCCTCTTCGCAGCACGGGCTACTGGCTGTGAAGTATTGAGCTCGTCTGTAAGCTCGCCCTGTACCAGTCAGTTCTGGTTAGGCGCTGCTGCCTCCTGAGGACAACCGTGACCGGCTATTTTCTGCAGAACACGTGGTTCTTCGATGGACCTGTGACATCACACCGGTCGCTGAGCTATGCATAAATGACCATCTCAGCTTCTTCCTAGGCCACTGGCTAGATAAGAGCTACCCGCGGAGCAGTGTAACTCTCTGGCTCTAGAATACATAGCACTATGAATGAGGAATCTTTATAATCTATCTAACCGGGGATAAAAAGAAGAAACAGCGGTCAAATCTAGGAGACAGGCGGCACTACAGCAGTGTTTCTCAAGCCTGTTCCTGGAGGCCCGCTACTGTCCTCGGCATTTTAGAGCTTTCTCTGCCTTAACACAGCCACTTTAACTCAATAATGGGCTGTTAATGAGCTGATTGCTTGCATCAGGTGTGTTGGGAGCAGGGAAAACACTAAAAAAAGTGCGGGGCAGTGGGCCTCCACAACCAGGGTTGACCAATGGCGCTCACAGGACGTGTGCGCAATGTCCCTTCACATAGCTCATTACTTGGCCATTCTTGTACACGATCAACACTGTAATACAGCAGTTCTCAACCTTTTCCACCTCAATGGCCCACCTATTTATCATCTTGTCCTGAGGTGAGTGCCACAAATTGTGCTTTGCGGCCCACTTGCGGTCAGAAAGCCTGTAATACAGCAAGAAGGCTTACTTAGACAGAAGCTATCCTCCTAACACTATGCAGTGACAAGTTCAGCAACCATCTTTCTGGACACACAGGGTGTGAGAGCAACAACTCAATAGGTTGGTTATTCAGAGTAGTGCCCTTGCTACCTAGTGACTAGTTTAGATTATCCTATTGCCAGTTGTCCATGCAATTTCCTTCCTAGCAGCATCTTTCCAGCTTGGGCTGTCCTGCTTGTAGTGCAAATAGCATCCACACTATTGGTCCCTTGAGCATGGCTACTTTGCCAGTTTACCCACCAAGTCTCTCCTAGATGGATCCTTTAGTATGAGGTAAGTATTGAAGATCTGGATCCTACAAAGCCTGTTATTACAAACCTAGCTGCAAATCTCCAGGGCTTTGACTGCCACCACTCTGGGAGCAGACGGTAACTACTGCCCTTGCTGCAACACTTGACCACAACTGAGCTAGGGTTGGTCCTATCCCTTTCTTTATAACTTGACATCTAATTACTACGCCCTGGCTAGTGATAGCTGCTACAACTGAGTACTTCTAAAGGAGCTCACCTTGAGTTAGAGGCTACCCGGCTGGCTGTTGGCTGTCATATTTAAGTCAGCTCAGTACAATTTCTCATGAGTCCTGAGCTATTTGAACAGAAGCCAACTGCTATGCTCCTGGCTCTTTTTGTGGCTCTGACATCTGATTGCATCTGATGGAGCTACAACTGGTTTCCCCCTAGCTTGTTGTGCTTTAACACAGGAACTAATTTGTGCACCCTTGGTTGGACATTTATCTACACCTCTTAGAGCTATGGCTGGCTTTCCCCGTAGGCTTTCAGCATATCTGCAAAGATGCTAAGCAGTATTGCTTGTTTCCTCAACACTCTGTGAAGCTGCCCATAGTGGCTCTTGGATTCACCTTTGGCATCCACAAGCCCTGTCTTTTGATGTAGCTTATGTAACACATGCCCTAATCAGGACTTGCTTGCATTGCAGCACAACATTGATGTCACAGGCCTTGAGCCAAGAAATGCACCAACACCAGACCAGCTACTATGCAGGGGCCAAAAAAAGTCTTAGAACTCATTCACTTTATTGTAGTGGACGATATCCAATTTGAAGCATGATCCAACATCACCATCAAGCATGATCCAACAAATCACCATTTCTATTGATATCATGCCAATTGAAGGAACTCTTTATGCATCTGCAGAGCATGTGATGACTGTCCTGTGCTTTATTGTTTTCCTCGATTCACTCGAAGCAAGCTCTCTGTGGCTTATCTCCTACTGTGTCTATTAGTGCATGGGCACTGTTAACTGGCCTTGGCCCACTTAGGCCCATCCTCCTCCCAAACTACTGAGCCACTTCTTTTACCAGGATCCAGAGATCTAAACATGTTTTAGTCCACCTCGCAAGAATTATGTGAAGAAACTCACTGGTCATTACTGAGCCATGAGGCAGATAAAGTTGTTTGCATAAATCATCATTATAGTTCATCTTTAGCTGTTGAAATTACAAACCACCCAGTGTAGAGAAGTAATTAAGTTGCTATATTCAAAGTCATATAGGCTTATATTCATGGAGTGCACTGCCATAATGCAATAACATGATTACAAAACAGTGCATATTTGTATAGAGAAATGACAGTTATCATGGTTGTTGTGTACTCCGGCATGATAGATAAAAAAAAGCCAAATTACAGTATAAAAAGACAAAGTACAATAACAAACTGTGACCTTTCAGTTCTGTGTATATTTTATTTTTTTGTACACACAATAAAATAAATAAAAATATTAGAGGATGAATACCGGGATAAAATAATAAAAGTAAGCTAGAGTAGAACCTAAGAATACAAGTATTCACCTTGCATACAATAGCTACACTAAACTTAACTGAACTGACAGACTGACAGTCAATATCTGTAGAGTTTATCTTGAAAAGATTATTTTTCATCAAGGGAAATAAATGCTTGATCAGATATATAGGAATCAGAATATCAGGAAATTGACTTGCACAGTGCAAAACTTACTTTTCCTTTCTTGGGTTCCCTTCTTGTTGTTTTCCTCAATGTTTATGCACAAACATTTTATAGTTAGAAGAAAATATTGCCCAGTGGATGGAAAAAAAGCAAAAATTTGCAATTGTGTCACAATTGTTGATAACACAGAATCATTTCTATATTTCTCCTAATGTTTGAGGAAATGGAAGAACAGATAGTAAAAGATCTGAGACCAGTCCTCTGTCCATGATACCTCCTTATCCTTGCTTGCGGAACCCTTGACACACCTCACAGTTTCCAAATCAAGGGACTAGGCCTTCCCAAAGCTTGCTTACTATGCATGTCCATTCCAAGACCAACATCTCATAGCACCACACATTCTGCATGTGTGACCCCTCTTTTACAGCCAGAAATCTTTATTTTGGTTTGATCTGACCACAGAAGCTGTTTCTAAGGTTCTAGTGACATTTCTGTCACATTTGTAGTCTGATGAGACTTTAAAAGACTAAAATTATTGAATTCCCAAAGACTCAGATGAGCTCAATAAATGAATATGAATGAATAAATAAATATACAAACACATTTATATATATATATATATATATATATATATATATATATATATATATATATATATATATATATATATAATAAAATCTACAAGTGTTTCTGTCCATCCTCCCATTTTGACAAGATGACAACACATTGGGTCTGAAAGGATGTGTAGCTATCAAGATACTTACTGAGAAAAGGAAATAGACATCAAAGAAGAAAATTAAAAGTCAAAAAGAAAATTAAAAACCAAAGACAGAACTTTGGGGGTGTTTGAAAAAAAAATCCCTGCAGATTTCTTTGAAAAATTGAAAGGAAATCTGCTGAAAAGAATGGAATACGTAATAAAGACAAAGGGTGGACACACTAAATCCTAAAAGTGTGATATTACATTAAGCTCTTGAAGCTTCTGTGTAATTTTCTGTTAAATATGTCATTGGTGTTGGAACAAAACCTTGAATCTCCTTTTTTGTTATAATTTTGTAATGGTTCAAAATAACTTGGTTCAAAAATACATTAACATATACAGTATATTAAGTAAAGGATGTCACAGTGCTCCTCTTGGTGTACCTTCCTCATGCTCTAAGATTTCCTGCCACTGGATTTCTGGTAGCTGCTTTGTAACAACATCTATTGTAAATAGTGCAATATACATATTATATGTAATATACAAATTTAAGTGATATTTTTTTCATAATATGTATTAATGTTATGCATGTTTTAAAGAAAGAAACTGGTTAGTTAGATTGAAGGTTAATATTTCTCCCTTGGTTTGAGTATAAGATTTAAGATGATGAATGTCAGGGACTATTTTTAATGGCATTTTTGCTAACCTTTATGAAAGGTGCCAATAATTGCAGACGGGACTATATTTGAGAGATTTATTACTTGTCAAATCCACCCCAGTTTATTTGAAGTAACGATTTTATTATAGGACAGTGATAATGTGTAAAACTAGTATACCTTCTCCTGCACCCCAACTCAAAACTCCTTGCCACATTGGTGGGGTAACCCTGCCACAAGGTAACTTTATAAGTTACATAACAAGCATGCTTGCCTTTCAACACAGCCAGACACACACACACACACACACACACACACACACACCACAGACTCACCTTCAGTAACATATGCAGACACATGCAGTTTTTGTCGAGAACATGCTGAACAGTTAAGCTCCGTGTGTAAACATACTACACACAGTCTCACATATAGACGAACAGGAGCACAGAGATAAAACAGTTTGTTCTATGACCTGAACAAAATGTTTATTTAGACTTGGTTCCTCCAACTTGCGGTCTTATGCAAAGTCTTCTGCTTGAACAGAAAACAATAGAACAAAATACAGAAACGTGGGGAAGAAATAAGGAAAAAGTCAGCTATACTTACTATATAAAGGACTGGAAGGGTAGACCAGGGTCTGAGCAATAAATTAACTTTCAACCTTTGAGGAAAGGAACTACTGCTGTAGACACCCCCCTGTAATCAACAAGCAAGGAAAGGGGTTAGATTATTATGCGTTAATCATTATATAATACAACAAAAGTAATTTGAGAAACATTCCAGATATTTTTTAGGGTGGTCACTGATCTAAAAAAAATGATTTAATCAACCTGATTTTTCCTAACCTGTCTTATAATGGATAGGCTACCTGGCCTTATAATACTTGTGCCGCATTATTTACACCTTCTTCCAAGAAAACCATGGTACTGATCTCTGTCCCCATCCCAGAGAGAGAGAGAGAGAGAGAGAGAGAGATACAAGCTGACAAGAGAGTCTATATTTGACTGGAGGTTAAAGTACAGTCAGCACTGATTTGTGTCTAAATCAG